CAGTCTGATGGAAACATCGCTGCTGCATCTGTACACTCTTTCAGTACAAAGAGCTGTGTCACCACCACTGCTGGATCAAATGATCAAGCAGAAACGGGACTGGAATGAGGACACACCAGATATGATTGATTGGGTGCGCCACGGCAGAGCAGTCAACCGGCACGAGGCCCACAAGCCGACCATCGTGAAGTTTCTGTTCCAGCTGCTCCCGGTGGGAAAGCTGGTGCACAGGGACGACCCCAAGTACGACCACAAGTGCCCCAGGTGCAGTTGTGACTACGAATCGGAGGCTCACGTCTACAGGTGCCCGCACGTGGATGTGGAACTGTGGCGGGGGACCATGCAGCGTGCAATCGGCACAATGCTTCGTAAGGTGGGCACGGATCCAGTCCTGCTGGAGATCGTTCTTGATGGCTTGCAGTACCATTTCGAAAACAGGTTCCTTCATCCCTGGCATTACCCAGACAAGTACAGGGACCTGGTCGACGCTCAGAACTTGATCGGGTGGGACAATCTTATGCAGGGACGATTGGCCACGCAATGGGCCAAGCACTAGGATGAATATTTGCATCGGGTCGGTTCCAAGAAGACCACCAAAACCGGGCAGCTGTGGGTCACCAACCTGGCCTCGCTGCTCATCCAGCAGTGGTGGAACCTGTGGGAAGATCGCAATGCTGCCAGGCATGGCAAAGACAGGGAAGAACAGTGGAAGAAGAAGCATGAACAGCTTCAGCGGGAGGTGGAACTCATTTACGAGAAGGCGGATCTGATTCCAGCGGAGCTGGTGGATTTTATCTTCAAGCGTCCGCTTGATGAGCAAATGGCAAAGGGCCCCGGTGACATCAAAGCATGGCTTGCCAATTGGCTGCCCGTAGTCGACAAGGCACTCAGAGAGGAGCATGCACGCACCGTGCAGAACAATGAAACAGGGTAACTACGCACAGAGGGGGTCTTACCGTAGAAATAGATGGCAATCCAGCCAGGGGTAGTTAGATAGTTGCAAAGCACCCTTCGGTGTTTTTAAAGGGGCTTGCACTAGGCCGGTTCCTATGTGAGTGTCCTTGTACATCTGAGGTACTCCGGTTCAATATGGCTCCGTTCAGCGGATCGTTTATTGAGGTGCAGCCTAAATAATAAACCTTCGTTATTTTTTTAAAGAGCTGTGTCACCATCAGACAAGATAGGAACAGCTGTAGAGGACATAGAGTTCCACGGCAAGGAAGGATGATGCAGTTCCTCAGCCATGACCTATCTAGAAAGAAAGCTTGGTCTATACCAGCCAAAAGAGATGCATGGATCTGTATCCTGCATGGCTGGATGGAGTTTGTCGCCAAATCAGAGTTTGTGTTTATGTTATAGTTTAAAGAAGTAATTAAGAAGTAGTTGACCTGAGAAACAGACCCAACAGCACAAGTAGAGCTCTGCAGTAGACGGGATCCTGTATGGCCAGTGCCAGGGTATTGAGCAATTAGACTGTTCAATCATTGCTTCCACAGTGATTGAATTGCATTGGCTGCCAGCCTTGGGCTGGCCTTTCCAGCGCCAGTGGAAGTAGATCTCTACCAGACAGAGCTCTCCATCCCAGCTCTTGTGCATCTACCCCTGAGTTCCTCTGGAATTCATAGGGGGTGTATGACATGATAATTGGAAGAAAAGACATTCTCTCCGATTTAGGATTTAAGTTCGATTTCACTACTATGTCAGTGGAATGGGACCGTATCTCTATTCCTATGAAGGACAGTGATACTAATGAAGAAGAGAACTTCTTCATTCCCGATCCAACTGCTGTCGATGACAGTGCAGAAAGCCTCAAGCAGATTCTTGATGCTAAATACGAACAAGCTGACTTAAGGCAGGTGTGCCAAAAATAGCCCCAGTTAAATAAGGAAGAGGAGGAAATGCTCCATTCCTTACTGAATAAGTACTCGGGCCTATTTGATGGTACTCTAGGAAAGTGGCAAATGGATAACTACGATGTAGAACTCCTTCCTGATGCTAAACCCTATCATGCAAGGGCTTATCTTATACCACGTGTCCACACCAAGACTTAGAATATGTACGTGCATACATTGATGATCTACGCATCCTAACTAACAGGGATCTGAAGTATCATCTAGAATCGTTGGATGAAGTTCTCCAAAGGCTTCGAGAAGCCGAACTTAAGATCAATGCTACCAAGTCCTTCTTCGCAAGAGGTGAGCTTGAATATCTGGGATCCTGGATTACCCGAGAAGGAATCCAACCTGTAACTAAAAAGATAGACGCGATTCAAAACATCAATCCTCCTAAGAATAGGAAGGAACTTTGCAGATTCATCAGACTGGTGAACTACTATAGAGACATAAGAAGCGTGGATCAGACGATCACGCGTGCTTGCACCACTCGCTTCACTCACTTCCAAAACCAAGAAATGGAAATGGGAAGTCAAACACGACAAGGCCTTTCACCAGATGAAGAAAATCATCAGTAAAGAAACCTTGTTGGCTTACCCAGACTTTAACGATGAATTCGTTATTCACACTGATGCAAGTGATACTCAACTAGGTGCAGTGATTTCCCAGAAGGGAAAACCTATTGCGTTCTACAGCAGGAAGCTTAATCCTGCTCAAACACGCTACACCATTACTGAAAAGGAACTTCTGAGTATCATGGAAACTCTGAAAGAGTTCCGCAATATTCTTCTGGGACAGAAGATTAATGTACATACAGACCACAAGAATCTTACATGTAAGAACTTTAATACCGATCGCATAATGCGATGGCACCTTATTCTGGAAGAATATGGCCCTGAACTACGGTACATCAAGGGCGAGAACAACATCGTCAAGACTTAACATCCTGCACAACGATGGTTCTTCAGAATAGATGGATGCCAGCGAGATTGCTGAGCTCATAGCCACTGACGAAGAGGACCTTCCTAGTGAATTCCCTCTCGAGATTGTTTCCCGAGATCGAACATCGCCAGAAAGATGATGCCGACATCAAGAAACTTCTCCGGGACAAGTCTAAAGACTACAAGAAACAGTCCTTTCACAGAGGCGACAAGACTTATGACTTAGTCATCAATAAGGATGACAAGCAAGATCATCATTTGACCATGCAGAAGACATTGGTCGAATGGTACCATGGCATCCTGGTGAAACTCGCACGGAACTTACCATCGGACAGCACTCTGCCTAGAAAAGGCTTGCGCAAGACTGTGCAATCCGTATGTCAGCATTGTCAAAGCTGTCAACTGAATAAGCCCAAGATGCACAAGCTAGGACATCTTCCTCCCAAGACATGTGAGGAGATTCCATGGGAATAGGTCCCTACACAATAGGAGATCCGAAGAAAAAGGACTCTTGCCCACTCCACTGCTTGACTATGATTGATCCCGGCCGTAACCGGATGGTTCGAGGTCTCGGAGATTCCCTCCAAATCAGCAGATGAAGTAGCTACTAGTAGCCATCGTCCTAGAACAGAGCTGGCTAACAAGGTATCCATGGCCAACTGAAGTTGTCATGGATAGAGGACGCGCGTTCTGCGCAGAAGTCAAGAAGACTCTCCGGGATGAGTATGGACTGTGTCCCACGTTCATTACGACACGCAACCCTCAAGCCAACTCCATGGTCGAGCAAGCTCATCAGACCATCCACAACTTGATCGCCGTCCAAGGCATCAAGACCCAAAACGACCTCGTGAATGGATTCTGGGATGGAAACCTAACCATGGTTCGCAATGAATGCCACGATTCACACCAACTTGCGTGCTACGCCAGCACAACCAGTGTTTAGTCTCGATGCGATCCACAACGTTCACTTTGAAGTGAACTGGCAATGCATTAAGGAATGTCACCAGCGACATATCCAACAAAATAACGATAGAGAGAACGCGACGCGTGTCCCTCATCAATACAATGTCAACGATACCGTGATGATTCAACAGTATCAGCACCGCAAGTACGGTCAGCCAAAGTACAAAGGTCCTGACACTATAGACAGAGTCAATGACAATGACACCGTACGGCTCCGACACGCCACTGCAAATGGCGGCACAGTCTACCAGACTTGGAACATAAGGTATATACACCCATACAAGGCCTGATCCCCTTGTAGGATTGCCATCGTGCGACGCACATGTCTACATCCAATCTCATGAGAGTGCCCCGCACTTTAAATCATATGTTCTCCTTGTCAGACTGCTGTCGTGCCTCCGGCGACCCTTGTCAGGGGGCGAATGCAATACACGGCTCTTAGCCTTATTCGCGACTCGATCCTAGATAGGGTTTGAGTTCATTCAAGACTGAGTCTTTCGCGAATAGTCATTGAGACAGGGTTCTCATGACCGCTAGTCATACTAGGTAGGTTGTGGATGAAACATCGCTCTAGAAATTTAGCTGGCGTGGAGAGCTTGCACGCTACTAGACAGATACTAGCGGAAGTTTCCATGTGTTCCGGAATTGGGGTCATGGAGTACGTAGATTCCCTGCTACAATCTACGATATCACACTTCCAGGCCTCCCGCGGGAGACCTGCTCAAGGAGCTGGTCCGTGGTGGTGGTGGCCTTGCTTGTCCTGTGGTACCGATTCTGGTACCAGTAGTGTTACTCGACGCGAGGAGTTCACCACCCCCTCAGTTTTCAAGCTTCAAACTTGCCACATCTTGATGTGAAATCGAGCACCTCAGTCTCACACTCTTCTATGTGTCATGGCAAGGTTTGTCACGAGGAGTGGTTACTATGGCTCAGAGGGAACTATGGTGAGGATGGGGCACAGGGAGAGAGCACGAGGCACAAAAGTGAACCGAGCAATCAATCGAGTGAGCAGAGCAGCAAAGCCGAAATCAAAGAGAGAGAAAGCAGACATCATACGATGTTTTCAGATGTAGGAATGGGCCGAGCGCTCCAGTTCCTTCATTGAATGCTTTGAGATTTGAAGCTTTTTATGCTTCACACAACAAACAACACAAATTATGATTTGAAGCAATATCTATAGACATATATGATGTCACTCAGCCTACTAAACAAATTCATCGTCAAACTGGAGGGACTCAAGTTTTCGGCTTGGCTCCAACGAGCGTGTTGATCCGTCAATTGGCGCCATATCTGTTTTGTTGCTGCTGTTTTTGTGGGAGGTTGAGTGGCCAGGATCCTCCATGGCATCTAGGCCACCATTTCGCAAAAAGACCTTGCATGGACCATTCTCTTTTCCAGTGACTACAGAGCCAGCAACAGCAAAGCATCCAGGATGCAGAATACCAGATGCATAGGTGTCAGCAACAAACAGTCCATTGCCATCCATGTAGTGGCCATTCAAGCTGGAGTTGTCCACAATTGTGTTGCGCAAGTGAATTTTTCCATATTCATAGATTGCATGGCCGAAATACCAGATGTCTCCTTCAACTTCTGCTCCCATGAATCGTGCATAGTAACCAAACATTGGGGCACCATAGAGGAGCATCTCCAGCCAGTTGCCAACCCGAAAGTACCAGACATGGGTGAGGTAAACTCCAAAGAGTTCTTCTTGGGCTTGGGCTGGGAGATGCAACAAAATAAACTCAACAATCCTGGTGGAAAGAATCCATATGCACAGTTGCAACAGAACTGCAAGAGCCAAAACCAAATGCAACAACAACAGGGGAAGAACTTGCCACAGCTGCCAGGCTGATCTCGTAGGAAGGTATGATAGATGCAAAAACAACCACATTCATAAATTGAAGTGCCACTTCTTCTTTCAGAATAGGAGGCTTCCTTGATCCGCCCACTTCATTCAGGTTGTAGATGCTCTCAGACACATTAGACCTTGGTGGGATTGTGGATTGAATTATCTTGACTCCTGCATGTAAATTGGCACCATAGCTAATGCTGCTTCTGATGATCTCAATCTTGAACTTTCCCTGTTTGCTGAAGTCAAGTGACATGTTGGCAACAAATGATCCCCTGAGCTTTACAAAATCGACATTTGAAGGTCGGAAGTAGAAGTATGGACCACTCAGAGTTGACACCGAGTCAACATCGAGGCCATGGAGGTAAAAAATGATGTTCCATATTTTTGACTGCCCAAAAAAGGGAATAAATGACCAACATGCTGTGCGGAAGTGGAAGTCACATGCCCAATTGGTGGCTCTTCGCCACAGAGACCCCTCAAATTCATCAGATGGATCCCTTTTGCCAATCAAGAGCCATTTGAGGGCAATGCTTGTCACGAGGGCAAGAAAGGATGTCAATGGAAACAGCAAGATCCAATGAAGAATGCCACCATATCGCCAGGATGGTAAGATGATGTTGAGGGTAGTATGGACCAAGAAGGAGAGTGAGAAGAAATGATAGGCTTCTGAAAACATCCACAGAATCTTGAATACATCCAACATGGAATCTTCCCAACTCTTAGACTCGGTGTGCTCAAATGAGCCTGTGTGACATGCTGGGTTTCCTTTGGCAAGTACTCCATCTGGCACCATAGCACCCTCTTCCACAACAGAAAGTTTCTCCACCTTGCAGCCATCTCCAATCTTTACCCCAGGGCTGACCATCCCTGAAACTTGACAGTTATTTCCAATCACTGTGGGGTGGAAGGTCAACTTTGGACCTGCATTTGAAGACTGAGAAAAAATCCTGCAGTTGATCGGCTGTCCAATCGTAGAATTGCTGCCCACTTTGACAAGATCAAATTCTCGGATGTAGGACTCAATCTTGGAAGACGATGCCAGATCTGCCCCTAGCAGCCAGTAGAAAATCCAAATGAATTTTGTTTCCACAAGAAACTGTCCAGCAATTGACTCCCAGATATGCAAGAGCCTGTCCACAAACCACCAGCGAACATAGTCCCATGATAAGAGATCAATCTGTTGATGCCTGTAATTCCCCACTACAGTAACCTTGCAGATTACTACCATCACTGACAGTGACAGTAGGAATAGGGGGAAAGTTATGGGCAAGAAAGCCCATGAGATTGGACAGTAATTCTTCTCACCATTGGTTGAGGAACAATGTTCCATAACCCAGGAGACAAGGAAATAGCATGGAAACACTGACATCAAAACAAGTAGAAGAATCACACTTGAACCAAGAGTTTGGAGCAGCCCCATCTGGAGCTTGCTTATTCTGGCTCTTGATGAGTTCCAAATGAAATTTGGGTGGTAGTCTGTGTTTTGCTTGGGAAAGCTCTTGCCCTCTGATGCTGACAGGTGCTCTGATAGTGCCTTGGGGGTTGGGAAAAGTTGCTCAAAGTTTGCAGGGAGTACGACAAGATGCTCCTCTTCCACCTTGTTCCGAAGTTCAGCACTCTGGAGTGATGTGAGTCCATTCTCAGTCCAGGATTTTGATGGGTCCACTTCAGAACCCAAGACAGAAATGATCGTGTGCATACATCTGGAAGCCGCTTTCTCTGGGCCCACAACTCCAGCATCTGCAGTATCATGCAGCCTGGGGACTGCTGTGCTTACTGTAGCTGAATGGTTTGCCAACCCCCACTGGTCAAACTTGGACAGCCAGTATTCTTCATTGAGTGCCATCCCATTGTTACTCCTCTCAGAGGGTGCACAATATCCAAGCTGTTCAGCCCAAGATAGGTTTAGATTTCCGAGGAGACGGAGGGCTCTTCGTGACAAGATTGGCTTGTTGTAGAATCTCGGAGACTCTATTTTTCTTCCTGTAGCCTGTAAAACCAGGTACAGACTAGTCATCCTTGCATGTAAAAAAGCTGCACCAACATCTCCAATAAGGCTGGGTAGCAGCAGTTTGGATAGCATCCATGCAGAAGAGTGCTCGTCTCCAATCCCTGCATCAAAGAAAGAAAAAAGAAACAACACAATTAGTTTGCACCCAAACAAAATACATGACATCCATGGGACAAACACACTTACATGCTACAACATGGATGTCCCAAGCAATGTAGAGATCCTTCCAAGAAGGGGTATGATGCTCCAATAGAGCCTTGTTTGATTTGGTCCAGTCTGCTTGAATGGGAGAGGTTGCCAGCATCCTTCCAACTTGGTAATTCTCCGGTATTCCATTTTTTTGCTCAACCCAAACAGCCTCCAACAAATTTAGACACAAGAGGTTGTTGATTGTTTCAATTTGTGTTTCAAGAGGTGGTTCTTCAGGACAAGTAAGAATTTTGATGACTGGCTTTGATACTGCTCGCACCGACCTGTTTTTAATCCAAAGGAAGAATGGCCACTTCCCATACATTGGGTCTTGTTCTGGTAGGTCAAGCATCTCTTGTAGCTCCACTGGAACTGTCTGTGCAGTCCCACCCGAGTTCTCCCACTCAGTGTCGATCTGCAACTTTTGTTGCATGCACTCGGCATTATCCATCATAAAGGTTGTTGCCCATTGAAGGACAAAGATTTGGTGTACAAGCTGCAAAAGGAAATCTGTCAAATCATCAATCAAGATCCAGTCTGGGTTTGCAACAAGACTGTGAGCAAGCTGGCAGATGCTTGGGTGCTTATCCTCAAGATGCATCATGATTTGGGAGCACATGGCTTGCATTGCAGCTGTTGTCTTGATGGCTTTGGACCAAGCTTCAGCAATGCCAGAGACTCCAGAAAGCTGAAGGTCAGAGAAATACTCCTCCAACTTGCTGGGGTTGCAGTCTACAGCTTGAACAGCTTTGATAGCTTTGCTGGGGAGGGCTTTTTTTTGGCTAAGGTCAATGCCAGGAAGCATTCCTTGAAGCTCATCTTCTTTTCCACCCTTGCCACTGTTACCATCAAAAGAAGAAAGTGGCTCCTCCTGCAAGTTCCAGTTAACAACACTCATAGATTGCCTCATGATTTCATGTTCGGTTTCTTCATTCAGGTAGGACTCAGTGGTAGCAACACCATGCATTGAAAAGCTTTGCTCAAGGAAAGAGGGACGCTGACGTCGAATTTTCTGAAGAGGAGGAAGAGCTTGCTGCCTCTGGAACTGAAGCAGTATGGAAGATTCCTTCCAATTGCCATCAACGGTTGTTTGCCTGATCTCACTTCGCTTAAGCTTGCCAGAGGTAGTTTTTGGTGTCACACCCAATTTTAGGACCAATGCCTCAGACACAAAAAGACCATGCACTTGGGACACATGGTTGGCTATCTGGACTGCCAAGGATTCATTTGGTGTCTTGTCAAAGTCCTTGCGGCCCTCCACTGTGATACCAACACTGTCCTCCCCATGCTGGAAGGCAGTGGTCCTTCCTGGGCGGATAAGATCACCAAAGAGAGCATCAATAGAGAGCTCCACATCTGTTGGATAGTAGTTCTTGCCATTGATAATGATAACATCTTTGACTCGTCCAGTGACATAGAGCTGCCCATCGACAATCTTGCCCAAATCACCAGTGTCAAGCCAGCTTCCATCATAGCTGGGCAAAGCATTGGCAAAGGTAGCAGTGGTTAGCTCAGACTGACCATAGTACCCTGCTACCACCCGGGGTGACTGGACCCAAATGCTTCCAACCTGTCCTTCTTCAACCTCTTTTCCGTCCTCAACAATGCGAAGCTTGAGGGTTGGCGAGTTTACTTCACCACAGCAGAGAAGCCCTTCAGAGTCAGGGTAGGCAGAGCCACCTGTGAGAAACACCACAGACTCAGCGAGCCCATAGATGTTGTAGATATGTTCAGACTTGATGGAAAGGGTCTTGGCCACTGAATCCACAACGTGGCGCTGGGCGGGTTCACCCCCAAACATGGCCCGCTTTACACAGCTCCAGTTGGCTTTTCGGTTGGCTTGCTCCAACCTCTTAAGCAGCAAGGCATAGGCAAAGTTGGGGGCACATGTAAGGGTTGCCTTGTAGGTCTCGATCATATCACTCCATAGAAGTGGGTTGGCAACAAAATCCAAAGGGGATGCCACGACCAGGGAAGTTCCAAAATAGAGGGTAGTCATGAAGCCTGCAACAAGCCCCATGTCTGTCAGAGCACCAGAAAGATACAAAAGTGAGAGGATAGCAGCTTTCTAAAAGCCCAGAATGAGGAACTGCAGATTGGACCTTACCGTGGTATTGTGGGACCCACAAGGCTCCCACTGTACTGCCAACATTGGAAGCATTTGTACCAGACATGGCAGAAATAGCAATGCAATTCTCTGCTAGGTTTCCGTGACTGATCATGACTCCTTTGGGGCGACCAGTACTGCCCGATGTGTACTGGATAAAGCAGACTTCCGTTGCCCCTCCCTCAAACTTCTCATAATGTTTGGGCTTTTTGGGGTTGCTTTTCTTGATTGGTAGTTGATCAGTTCCAATCCACTTCACTCCAGTCTTGTAGAGGACACTGACTGCAGTCATGGCAGTGGCAAAAGCTGAAGTACTGAGAGCATACTTGGCTCCAGCATCCACAGCAAATCGGCGGAATTTGGGCATATCAGTCTTGAGCTCGTTAGGGTTGGGTGGATAGATGGAACAGGGAATGACTCCGATCTTCATAGCTCCAAACATGCCAGCCAAGAACTCAAGGCCAAAGGGGTATGCCACCATGACACGATCTCCTTTCTTGCGTCCCAATTTGAGGAGACGATGAGCCACAGTATTGGATTCATCCTCTAGCTGCTTGAATGTCATGCGTCGTTGTTCTTTGCACCTGATGTCGACCCAAGTAAAGACAACCTTGTCTGGAGTCTGAGTAGCATGGTGGTTGAGGGCCTCAAGGATAGTAGAAGAGAATTTCATGGCTGTTGCGTTGATGATAGAAGTTTTGGTGGATTCGATTAATGGCAGCTGTGTTGCAAAGAATAGTAAGAGATGATCGAGCGAAGAGCTGATCGAGTGAAGAGATGCGGAGAAGGAGTGCTCTGGATGACACGAGTGGTCTGTCCTTTCTTTGTTTTCTTTCTCTCGTCGTTGGATTGTGATGAGATGAGGCAGCCAACGACATCCTTGTGAGCTGCCTCGGTGGGTGCTACTAGTATAGTTGACCTCGGCAGTCTTGCTGCCAGAGCCCTCAACCCCTTTAATTGTTTTTCCTGCTACGGTGGTCCCTGCAGGTATAAGGGTAGGGTTAGAATACAAATAATTCAGCAAAAACTAAATTACGTCTCCTGAGACGACGCTCCTTTAGGTTACCCCTCAGTTGCACTTCTGAAATCGATTGGCTCGCGTTTACTGTGTAAATTAGTGTACCCGCACTTCAGTTGCAAATCAACGTCATGTGTATCTAAGTACCAAATTCCCTTTAAATTTAGATCGATTCGTGGATAAAAAGAACCGTTGAAGGTTCTAAGGTTAAGGTTAAACCAACTCATCGCATGCACACGTACCGGTACCAGGTACATGTACAGTCCAGCCAAATCCATTGTTGAAGGTGCAGCACTGACTTCTCTCCCTCATTGAATTCGTATGGTAAACAGGAAGAAATCCAGCTTGGCCGACAAGAGTGAGTATGCGTTGAAGGAGTTATCCATCGGCCGATCGATCGAATCGATTCGAGGTAAGCCTATTATCAAGATTGTTATTGAAGGTGCAGCGCTGACTTCTCTCCCTCATTGGATTTCTATGGTATTCAGGATAGAATTCCGAGCTCGGCCGTCAACAGGTGAGTTGTTTTAGTATTGATGATATCGATCGAACGCACCTCTATTATCTCTGTTATCCAAGCTCACTCAAGCCGGTTGACTCTGGTACAGATTCGAAAGCCACCCCTCATTGAATCCTATGGACCATGGGATGGCAGTCAGTTCTCGGCCCATTATGGCCAAGTTGGTGCAATTTGAAAAGCAAGGGTAAGTCCCGGTCGTCTGCAGTTGAGCACAGAAAAAAAACTCATATCTATTTTTGTTTTCTCTGTGCACTGCTGACGGCCGATGATTACCATTGCGTCGAGTCCTTTTCGAACGAACGCTCCGGAAAACAAGAGAGGAGAGGCTACCACTACGGAGGAGTCTGTTAACTCCAGCCCTACCAACAGCATGGACGGATCGTCGTCAAGTCATTGAATGGCAACAAGAGGAGGAGGCTACTGCGCGACAACACACAAGAGAGTGGATCCTCCTAAGGATTCACCCTCCAGTGTCTTCCTAGTGATTTGGTGGTGATTCCTGTGTCGGCACCCATTTTCCTGCATGCACAAGTCCTCCAGCGACGCGACAACCGGCAACGGAGTGTAGCAGCAAAGCGGAGCCTGAGTGTGTTCGGTACTGTTGACACTGTCGCCGATGTAACTGTACGGTAGCCGGCTACATGGCTGGATTAATAATATTCGATTTTGTGCATGTATTCGTCATAAGGATCCAATGCAAGGTAACCGAGTGCAGCGAGCAAGCCGAACCTGAGTGTGTTCGGTACTGTTGCCACTGTCACCGATCGATGAACTCTACGGTAGCTAGCTACAATGGCTGGATTAACAATTTCGATTTTGCATGTATTCGTCATAAGGATCCAACACGAGGCACTTGTACCTAAGAGTAGCGAACAAAGCCGAACCTGAGTGTGTTCGGTACTGTTGCCACTGTCGCCGATGTAACTATAAGGCAGCCAGCTACAATGGCTGATTGACAATATTCGGTTGTGCATGTATTCGTCATAAGGATCCAATACGAGGTACTTGTACCGGAGAATAGCGAGCAAAGCCGAACCTGAGTGTGTTCGGTACTGTTGCCACTGTCGCCGATGTAACTATACGGCAGCCGGCTACAATGGCTGATTGACGTATTCGGTTGTGCATGTATTCGTCATAAGAATCCAATGTGAAGTTTCTGAGTGTAGGGAGCTGGAACTAAGGAATCAAGAGACGAACGCTGAAAAACTGAATAAGTATCCTAGGATGGTGCTTTTAAACCAGCTAAAGCTATTTACATGCATCCTAGTAGGGGATCTGCTTCTACCAGGAAAAACTCTAAAGCTAGCAAAAGCTATATAACAAGTATTCTACCTAGCTTGGGGTATCTGCTTCTAGCTTGCTATGGGAATCTGCTTCTAGCTAGGGGATCTGCTTCTAGCTATTTAAGCGCAAGTTAAGCACTACAGGTATCTGCTTCTAGCTAGCTAGCTAATAGGGGTATCTGCTTCTACACTGAAACCTTTCTGCCGAGGTTACACAGCTCCGCTGGCTTATTCTTTACCAGTAAATTCTTTTGTGTTGACCAGCTTCCACAAACAAGTGGGACCCAGCGACAGAATCAGAAGCCATCACATCCAGATTTAAGAGATCGAAGTTGGCTGTCACAGGTAGATGCGTTAACATTTGATTTAAATGCAAATTGTTAGAGTAAACAAAAACTGTAACCCCAAGTTTACCATAACTACGCATCCAAAGCTGTCCAATCTGAACCTGGCCGCCCAGAGTATTTCTTTTTTTCGATAGCTACCACCAGGTAGCTACTAGCTAGCTGTCTAGTCTAGCTTCGTTGCGTCGTCTTTTTACCCAAATTTGGGTGTCTTGAATGGATCGACGCCGTCAATGCAAATGGCTCCCAGCATTCGTTCGGGCAATTCCTGTGGGGCAGTATTACCTCGTTTTGCTGGAAATTGACTTTTTGCAATGACAAAGACGCTTTCTGCCGCATGATGTCTACCGGGTTACCGGTACTACTATTAATAAAGAACATGAGTTCTCGAAAGAAGAGTCATCCACAAGACGCTGGCTAGGTGCTTTCACAACCTTTGTTGGAGCAAGAGTACAAGAGGTCTACTAGTGTCATTCGCTTGTACTCCATTCTTTGCTTTTAACAAAGGGCTAATGCAATCAACACGACCCACTAGCCAGGTCTTTCAGTAGGCCAAGCTCCCCGCAACGCAAGCAATCAATCCTATGTCGATCGATGGCGAGGAGGCGACTGTAGATCTAGTTCGTCGCCACTTGATCGTGCAAACTACTGGACACTTCATCAGATTCTGATCTGTTTGGCTGCAACGCTGCAAACATCATAACAGTTGTGCAGGTACAGTTCTTAGCACGATCGAGAGTTGCGCACTATTCTGTACTCTCAATGCTTCAGTTCGTTTCATTTACCCATGAGCAAGGGACATTGTACGAAGGTTGTGTTCGTTTATCTGTGTCGACTTACGAGCTGATCAGTTTGTTTAACTGGAACCATGATCTTGGGACATTGTACGAAAATGGTACTTGAGACAGTTCTAATTGGGGTTCAGTTTGTTTAACCACAACTATGATCCAGGGACATCGTAGCGAAGTTTTTGTACACTGTACTGTCGACATCAGCTGCATGAACACCCAATGCTGTACGGTACTAGTACTGTAGCATCTATCGTTGTGGTTCAGACTAGTAGAAGATACGATAGTAAAAGGGGAAGTCTAAATGGAACCGGTACATGTAGATTAGTCTATATTTGCTCATTCCAACACAAATGCTTGATCATGCAAAATGTAGACAGCAAATCCATTAAAAGAAGCACCAGGTCCTGCGCATGTACCACACTATGCCTTGCTTGGCAGCTTGGTGTCGCCGTCATCAGACCGCGTCTTTTGCAGGGTTCTACTACGGTACTAGCTAGCTAGCCGGCTCAATATCTATAATATCCAGCAGGCACGAATCTGTGTCGTCGTGGGCATTGAAGAAGGGTGTTCCCTATCCGGATAGCTAGCCAGGACGAACAATGGAAGCTGCGATTGGCCCCAGCGGGTGCTTCTAAAGATAGAGATTATCGCTACCTTGCTACCCGTGCAATTTCTACTTTGTCAACGATCCAAGACTTGAAGCATCATTGCTTTGTCACTTTTTATGGGATACCGGTATGTCTACCGGTACTCCATCTATCATACAGGCTCGTAAGCACATCCAGGCAGGCAAGCACCTAAGCTCCATGGGAGTTCGAGTTGTGGGCATCACTTCACTGCATCTCGTTTCCGTCGTGCCTGAGGATCACGTACGGATCCCTTCGGCAGTCTGAGGATGCGTGGCCTAGCTAGATTTTGTGATATGAACTAGCCCCGAACTATACCGGTGCGATGCATTGATGGATGCTGGGGCCCCCAAGTCAGATGGCTGGAGGATCTCTGCCTCTCGATTGACTGGAGTGTATAATCGTACGGTTGTCGTTTTTTTTGTTTTTGTTTGGTAGTAATTGCCAAGCATAGCTATGAATCACCCAATCCTCTACGCATGGGCCGCCCAAGTTGTTGCAGTCGCTCTCGCCGTATCATGAGACGGCGTTTCCGCCTCCGGAGCCATCTTCTCCGTTCCCACTTTCTTTTACGGAGCGTCTGTCGGCGCTTTCGAAGCGTGCGTCGTCGGTTTCGTTTCATCATTTGTTCCTTTCGGGCGGTATTCATGGCCATGGTTTGTGGTTGGGTCGGAGGAGGAGCTGGTATAGGTTGTGGCACGGCTAGAGTAGCTTGTGGCACGGCCGGGTTTGTTTGTGGCTGTGTTTCGGCAGCTGCCATCGTTTTGATGGCTTGACTGGACGCACAGACTTGTGGTTTGGCATTGTCAACAAAAACGGCCGAAACGGCACCCTCGTATCCCTCCATATCTTTGGCCTGAAAGTACAGAACGTACTGGCCAGTGGTTCCAGATGTGTCCATGATGTAGACGAGTTCTTCTTCGATACTGTCAAAGGCGCCGTCCAATGGGGCCATGAGAGTCCCATGATTGAACGTGTTGTCGTAAGGGTGGGCATTCCAGAACACGCGCACCTCGGCGATTGCTTGGCTTTTATCTTTTTCGTCGTCGTACACGGCCCATGGGACAATCAACGCTTCATCACTGGCTTTGAGTGTCATGGTGGTTTGGGTGGGATCACTGTTGTCGACGCAAATATTGAGAATATCCGGCCCTAATGGAATCTTGTATGGAGCGCTGACAGATTTCGCAGCATATAGGAGTGATTCGGTCAGAATGGGGACGATACTGGACTTGAGCTCCGTACAAGAAGCGTAGAACTGACTCCCAATTTCATAGCCAACTGAAGCGATACAGTCGATCCCATACGTCGCATCCGTGGCATCCCCCGAAACAAAGTAGAGGAATCCACTCTGTCCTGGTCCCCAGAGCGTGTAGTTACCCGGACGGGCCAGTTTGGCGGATAGCGTCAATAAACTCCGATGATTGGGTGACTGCAGGTCGGCAAAGCCCCATGGAAAGTAGACGAAATCACCAGAGGAATGGACATCCACAAAGATTCCCGTGGCGGTATCTTCCGGACAGACATCTTGATACATTGCTTCGGCTTGCACGACGGTGCCTTTTTTGATTTGTTGGGGAAATAGATTATGCGCATAGTTGTAGACGGCACTGGTCTCGGGCTCGGACAAGGCGGACGATCCTCGATACGATGTGGCACAGGCGCTGTTGCTGGATCCGTGGTCAGATCCCCATGCAAAGGGGTAATTGCGATTGAGATCGACGCCTTGTTGGTGTTCCGGACAACCCACGTCACGAGCATTTTTGCGATACATCCAACCGAGGTGATTCTGAACAATGTCACGTCCATCGGGATTGGCAACGGGAACAATGTGAATCTGGGTGCGTTGTAGAATCCACGTAATATCGGCGTCAATGCCGTAGTTTTGTAGCAAATGCGTGGCCCACCTCATGACTGCTTCCGGGGGAGGCAACTCGCGGGAATGGTGTCCCGCAACCACCATGAGATTGTGTTTTGTAAAGGTAGAGGGCGCCGTTAGGATCATGACTTTGATGTCATTGCCGCCGAGTCCTTGCTGTTTCCGCCACGATTCTCCAATCGTATCGATTGTAACGAACGTGGGATATCGAGTGGCCAGATCGTCCAGACTCGTGTAGGTTTCGTCTACCGTACGGTAACAACTGAACTGATCGTTGATGCCTTCGAGGTTTCGTCGAGTGGCGTCCTCGTCATTGGCCGACGTTTCGTAGTGTAGGAGTCCCGCGGATTCGAGTTGATCCAACTGCGTCGCTTCGTCTTGACTGTGCACAATTACTCGAAGTTGAACCATTTCTCTGCTGTCATCGTCACCTTTCTCGTAAAGACGTTTGCTACCCTTGTGCTGAATATCCCAGACAGCGCCATGAGTCGAAGCTACCTCTCGTGTCGTCTTCACCAATGCTATAAACTCTCTTTGGTCATTGCCGGCTACAACTATCACTCGACCTGCTAATAGCAAGCTCTGGAGTAACAAAAGTATCCTCCTCATTGTCACCATTGCTACTGATGTTTTTACTGTATTAGGTTGTTGCGTTTTGTGATTTGAGGGTTCCTCGAGTTGACCGAAAAGCAATGCCCGTCACAATCCCACCAAATTTGAGCATCCAACGGAAGAAGGTGTAGTGACAATCAGACGTGCATTCAGTATCTTTCTTCTCAAAGATCCGACGTGACATCAGCCAGCCCTAGCACCTTTAGGTTACCCCCTCAGTGCACTCTGAAACCGATTGGCTCGCGTTTACTGTGAAAATTAGTGTACCCGCACTTCAGTTGCAGAATCAACGGTCATGTGTATCGCGAAAGATTTAGATCGATTCGTGGATACAAGAACCGTTGAAGTTACTAAGGTTAAGGATAAACTGAATGCCTGCAGCTCGTACTGGTACCGTTCAAGTCCATCATTGAAGGTGCAGCACTGACTTCTCTCCCTCATTGAATTGCTATGGCAAAGAGGAGAGAAATCCAAGCTTGGCCGACAAGAATGTTGTTGGAACGATTGAACGACTGGTACGGTACAAGGTAAGCCTATTATCAAGAGTGTTAATTGAAGGTACAGCGCTGACTTCTCTCCCTCATTCAATTCCTATGGTAAACAGGAGAGAATTCCGAGCTCGGCATCAACAGGTGAGCTGTTTTAATTATTCGAATCGATCGATGCACCTCTATTATCTCTATTTTCAAGCCTCACTCAAGCCGTCCTTCTCTGGTGCAGATTCGAAAGCCATCCTCATTGAATCCTATGGACCGTGGGATGGCAGTCAGTTCTCGGCCCATGACGGCCAAGTTGGTCAATTTGAAAAACAATGGTAAGTCTCCGGTTGTCTGCAGTTGAGCACAGAAAACAAAACTCATATCTATTTGTTGTTTTCTCTGCTGCACTGCCGCGGCCGAGGAAATCCCATTGTCGCGGTCCAACGAAGATTGATCGCTCCGAATAAAACGAGGAAGAAGAGGCTACCGCTACGGAGTATGTGTACGGAGGAAACTGTTAACTCAGCCCTACCAACAGCATGAACGACGTCTTCGAGTCATTGAATGGCAACAGTCAACCGGAGGAGGCTACACGACAACGCACAAAAGCACAGAGGAGAGTGGATCCTACTACTGGAATCATCCCTCCAGTGTTATTCCTTGTGATTTGGTGGTGATTCCTGTGTCGGCACCCATTTTTCTGTATGCACAAGTCCTCGGGCAACGACTTGCTTCTTTCGTAAGATAATAGATCATCGAGTCGTCGACTCATTGAAAGGGAACAGAGCAAGGCTAGCTACTCGACAACACACAAGAGAGTGGATCCTCCTACCGGATTCATCCCCTCTTGTTATTTCCTACTGTTTTGGTGGTGATTCCTGTGTGGTACCCATTTTCTGTATGGCAATCAAGTATGTTGCCACTAGCTATACGGCAGCTGGCTACAAGGCTGGATTACAATATTCGTTCGTTTCTGTATTCGTCATAAGTCCAATGCGAGGTAACGAGTGCAGCGAGCAAAGTCGAACCTGCGTGTTTCGATTCGTGTTGCCACTGTCACTGATCGATGAACTCTACCGGTACGGTAGCTGGCTACGATGGCCGGATTGACAATGTTTGTTGTGCATGTATTCGTCATAAGGATCCAATGCAAAGACCGGTAACGGAGTGTAGCCAGAAAGTGGAACCTGTGTGTTCGGTACTGTTGCCACTGTCACGGATCATGTAACTCTACGGTACTGGCTACAATGGCTGGATTGAGAATTCGGTTGTGCATGTATTCGTCATAAGGATCCAATCGAGAACTCCAGCGACTCCGAGTAGACGAGACGAACTTTCCGTACTGTTGCCACTGTCGTCGTGTAGCTATACCGCAGCGGCTACAATGGCTGGATTCATAATGTTCGGTTGTGCATGTTTCATCATAAAGATCCAATGCAAGATACGCAACGGAGTGTAGCCAGCAAAGCGGAACTGAGTTTGTTCGTACTGTTGACACTGTCGCCGATGTAAGATGGTAGCCGGCTACAATGGCTGGATTAACAATATTCGGTTTGTGCATGTATTCGTCATAAGGATCCAATGCGAGGTAACCAACTGCAGCGAGCAACAGCGTCGAACCTGAGTGTGTTCGGTACTGTTGCCACTGTCACTGATCGATGAACTCTACGGTAGCTGGCTACGATGGCTGGATTGACAATGTTCGGTTGTGCATGTATTCGTCATAAGGATCCAAAGCAAGGTACCGGTAACGGAGTGTAGCCAGTAAAGCGGAACCTGAGTGTGTGTTCGGTACTGTCACGGATCGATGTAACTCTACGGTAACTGGCTACAATGGCTGGATTGACAATATTCGGTTGTGCATGTATTCGATCCAAATAGCGAGCAAACTGAGGAAACAGGAGACGAACGCTGAAAAAAAGCCGAATACATCTTATGTTTGCATTAGGGTTGGGGAACTGTATCCAATCGCTTGAGTCCCACGGAAAGTGCTAAGCTTCCACGAACCAATTCTAAAGAAGCAAACGATCATTGGGATGTTCGTCGTTTGCATGACATGAGAAGAAAGACAAACAAGCACAATGAAGAACAAGGAGCCTTGGTATGCAACCACAGCCGATGGAGTCCCCCTGGTGGCTGCTGTCCCATTGGTGGATGCACAGGAAGAAGAAGAAGAGATTCCCGTTTTGGTGGTTCCCCCCGTCACAACTTCGGAAGTCGTGGCGTTCGCCGCAGCTGCTGAAACCACAGATCATCCGCAGCCTTCGGCGCCCACATTGGAAGAATCATTTCAGCAGCAGCTGAGTTTGAAGGAAGTTCCTACAAGTACTACCCGCCGCGAACAGAAACGAGAATTCAAGCGAGAATGGAGGACCATGAAGCGCCAAGCCAAGCAGGAATGGCGTCAAATGAAACGCGACGCCAAACTGGAAGCGAGGGCATTGAAACGAGAGTTTCGAAGCGAGAAACGTGCGCTGGGACGCAACCTCAGTGACGTGAAGCAAGATCTCAAGCAGGAAAAGCAAATGATGAAGGATGATGCCAAGCAAATCAAGTGGGATGCCAAATCTAAAATTCAGGAAAAGAAGAGAGAGTTGCATCACATGAAACGATGCATGAGGAAGAACATGCTCGCAGGTACCTTTTGTTGTCACTAACAAAGTAGTGGGCTAGCTAGCTAGTTTGCAGATCCACAGGCACTTGGCTGCAAGGAACAATGAATCAGACAAGCAAGAAAAGCCAAGTAGGCCCTTATGAAGATTCTAACCTCATGTATCTGTGTTGACTTGGATGGCTGGCTTGCTATAGTTAGTCCCTGTACATGTAGGGTTAACTTGTGGCGTACCACAACCACAGCCAATGTCGGGTATCTAGCGAGCTAAGAGCTACCGTACTAGCTAGAGGTCCTTCGTTGGACAGCCTCTATAAGATTCTGGACCCAGACTTCTACATTTGGCCTGGTCGATACTACTAGTACAGTAAAACCCCATCGCTCCTCACCTACACCATTAGCCCCCCTCGCTCCTTAAAAACTCTAATTTAGACTTGCTAGCTGGTTTTATTGCCGGTGAAGCACACCACCGCCACTCATTAGTTACCTCGTGGCTCGAGGCTCGTGGTCGCCCAAAACAACCACAATGACCATGGCAACAAGCAAGCAGCAGACTGTCACTCTTTGGTTGGAGCAAGCAAGCAAGGAATCAAATCACTGATCACACACACAACAGACAGACAGACACAGCGCGACGTGCCCTATACCGTACAGATTGCCAGAACTGGTAGGCCTTGCTTAAATTGTAGGAATACCAACTGGAGTACGGTACAAACAAAATGGGCGAACGACTGAGACAATTCTTCATTTCACAAAGAAGCATACTATCGGTACCGTATAGTAGCAGGGATCAGAGACTTAAGGATAAAAACTACTACTACTAGCACTGGATGAGTAACCGAGGACTGGTGACGGAAACTGCGTTTTGTAAGCGCGGGGACTGTGTCAGGATCGGCGAAAACAAAGTCAAAGTGGTTGGATCTCAACGAACTGAGACCATACTAGCTACCGGTAGCTACCGGTAGGTAGTGGACAGAAGAAGCCGCTATGTCTGATGAAATACAGGAACTGTCGGATGGACTTAAAATGCTATGTACGACGGCCACGGAAACCACAAGACAAGACAAGTCTAGTAATAGTGCACTCCCCTGCCCTGTGCAGTGTAGGCAGCAAGTCATCTTTGTAGTCGAGTTATTGTGTTTCTGGAAGGCTAGCTTGTTTCCAAGAGAACCCAGCAATTCATTTTTCCGGATCGATAGGTGGCACTCGTCATGCACACCAACTGTTTAGCTTGCTATAGTTAGCTATAGGTTTCGATCGTTCGAGCAAGTACTGTTGCTACAGCTTGAAGTGTGTCATAATTACAGTCGCCGAACCGAATCAGAATCGATTCATTCAATCGAGCCCCGTTGACCCTTCAGGGCAGCTTTGGATCCTCGTCGTCGTGACTCTTGCTACAAACGTACCGATATGTTGTACGATACGCATGCACCAGTAGTGGGACCAAGGATGGCACACGCCACATGCAGCTCGAGCCCTCCAAACTATAAGGAGCTGATCCCTCCCTTCAAGCAAGCAACAGCATTGATATGGATAGCCAGCCAGGCAGCCTTGCTTGACTGAGAAGCACAGGGGATAATCGATATGACTGACTCGACTCTTACTACTCGATTCAAGTTGCGTACGGTACGATGTGGCTCGAGCCCGTCACTATATACCGTGCGGTACGTATCCGCAAAAGACGACCAGTCGAGCATCGCTTCTGACGCTGGAGGCAGGCGATCGTGATGATTTATTTGATCGCAAATCGTAACTTCGCCATCAAACATGCACGGATATCATCACATTTACTGCCTACCTGGCGTCCCCATGCATGCAGTCAAGTCTTCCAACTTGCTTCAAGCAAGCTGAGTTCTATCGCACGGTCTATATAGCTGTTGACCTCTGGCTCACTCTTTTTATTTCAGAGGAACCGCAACGACGGCGGCGCTACAACCGACCATCCATTTGGAGGTGCGGGAAATTTGAGGAACGATTCAGGATCCCCCCGTCTTTGCCAAGCTAATGATACTTGATAATGATCACATCGCCATAGTTGATCGGTAAACGGCCCGAGATAAAGTATACTAGAGTTTTGGTTGGGCATTGCGCACACGGTTGTACTGCCAACTGCCAAGATCGAGTTCATGTGCTGGTCTGATCTGATCTGCCCCATTTGCTCCTAGCTAGAAGGAAGCAATAACTGGACGGTGCTCTATAGAACTCACATCACATGTCTGTAGCCTCGAGTCCTGGTAAATTGGCTGGTCAAGTGCTCAGGAGGGTGTATCAAAAAGAAACTGGTTTTGCAGTGAGAGTACAGTACTGGCACCGTTCGGAAGTGGATTTGTTGGTTTGGGAGATGCCAGAACCAGGAGTGGGAGTCCTTTGGCCATGGAGTTGAGAGAATCTCTCAGGGTTCAAGATCCCAAACGAGACTTGCCATGCGGGGAAGACCCTGGCTATGGTGCCACTGCTCTACAAGGGGCTAGTTTTGCTTTACTTCCTTGGCTTGCACCGTCATTCCTCTCAACTCCTGCTGGCTGGCCATGTCGAGAATATAAGTGAAGATAGCAGGGCGTATGGATTTTTTGTGCTATTATTGTGTTCTGTCTATACAGATGAACGAGCAGACTCATCTTCCCATATGGAATCACAGAATTGCTTCCTTGTAGTAGCTGTCATTCCTGCTCGGTCCTGCCCTTCCTTTGTATCTGTTTTGAGAAAAAACTTCCATGGACCATTCTCCCCAGACACAACAGATCCAGCAGATGCATAACATCCCGGATGGACAACACCAGATACAGAAGTGTCACCAATCGTTATCCCATTGCCATCAATGTAATGACCACTAACATGGGAATCATCCACAATCGTACAACCATGAAAGTGTAGCTTGGCATACTCATAGAGAGAATTTCCATAGTACCAGAGGTCACCGTCAACTTCAGCGCCCATTCTGCGAGCATAGTATGCAAACATTGGTGTTCCATGTAGAAGCATCTCCAACCAGTTTCCATTTCGGAACTGCCAAACATGGTTGATGTAGATACCAAAGAAACTTTGTTGAGGATGTGTTGGTAAGCTCAATGCAATCTTTTCAACAGCTCGGGTTAAAAGCAACCAAAGAAACAGTTGAAGAACAATGGCTGCAGCAAGACCACACAATGTCGTTCCAACTGATGCGCTCTTCACAGCAAGAAGGCCAAGCTCATAAGAAAGCATGAGAGAAGCAAAAAGGATTGCATTTACCAGCAGTTGCAATACCTCAGGAAGGAATAAGTCCATTATCAAACTAGTCTTCCAGGCCTGGCACGAGTGGTTGAAATCGTAGATACTATCAGCAACATTGGACCTTGGAGGTATTGCTGATTGCATGATCTTAACTCCTGCATGAACATTGACATTGTAGCCAATGCTGCTCTTGATGATCTCAATCTTGGACTCCCCATGATTGCTGAGGTCAAGAGTGCTGGTGGCAATGAAAGACTTCCGGATCTTGACAAAGTCAACCTTGGATGGGATGAAGATTCGGTATGGGTTGCTGATGCAAGATTCTATATCCACATCAAGGCCATGGAGGAACAGAATGATGTGCCAGAGCCTTGTCTGACCAAAGAAAGGAGTAAGAGGCCAAGCTGCAATCGAAAAGTGGAAGTCGCATGCCCAATTAGTTGCCCGGCGATAGAGCGATGATTCGTATTCATCGGATGGATCCCGTTTACCAATCAAAAGCCACTTGAGTGGAATGCTTGTGAGGAGGGCAAGGAAGGAGGAGGCAAGAAAAAGAAGGAGCCAGTGCAGGATGATCTCATAGCGCCACATGGGCATGACTTGAATTAGCGTGATATGGACCACGTAAGACAGTGTGAAGAAATGATAGGCTTCTGAAAACATCCACAGAATCTTGAAAATGTCCAGAAAGGATTCTTGCCAAACCTCTGATCTGGAATGCTCAAATGATCCACAATGACATGCTGGGTTTCCTTTTGCAAGCACACCATCAGGAACTATAGCTCCTTCTTCCACAACAGACAGTTTCTCCACCTTGCTACCATCACCAATGACAGCACCCAGACTCACCATCCCAGACACCAGACTGTCTTTCCCAATAATGATGGGGTGAAATGTTATCCTGGGGCTTGATCCTGTTGAGAGAGAAAACTTCCTGCACCTTACGGGGAACCCAACTGTGGCATTGCTGCCCACCTTTACCAGGTCAAACTCACGGATGTAGGCTTCAATCTTGGCTGACCATGCCAGGTCTGCTCCAAGGAGCCAGTAGAACACCCAAATGAACTTGGTCTCAAGAACAAATTGTCCTGCAATTGACTCCCAAACCTCGATTAGTCGGTCCATGAACCACCATTGGATGTAGTTCCAAGTTAAAAGATCAAATTGTTGCCTCCGGTATTTTCCAATAACCGTATACTTGCAGAAAATCACGAGCATGGAGAAGGAAAAGATGAACAGAGGAAAGACTAGGGGCATAGACATCCAAAATATCAAGCAAAGGGGTTCTTCATCTCGAAATGAGTTGCACTGGTACATAACCCAGGTGATAGCAAAGTAGGAAGGAAGAACGGAAATCATGAGGAAAAGAATAATAATGAGTGCGCTGAGACTCTGAAAGATGCCAAGTTGCAATTTGCCACACGTTGCTCTTGGAGGATTCCATATTATTTCAGGGTGATATTCCATAGCGTTCTTGGGAAAGTTCTTGCCTACTGATGCTTGCAAGAAGTCTTGGAGTGCCTCTGGTGTTGGGTACAACTGTTCAAAGTTGGCGGGAACCGAAGTACAAAACTCCTCTTCCACTAAATTTCTCAGCTCAGCACTCTTAAGTGATGTGAGTCCATTTTCCTGCCATGTTTTGAATGTGTCAAAGTCAGGGCCTAAAATAGAGGCGAGTGTGCTGTTGAAATCTTTGAAAAAATCAGCCCCCCTTGACTCCTTGGGAATCAGATTTCCAGGGGATGAAGCAGCTGCTTTTTCTGTCAAGTCAAGGCAATGCTGTTGCACTGAAGGTTTCTTGGGGAGATTGTCCTTCTCCATTGGGAGAATGTTGTCATGTCGCTGGAGTCCAATGAGCACAGAAGATTTATTCCAAGTAGCAGTCAACGTCAATTGTCTTATCTCACTTCTCTTCAACTTGCCAGAGGTAGTCTTTGGCGTTACCCCCAATTTTAATACCACAACTTCCACAACAGACAATCCATGAAATTGTGCAACATGGTTGGCAATTTGGACAGCCAAATCGCCATGAGCTGACTTTTCAAACCCCTTGCGAGCCTCGGTGGTGATACCCACACTTGCATCACCATGCTGGAAAGCTGCGGTACGCCCTGGTCGGATGATGTGACCAAAAGTTTCATCAATAGAAAGCTCCACATCAGTAGGGTAATAGTTCTTCCCATTGATAATGATGACATCTTTGACTCTTCCAGTGACATTGAGCTGCCCATCAACAATCTTGCCCAAGTCACCAGTATCAAGCCACGTCCCATCATAGCCTGGCAAGACATTTGCGAAAGTAGAGGTGGTCAATTTTGGCTGACCATAATACCCAGATGTCACCCGTGGTGACTGGGCCCAGATAGTGCCAACTTGTCCATCCAAAGCCTCAATTCCATCCCGGACGATTCGAAGCTTGAGGGTTGGGGAATCTACTTCTCCACAGCTGATGAGGCCCTCAGCATCTGCATGGGCTGGTCCACCTGTAAGAAACACCACAGACTCAGCCAAGCCATAGACATTGTAAATATGCCCAGGCTTGATGGAGAGGGTCTTTGACACTGCTTCAACAACATGACTGTGGGCAGGTTCACCACCGAACATGGCTCGCCTCACACAACTCCAATCAGCTGTCTTGTTGGATTGCTTCATTCTCTTGAGGAGCAATGCATATGCAAAGTTTGGGGCACAGGTGAGAGTTGCCTTGTAAGTCTCTACCATATCACTCCATAGTAGAGGATTGGCAACAAAATCCAGTGGTGATGCCATGACAAGGGAAGTGCCAGCCAACAGTGAAGACATAAAACCAGCCACAAGCCCCATATCTGAGTGATAAAATCGAAGGGTAAAAGTGAGGGTATGCTATGCTGTATGAACTCCCTGAAACCAACAACAATTTCTTTATAATGGATGTGGAGCCAATGGATGGATCAGCGCCGTAGCTCAGCCAAAGCCGCGAGTAGCCGAACCGGGCCAAAGCAGGGAGCACAGGAAGACCGGCAGGGAAGTCCCTGCAAAGGGAACCACAAAGTTGAGCTTACCATGGTATTGTGGGACCCATAAGACCCCTACTGTTGTGTCCGCATTTGCAGTTGTATCTGACATGGCATCAATTGCCATAACATTTTCTACTAGGTTGCTGTGGCTGATCATGACTCCTTTGGGGCGACCAGTACTGCCTGATGTGTACTGGATGAAGCAGATGTCTTCTGGTTCACCCATGTATGTCTCATAGGTGCTTGGATCCTTTGGATTGCTCTTCTTGATTTGCAACTTGTCAGTCCCAATCCACGTCACTCCAGTCTTGTACAGGACACTGGCTGCCTTCATGGTAGTAGCAAACATGGTGGTGCTTAGGGCATACTTGGCTCCGGCATCCTCAGCAAATCTGCGGAATTTGAGTATGTCGGTTTTGAGTTGATTGGGATTGGGTGGATAGATGGAACAGGGGATGACTCCAACCTTCATGGCACCAAACATGCCGGCCAAGAACTCAAGACCAAAAGGATAGGCCACCATAACTCGATCTCCCTTTTGGCATCCCAATTTGAGAAGATGAGCAGCAACAGCATTGGATTGGTCAACCAGTTGTTTGAACGTCATCTTGTTTTGTTCCACACACTTGCTGTTCACCCATGTGAAGACTACCTTGTCTGGAGTCTGAGTAGCATGATGACTGAGGGCCTCAAGGATGGTGGAAAAGATCATATTGGTTGTTGCTGCTGGAGGTGCTATTATTAAAAGGGGATTTTGATCTATGGATGGATAGATGATTGATGGGTCGAACTTAACTTTGTGTTTATGGATTACAATTGTGTTGCTAGATATGACAAGAGATACATGAACGGGAGAGAGGCAAGGTTTCGATCTCTCAGCCCCGTTAGAACAACCTGTCGTCCATGGCTACAGCCATGAACAAGAACAGCCCGGAACACCTTCATTAGCGGCTGTGCTAATGTTTAGGGATAGGTTAAGCTCTTGCAGCCATTGTTTTTTGTGTTTATGGATTGTGTTGCTAGATATGTTTCGATCTCTCAGCCCCGTTAGAACAACCTGTCCATGGCTACAGCCATGAACAAGAACAGCTCGGAACACCTTCATTAGCGGCTGTGCTAATGTTTAGGGATAGGTTACAGTAAGATAAGCCAGCACTAGTTTGCCCACGTACTCTGCTCTTGCAGCCATTGTTTGCGGCTGTGCTAATGCTTAGGGCTAGGCTAAAGTGCAACGAGTCGAGTCGAGCCGAGTCACTTGATCGACGGAGTAACTCATCTCACTGTCCGATTTGATTGAATCGAATGAATCATTCCATGATCGAATTACTCAATCGAAACTTCGTCACGAGAAAAGAATAAGTCAGCGGGAGCTGCGATACCTCGGCAGAAAGACAGATAGAAGAAGGAGGATTATGTTCGTATTGCACCCATCTTTCAAGCTAGCCCTGGCGACAACACCCGACTACGTCGTGTGTTGCCGCCCGGTATCATTCATTCCCTCATTGCAACCTTCTTTTTATTAAGCTAGCCCTGGCGACAACACCCGGCAACACACGACTACGTCGTGTGTTGCCGCCCGCTACTCTATAATTTACCAGCTGCCATTCCCTTATTGTAACTCTAACCTTTACAGCTCCTGCTGGCTTATTGTGCTGTTGTGATGATTGCACTAACCTTAAATATTAATGATTTATTCCTACCCCTAACTTGTATTGAGCCATCAATGTTCAGTTTTGTTGGCTTATGACTATCTCTATCCTTATACTTTGGCTTCACCGGAATAGGAAATAGGAAATAGCATTAAAGGGGTTGAGAACTCAGGCAGTTTACCTGCCGAGGTGATCGAAGTTCTCCCCAACCTACCGGTATAGCTAGCTGCAACGCCAACAGTGTACAGATAGTCACTCGATCCAACTTCCTCCTTTCGTCTGGCTTTAGCCAAACATTTTGGGAGATCTGGCTTTGCAGACAGAAACATCGGATTCCATTTTTGTTTGTCATTGTGCCGTGGATTTCTAAAAGGTGCTCCAGTCCTCACTCTCAGCACTCAATCGTGATTCAAAGAAGACAATTGTGAGAAGGGGGGTTTAGAGTAGGGAATTTATCTATGGAAGCCAGTCGGGGCCAGGCTTAAGCACAGAACAGTCGACATTCAGGACTAGGTTCTGTGGGATCAGGGGCAAGAATTTGAGGACCATTACGGGGGGCAAAGGGTTTGGCTTTGCGGGATCCACCGAGACATAAATGGGTAGCTTTCACAAGGGCAATTGAGATAAGGAGACAATTGTTGGTTTGATGGTGCCCACAAATTCAGCACTGCTAGCCGGAGGAGTCGAGTCATGTCAGTGGGTCGCATGCAAAGACCTCTTGTCTGAATCGAATGACAATCCGTTATTAATTCCTTGTCGGTCGGAAGAGTCATGGTTGCTCGGATGAAGCAGTAATAGATAGCAGGGTACACAGGCGCGGCTGTTCCCTTCGAGGTGGGATGAAGACATCTTGAACGCATTGCCGTGTCATCGAACGTGGAAGTTCAACGTGGAAAGTATACGTGCCGTATCGATTGCGAACATCTTATGCTGCGGAACTATACAAGCCATCGTACCCTACGACTGTTACCGGTATGGTAGGTGCATTGATGATACGAAAACCATACAAGCACGACGAAGTGCTAGCGTGGCGTCGAAGGTTGTCACGAAGACAGCAGGTAAGCTAGGACGACTAGCTAGGAGTCCTACAAGAACAAGCGGCAGCATACAAAGCCAAGCACAAGCAACCAAGCTCCCAGGAGTGAGATTTTGTGCTGCCGATGCCAAAGGACAGGATTTGCGGTACGAGAAACACGATCTCGAGGAGCGACACAGAGTGTCAACCGGACGAGGAATGGATAACAAGTAGCAACAAGATACACCGCAGAGGTACCGGTATTCTGCGGGAGTTCCTAGGCTCCCTACCGGTACCGGTACGTACTGGTACATGTATCAGACCATGGAGTCAGTGCTGAGAGGGGAGAGGCGAGGCGAGGCGGAACAAGGATTTTTCTGTCGCACGACAAGCCGAATTAACCAGCGAGCTTCCTCGATCGATAAGTGCTTCCGATTTGCTACCACGAAGACACGATACTGCAAAGTTCCCCTTGAGTAATCGAATAGACTACAAGGCATCGAAGAGTACTACAAGACCTCAGGAAAGAAGATTCATCGCCGCGAATACAGCGAATTTGCCAATTCCGCCAGCCAACAAGAACACAAGACGAATAATCGATCGATGGAACGACGACAGCGCCAACAAGAAGAGCAACGATCGAGCCAGTTGCTACTTTCAACACGCATAAGCAAGAACAACGTTGATCTGCGACATTGTCGGCAACAAGGATTGTCGGCAGCAGCAGAAGCATGAAGTGCAAACACAGAGTAGTAAAAGATTTTTGTGAAGCCTTCCATGGAGCGACACGGCAAAGCACAGCACTATTCAGCGGCTGACACGTACTGGTGGGACTGCCGTATTTGTGCCATGACTTTGGTGGAAGTTTTGTCTCATGAGCACCCTCACACCGAGGAACCACTCCAAAGTGCCCCGGAACCCCATGATAGAAGGCCCAAACTCGCTGGCAAATTGCTTGCTGTCGTTACGGTTTTTTTTTTAGTCGTCGGTACGGTCAAATCCGATGGACTCGGTTTTGGATGGAGCCTTCCGCTCCTCGGTTCCAATGGAGATCTAGCAACCGGTACGCTCGTTGGCTGGCAATAATCAAAGGTTTTCGTTTTTAGAGTCTTCCGATGGATGTCGATGGAGATCTTAGCTCGTCGACTGCATGTCGACGGAGTCTTTCCAGCTCGTTGGCTGCTTGCCCATTGCCAATTCATGCCCATGGATCGAGTTCCACGACTCGTCGCTTGTTGATATTGACGTAGATTCGATCTAGTTACAGATTTTGGAACTTTCCTACCGGTACTCACTAGGCAATTCAAAGGTTGGTTTTAGTTGGTGCTTGTGATAGACTTGGTCACAGTTATTGCAGTAGTCGATCGTGGGTTCAATCCGATGGACTTGGTGCTCGATGGAGATCTTTGCTCGTCGACTGCCGATGAAGTCACGCTTACTCAACCGCGCACAGAGGAACACTCATCGTCCGTGATACCGTACGAAGATATAGTCATTGTGTGTCCTTCGTCCTCGGTCAAGCATTTGCCCACCGAACTACGTTGTGGATTGAGATCTATCTACCGTATGCTAAGCTCGTGGACTGGTCGTTCTTTCCTGTTCAGCAGTAAAACAAAGGCGAAGGAGAGTTTCACGATTCGTGGGCTGACGAAAGAGTTTTTTAATCGTCAATTTTTAAATAGAGTAACATGTAACTAGAAATGATTCATAGAGTAACATGTAACTAGAAATGATTCATGATCCGCAATAATTAAACTAAGTTGGATGAATCAACATTGTTGGAGGCAGAATCACTTGGTAAATTTGTTGAATCCTTGGCACCCATACCACTTTTTAAGAACACTTTCCATGGACCATGTTCGGCAGCAGATACCACCGATCCAGCAGAAGCATAGCAACCTGGATGCAACACCCCAGACACATAGGTATCATCAATGGTAAGCCCATTGAGATCAATGTAGTGTCCGCTCACATGGGCACTATCAACAACTGTGATTCCTTTGAAGTGCAAATGCTCATACTCATAGAGAGCATTGCCAAAGTACCAAAGCTCCCCTTCAACTGTTGCACCCATCATGCGAGCATAGTAGGCAAACATTGGAGTTCCATAGAGAAGGAGAACAAGCCAGTTCCCTACTCCAAAAATCCAGACATGGTTGATGTAAACTCCAAAGAAACTCTGTTGAGCATACTTTGGCAGAATCATCAAGGCCCTTTCAACTGCTCTGGATGAAAGTATCCACAGGAACAATTGAAGAACAAACGCTGCTGTTATCCCGCATGTAGTAATGGAAATGGAAGAACTCCTTGTGGCAGCAAGACCAATCTCATAGGCAGGAATGAGGGAGGCAAAGATCCCCAAGTTTAAGAGCATTTGAACCACTTCTGGAAGGAACAAGTCCATAATCACAGTAGGCTTCCATGCATCTCCAGATTGGTTCAAATCATAGACACTGTCAGGAACATCTGATCTTGGGGGAATTGCAGAGCGCATAATCTTGACACCGGCATGTAGAGTGACATTGTAGCCGACACTGCTGTTGATTATCTCAATCTTAGAGTCACCTTTCTTGCCAAAGTCAAGAGATATTGTAGCAATGAATGAGTTCCGGATCTTAACAAAGTCGACTTTGGAAGGGTAGAAGATGAGGTATGGGTTGTTCAGACCCGATTCCATGTCGACGTCAAGGCCATGGAGGAAGAGGACAATGTTCCAAAGTCGGGATTGGCCAAAGAAGGGAGTTAGAGTCCAGCAAGCTACACGGAAGTGGAAGTCACAAGCCCAATTGGTTGCTCGGCGATATAGTGAACCGTCATAGTCATCTGATGGATCTCGTTTCCCAATTAGAAGCCATTTGAGAGCCATACTTGTAAGAAGGGCAAGGAAAGAGGAGGTTGGAACAAGCAAGATCCAATGGAGAATAGTGGCATATCGCCACAATGGCAAGATTTGATTGAGCAATGCATGCACCAGGAAGGAAAGTGTGAAGAAGTGGTAAGATTCAATAAGGGTCCAAACAATCTTGATGACACCCAAAGCTGTTTCCTCCTTTTGGATTGGTTCTGAATAATGGTGGATCCCAGAACTATAGGCAGGAATTCCCTTGGCAAGGACATCATTTGGCAGTTTGGAACCAGCTTCTACAACAGTCAATTTCTCCACCTTGCTGCCATCGCCAACGATTGATCCGGGGCTAACCATCCCAGAGATCTTGCAGTTGTTTCCAATGACAATGGGACGGAACGTAATCTTGGGACATTCTTCATTGGATTGAGCAAACTTCCTGCACTTTAATGAGTGGCCAATAGTAGCGTTGCTGCCCACTTTGACCAGATCAAATTCACGGATGTAAGCCTCAATTTTGGCTGACCAGGCCAAGTCCGCTCCAAGAAGCCAATAGAAAAGCCAAATGTACCTTGTCTCAAGAAAGAAGTGCCCCACAATAGATTCCCAAATGTCCATCAACCTGTCCATGAACCACCAGCGAAGGTAGGCCCATGACAAAATCTCAAACTGTCGAGGTTGGTATGTCCCAACAACAGCATTCTTGGAGAACACTACAACCAATGAGAAGGATAGGATGAACATAGGAAAGGCCATGGGCAAAAGAATCCAAAAGGCTGGACCATGACATTTGGAGCCTGTGGCAGAGTCACAACGATCAATATCAAAAACCCAGCTGCCAAGGAAATAGGTTGGGAGAAGTGAAACCAACAATAGTAAAAAAATCACAATGGACGCAAGGCCCTGGAGTATGCCAAGCACTGGCTTGCTGCACTTTGACCTTGAAGAATTCCACTCAAACTCAAGGTGACCAACATCATCTTTAGGAAAGCTCTGGCCTTTTGATGCCTCCAAGAAGACTGAGAGTGCATTGGGTGTTGGGTAGAGCTGTTCAAAGTTGGCTGGCAGTGTAGCATGGAATTCTTCCTCCATCTTGTTCCTGAGCTCTGCGCTCTTCAGCGATGAGAGTCCATTCTCAGCCCATGTCTTAGATGTGTCTGCCTCCAATCCAAGGATAGATCTGATGGTGGTGATGTATTTGGTGGAAAAGTCATTTGGTATTGCAGCTCCACCACCAACTGCAGAGACAACATTAGAAGTTGGATTGATTTTCTGGGTTGCATTGTTCATTCTTTCCCATTGGTCCAACTTAGACAGCCAATATTCTTCATTTAGTACCATTCCATTGTTGCGTGTCTGTGACGGTGGGGTGTATCCAAGCATTCGTTCCCACTCTGCATCCTTCTGCAGCTTTTGCTCCATACACACTGGGTTATCCATCATGAATATTGTCGCCCATTGAAGAACAAATATTTGATGCACAAGTTGAGAAAGGAAATCTGTCCTGTCATCAAGCAAAATCCAGTCAGGATTCTCAACAAGACTACAAGCAAGCTGGCAGATGCTTGGGTGCTTGTCCTCAAGATGGCACAGGATTTGGGAGCACATTGATTGCATAGCAGCTGTTGTCTTGATGGCATTGGACCAAGCATCATCAATGCCAGAAACCCCAGAAAGATGAAGCTCAGAGAAATACTCATCCAACTTGCTGGGGTTGCACTCTACAGCATGAACAGCTTCAACAGCTTTGGCAGGGAGGGCATCTGTTTGGCTAACTTCGATGTCAGGAAGCTCAACATTGGGCACACTGCCAAAGTCAAGAGATTCAAAAGGTAGAGTCATTGATCTTCTCCTGATTTTATGTTGAGTTTCGTCTGACAAATAGAACTCAGTGCTTGTTACCCCATTCATTGCAAAGCTGTGCTCAAGGAAAGAGCTTTTCTCTGCAGATGATATGTTTGCCTGGATAGGTGACCTGTTTGCCTGTCGTTGGAATCTTAAGAGCACAGAAGGATCCTTCCAGTCACCAGCAATAGTGGTCAACCGGATCTCACTCCTCTTCAGCTTGCCAGAGGTGGTCTTTGGCGTTACACCCAACTTCAGAACTACAACATTAGAGACAAGAAGCCCATGCACCTGAGATACATGATTGGATATCTGAACAGCCAAATGTTTGTTTCCTGGCTTATCAAAGTCCTTACGGCCCTCCACTGTGATACCGACACTGTCTTCCCCATACTGGAAGGCAGTGGTCCTGCCTGGACGGATCACATCACCAAAGAGATCATCAATAGAGAGCTCCACATCCGTTGGATAGTAATTCTTTCCATTGATAATGATGACATCCTTCACTCTCCCGGTAACATAGAGCTGCCCATCAACAACCTTGCCCAAGTCACCAGTATCAAGCCAGCTTCCAGCATAGCCTGGTAAGACATTTGCAAAGGTAGCCGTGGTTAGCTCAGACTGGCCATAGTATCCAGCAGCCACTCTAGGTGACTGGGCCCAGATACTCCCAACCTGTCCATCTTTAACCTCTTTTCCATCCTGGACAATCCGAAGCTTGAGGGTCGGGGAATCTACTTCTCCACAACAGACAAGCCCCTCTGAGTCAGGGTACGCAGAGCCACCAGTAAGAAACACCACAGACTCAGCAAGTCCATAGATGTTGTACACATGTGCAGGCTTGATGGAGAGGGCCTTTGCTGCTCCTTCCACAACATGGCTCTGGGCGGGTTCCCCACCAAACATGGCACGCTTTACACAACTCCAGTTGGCAGTCCGATTGGCCTGCTCTAATCGTTTGAGGAGCAAGGCATAGGCAAAGGTAGGGGCGCACGTATGTGTTGCCTGGTATTGCTCTATCATATCTGTCCACAGAAGAGGTCTGGCAACAAAGTCGAGAGGTGACGCTAGGACTAGGTGAAAGCCACCATAAAGACAAGACATGAACCCCGCCACAAGCCCCATGTCTGGAAAATAAAGAAGGGATACTGTTAGAGTTGAACATATGATTATATGCTCCTTGTGTTCAACTTACCATGATATTGTGGGACCCACAAGGCTGCCATGGATGATGAAGATACATCTGTCATTTTGACAAGAGCCATGCAATTTTCTGCTAGACTTCGATGACTGATCATGACACCTTTGGGTCGTCCAGTACTGCCAGAGGTGTATTGGATAAAGCAGACGTTGTTCGGTTCTCCCTCAAACGTCTCGTAATCTTTGGGCTTGTTGGGGTTGTGTTTCTTGATTGGTAGCTTGTCTGTCCCGATCCACTTCACTCCAGTCTTGTAGAGGACACTAGCCGCAGTCATGCCAGCAGCAAAAGCAGCAGTAGTCAGAGCATACTTGGCTCCAGCATCCTCCACAAATCCACGGAATTTGGGCATGTCTGTCTTGAGCTGGTTGGGATTGGGTGGATAAATGGAACAGGGGATGACCCCGGCCTTCATGGCTCCAAACATTCCAGCCAAGAACTCAAGACCAAAGGGATAGGCGATCATGACACGATCTCCCTTGTGACATCCAAGTTTGAGGAGACGAGCCGCCACAGCGTTGGACTGGTCCTGTAACTGTTTGAATGTCACCTTGTTTTGCTCCTCACACTTGATGTTGACCCACGTGAAGACAACCTTGTCAGGAGTCTCGGAGGCATGATGGTTGAGGGCGTGAAGAATGGTACCGGTGGCGGAGAACTTCATGGTTGCTGAAAGGTACAAGCTTGTGGTGCTTCGTTAAAGAAATGAGTGGTTGCATTTTAAAAATGAGCGGTCCAAGCCATCGATCAATTGTCATTCCTTTGTTAGTGGCTGTGAGCAATGAGCGGCCCATGAGAAATGAATTCTTAATTAAGGCATCGCTGGTCAGCAACCTCTGATAGCGGCTGTGCTACTTCTAGCTAGCATTGTTTCTGAGGCGGCAAACCTTGTCAAAATCGGTGGTTGAAGGCATAGCCGCTCGGACGAGCCTTGTTAGCGGCTGTGCTAAGGTTTAGGGTTATAGATTGGCCTCCAAGCTTTGGTCGAGTGGGGTGGTCGTCGAATCGAATCAGTCAATCCAAAACAATAGTAGGGGGGGAGGGAAATTATCTCGGGAAATAGTTGGTAGGAAATAGTTGGTACTACTAGCTAGCTAGCTAGCTCTAGCTAGTAGTCTAGTATGGTAAGAATTGATGGGCAATGGCTCTGGATTCGTGGTACCACCAGCTTCACCGGCTCCAGTGGAAAGGCGACTGAGAAAAGATAAGATAACACGGTTGCCTTGCAGTAGATCCGCTCCTGTGTGGTTCATGCAAGCCAGTAGGGTAACCTATAGTAGCAGGTCCTCCCGGCCAGTGCAAAGATCGTGGTTGAGTAGCCTTGGCAGCCAGTTGGCCTTGATACACTGGCCAAGTCCTTAGCTGAGAGACTCTCGAGGCCAGGTAAGGCTCCCTTACGGCCTAGGCACTTTGGGAGGTTTTGGGCGTTTGACGATCCAACATGTTTTTTGACAGTAACACTGCTAGCTATGATACTGGTAGTACTACTAGCTAGCTAGAGCACATGTACAACTGTCATCACGCCGCTCGGAATGGGCTCTGGCCGTGGTGCACAACTTCCCTCTTTTTAAAAGGTTGAGAGCGACTCGAGTGACTTGGTCCTCAGTCGCGCCACATTTGCTTTGAAAACGTGGATGAGAATATGGGATAAAGTGAGGTCCAGAAGGGGGTTTAGAGAGGGACAACTGTACAGCCAAGGAGGCCGAAAGTTGCTGAATCGAATCAAATCGAATAATCAAATCGCACCGACAGGGTGCATGGCCAGCTTGGAATGGATGTCCGAAGTGAACTGGGAAACCGAAAGGATTGGTAAAAAGGAGGCTGATTGGGGGGGGGGGGCTGATGAGGGAGGAACTGTTCCACTACTCGTCGGATGTTGATTCGATCCAGTTACAGATGTTGCCTATGGAACCTTCCTACTCATCAGTCAATTCAAAGGTTGGTGCTAGTTGGTGCTTGTGATAGACTTAGTCACAGTTATTGCAGTAGCCGCTGGTTCAATCCGATGGCGTGAACTGGGAAATTGCAAAGATTGGTAGCCGAGACAATGACAACGAGGAAGCAAAGGAGATGAGGCTGATGAGGATGGCGGTGGAGAAGGAAACTGATAAGGAAGGAACCGATGCAGATTCTGAAGAAGACAGCACCGATGATGACAAAACCAGTGCAGAATCAGCAGAATGGTTGCCTATCGAACACGACTACCCCTTTTGGAAGGCAGTTGCTTATGTTTCGCCCACCAATATCTCAGCATGACCGGGGTTGACTGGCAACCATGAATCGGCACAGACTTTGGTGTGTTAAATAAGAGAATGCTGTGTAAGCTCCGCGATCCGCCCTGATTTACTTGGAATCGAATGTTTGGAGGTCAGTACTAGAGATGAAACGGTCTACAACGTCCGCTGCCAATGGTCTGTGGGTTCGCTACGGTATCTTTGCGCAGCCCCGAAGGCTCACACTTTCGCATGCCAAAGCTACAAAGCCAATCTTCCGTATTTCGAATCCAGCCCGACCGCGGAACCGATCATCGAGCTTGAACGAACGAATGGAGGAAGGAAGAAGAGCCTGGGAGCATCTGCACCGCTACCGTACTAGCTAGCTAGCGCGGTCGTGTCGTTTGGATCCTAGCAGCCCATGCTGCATAACTATCATACTGGAGATGAAGTAGGCCCAAGCCCTTCCAATCCATCTACGTGGAGACTCCTTTTGATGAGCCACTGCACCAGACCGTAAAGCTTTGCCTAACCCCGAATGCTACTCACTATCAGTTGCACTCCACGAACAGTATCTCAGATCTCACTTTCGTAGCAACCTTCCGCGCGCTCACACTTGGCTGACCTGTCCTGGTGCCCATGCTGTCATCTGCGACCACAATTTTTAAATACGATAACCAAAAGCGGAGAAGTTTAAATGCGATGTATTCAAACACCCCACGGGCATCTAATAGCTGTCTGCCAGGTCCCCGCCATAGCTTCCCACAATCTCACAAATGGGCCAAAGTGGGCCCCAAGTGCGCTTGTATCTTGCCATGTCTTAGTTGCAGAATCGACTCAAGTCCTCCAGAATGTTGGCATCTTCAAGAATTTTGCCGCTCGAACGCCATATCAGTCATACCTGGTACGAGATTCATGTCTGTGGATGTGAGATGAGAGCCAACCACCAGCTCGGCACAACGAGGAAATGAGCGTTCCAGCCCACTTCATAGAGCTCTTCTTAGTCTAGCTAGTATCATGCCTCTGGTTGGCTCTATCGTTTCCGTAATTACCTTCAATCCTGGAAACCAATGATCCACGAATTAATACTTTCCGAGAGACCCTGAAACGCACGCGATGTTACACGTATAACTCGTATAACAGGTGTAACACGTCTTACATGTGGAATACGTATAACACGTATAACAAGGCGCCAGCCAGCCACCGTGACTGTTCGAGTTTCGCAAAAATTTAATGACTTGACTTCAACTCCAACTTCTCCACCACAAAGAACCACCATGACAACAACCTCTCTTCTCTTGTTTGTTTGAAGGATACAAAGGTTTCTCTTGTTATTTGAAGATAGCACCATCATTGTGGGTAAGTAGGCAATGTGGTATGGCTTTGTTGAAGCCAAGATGACTGTTCCTGTGGAACGATAGAATGATTTCTCTTCATTCAACTCATTCTCCATTTTTCTGCCTCAACTCTCTTCCTCAGGCCCTGTACAGCCTTCAGGACCATTCTCTTTGCATTCATATACTTCTGAAGGCTCACTGACAAAGCCTGTGGAAGACCTGGCCTTGAATTCTACCATTGTCAACCACTTTCTGTAGGGACCAGTACTGAACCCATGTAAGTACCTCAGCGCGCAACACGTATTACGCGTGTTACGGGTGTAACACATGTTATGGTATAACACGTGTTATGGTGTAACACGTATTATGCATGTAACGTGTATTATATGTATCACCCGTGTTATACGTATCTAGCGTGTAACACGTGTTATAGGTTCTTTAGGCATTGTTCCGCTAGTGTAATGGCTTCTGTGCCAAGATGAGTACTTAACACTTTCACTTGTGCCTCTTCCAGTTGTACATGGCCACGATGAAGCTTGTTGCCTGTCTGGAACTTGGGTAGATACCATCGTCTGTGTTCCTGGCTATATAGAACATTGAAAGAGAATGGACATTTGACACCCTCCCCCTCAACAGGAAGCTGAGTCTGGGTGGTTTTGTTGCTCTCCTTTTGGGACCTTTGTTTGTAAAAACGACTCCTTGGACAACATATGGTAATGTGATTCCGCCTCTTATCGAATCCCTTGTTTTTGATACGGAATCCAGCAGTCTTGCAAGAAAGTACAAAGTATGGCATCAAAACTTCTTTAATATGCGCTGAATCACAAGATTGATACATCGAAGGTAGCCAGTACACCGTCGATTTCTCCATTCGATAATTATCGAACCCCAGAGTATCCATGATGTTTATCTCCTTTGGTGTATCATCAGTTAGTGAGGTTGCTACATTCACAATGATTGAAGCAGGAGTTCATTCTTCATCATTGATATTGTATCTAGCAACATGGGAGAGTTCAGATAGGTAAGAGTCCATTTTACTTGATAAGCTGTCAGGTATTATGGCCTGCAACAGTGCATCTTCCTCTCTGCCTCCCAAACACCTGGCAAAACACCTGGCAAAAAAACTTAGCAAAAATTTCGTCACTATGTATTATACGTAAAACACGTACAACACATAATACATGTAATACGTATAATATTGTTCCACTTGTGTTATCTGTGTTGTACGTATGACTTGTCTAATACATATTAAAAATGTTATATTTGTAATACGTATGATCTGTAGAATACATAGTGAAAATGTTATAATACAACCGCGTGCGTTTCAGGGGCTCTGAATCAGAAACCCGAATAGTACGACTGTACTGCTATTAATTATGAGAGAACGAAAGAGAAAAGTGACTGGGTACTACTATATTAAGTCTCACTGTCATAGTGGTTGGCTCTGGGGTTCTTCTTTTGTTCATCATGCGGTCTTTCTTTGAGAGTCTTTTGTTCACGATGAGATGCTGGGAAAGTTTCCACCCTTGGCCATCAGAGCACGGGAGGTGAAGCTGCATTCAACAAGTAAGTATTCAACGCAAGTTCCCTCTGCCCTCTGCCCTCTGCCCTCCTCATGTTGTTCCTTTGACGATGTATGATGACATTGTGTGATCAAGAGGCTGTTGTGGCATGTTGAGCTTGAAGATGGTCAAACCAACAGCCAATACCGAACCGCCACTGGCTGGCCAATCGGATCCTCCCCGCACAAAGCAATCAAGTTCCAAAACCTCTTTGGGAGCCGATCAATCAATCATTCCTTCGCTTGATCTTCTCTCACAAATTGCTCTTCTGCGAACATCAACCAGACTTCCTCAAAACTAAAGAAACACTCGTAAAAGTTCACACATCACGCAAACATCCACAATGACAACATCTACATCTACATCTACCAAGCCATCCACAATGAAGCAGCGATCCCGCAGCAGCGGCGACCTCCGTGGTGTTGTGAGTTGCATGAAGAAGACGGACGACACACGGTCACTCCACATCCGCCAGTGCGCGGTTGGCTTTGACACCATGGAGGTTTACGAATTCCCTCAAATCCTGGGGGACAACCCGGCTTGCACTACCGGTGCTCCTCTCACTCTGGACTGGAAACCCGTGGCACAGTCCTCCATGTTGATTGACTATTACGAGTTCACGCGCAATCCCCGACGAACCAAGCGAAAGATGCTCACCAGCAGCGATGAGCGACACCGATACCTATTGAACAATGGCGTCAAACTGTCCGACATTGAAAAGACGTTGCTTTTAATCGACCAAATCAAGAAAGATCGAGCATCGTCTCTCAAAACGCACAAGTGGGATGGATTCCTCAACGTCGTCCAGAATGCCGCCAAAAAGACAGTATCGTATCCCACTAAGCTACTGACTGCGTCTTCCTCCAGCAATGCCAGTAGTAACAAGACCACGGATGCAAAACAAGCCAATGTGGGTGCAAGGACTGCGTAAAACCTAAAACTGCTACAACAGCGCATGGCACACCTCCCTCTTCCTTCATCATCCGCAAAAAACAACTCAAATCATACAAAACAGCTCCCTTGTAAAACTAGTCTAGCTACTTCTTAGAACACACTATATCCATGCTTATATTTTGCAGGCAGTGGAGATCTATCTGTAACGGTGCCTTCGCTCGCGCGGGGCTTGTGGCTGGATCCGCCCAACTAATTGCCGCTTCTTGTTCTGGTGTGGACGCGCCGGGGTATTCCTGTCGCCCGGACAGAAAGAAGCTAAGAAGCTGGTGACTTTCTCCACAGCAACGACACCATGAGTCGGGATCTATTGGGGAATCAATCAGACAGGCCAGTGGCTTTCAAACATACATGGACAACGATTCTAAAGTAATGCTATGGTATATCGTCTTGTCTATTAGTGGGGAAGTTGAGGACCGGAACGCCTTGAGCGCTTCCCAGAAAGTACAGTGTTTGTGCAGAACGCTCAAGGGCAATGAACATGGCGCAGCAGCGCCTCTCGCGATCATGTGTGTGTGTGTGTGTGTTCCCAAAGTAGAATTACTAGCAGGTGTGACAGAATGGTCCATTCGGATTACTCGAGATACTCGGAGTACCTTGATTGGGACACAGTGTATTCGAAAAGATATTGCTAAAGTCTGGAGCGCTTTGCGTAAAAGAACCTCCCCAGCCGCACAAGTTCTGAAAAACACCGACATCAGGTGGGAAGTGTGAGCATAGTGGCAACAAAGTCTGTGCAAGCATGTGGTGGTCGTGGTCAAAAGACCAGCATACCTTGTTGTATTTAACTGCTGTGTTGAACATATCACGAAGCGTGTCCGCTTTCGTCAAGGTCCAGCTCGAAACATCCTGCGAAAAGGGGGGAAGTCCAGATAGGAAAGAATGGTCAGCTACGGCAGCAATCAACAGCCACACGGACCATCAAGACTCGAATCGCATACCTGATTGAAAACTAAGTTGTCATCAAACATTTGGTCAAACCACCACCCTGCGGCGACGTTCCAAGTAGTGATGTCTGTCGATACAAAAGACAATAACCGTGTTAGGACAAAGTCTCCGTCGCCATGAAGATCAAGGCTCAAGCATCAGGATAATATTTACCTCCGGCGAACGCACGTGCATGCGCAAACGCGCCCACAAAGTTCTTCACCTGTACGGGAAACAAACGGAGTGGTGTGAGTCATGTCTGTGTTTGCAGCAGGCTATCAGCAGCATCAAATCATTCAGGGACTTACCTTCGCGGTATTGAAAGTTGTCAAGTCTAGATTGTGAAAGCAGAAAAGAAAAATGTAGCCAAGCTGGTCAGTGACGAAGCAATGGTCGAAAATCTGAATGACAGAAAAGCACTTCGGCATACCTTGATTGAATTTTTCGTTCCAATGGAACATCCATTCAAGTTTGACGTTAGACGAAGTATCCCACTTGTCGAGCGGTTGATTGTATACATGACAGTCTACAACAAGAGGGCAATGCACAGTATGAGAATTCTTGCAGCGCAATATTTTTGGTAAGGACCTTCACCCACTTACTCTGGAAGGCCGCTACTCCAAGGACATCGACAAAGGGGGCAGTGCAACGAAGCGCATGAGGCAAACCTGCAAAAGCCCATGATCACAAGCAACACAGCAAAGACATCGTACCAGCCATGTCTACTACTTGTCCCGTCGTCCAATCGTTAACATTTGAATTAAATGGATCGCAAGCATCAAAAAGCTACATCACAAGCAGATCAAAGTGTGAGAGCATGCAGATGTGCAGGTTGAAGTTCTATCCCTGTTGTGCGAAAAAAGGTGTGCTTACCGAGTTGAAGTCTGTGATTTGGGAGACATCCCAAGAACCAATAGGGCCTGAATTGAAACAGAATCTGGTCAGTCTTCATCATCGTGGTTCGGGCCAAACAAATAATGCAAATACTCACCGTCAGGGTGTGTGGGTCCAAAGTAAGTTTGGGATTGTAGTTCCGTCATTGTTGGAAGACACCCAGCGGAAATAGCAAAATCCAGTGAAGGCCGGGATAAAAATGTGGTTCCAGTCACAGGGGCTGCAGTTGGAGGATCGGTTGGTGAAGGAGTCGGAGGTTCCGTTGGTGAAGGAGTTGGAGGATCGGTTGGTGAAGGAGTTGGAGGATCGGTTGGTTGAGGGGTCGGAGCTTTTGTGGGTGCCCTGGTGGGTGCTCTAGTGGGTGCTTTAGTTGGTGCTTTAGTTGGTGCCTTTGTGGGCGCTTTAGTTGGTGCCTTGGTGGGTGCTTTTGTTGGTGCTTTAGTGGGTGCCTTGGTTGGTGCCTTGGTTGGTGCTTGGTTGGCGCTTGGTTGGTGCCTGGTTGGCTTTAGTCGGTGCCTTTGTAGGTGCTTTAGTGGGTGCTTTCGTGGTGCCTTGGTTGGTGCTCTCGTAGGTGCCTTAGTTGGTGCCTTGGTTGGTGCTTTCGTAGGTGCTTTAGTCGGTGCTTTCGTAGGCGCCTTTGTAGGTGCTTTCGTAGGCGCTTTAGTAGGCGCCTTGGTGGTGCCTTGGTTGGCGCTTTTGTCGGTGCTTTCGTGGGCCTTTGTAGGTGCTTTGGTTGGTGCTTTAGTCGGTGCCTTTGTAGGCGCTTTAGTGGGTGCCTTGGTGGGCGCTTTCGTAGGTGCCTTGGTTGGTGCTTTTGTAGGTGCCTTGGTGGTGCTTTGTGTGCTTTGTGGTGCTTTAGTCGGTGCTTTCGTAGGCGCCTTTGTAGGTGCTTTCGTAGGCGCTTTAGTCGGTGCCTTGTTGGTGCCTTGGTGGCGCTTTTGTGGTGCTTTCGTGGGCGCTTTCGTAGGTGCTTTGGTTGGTCTTTAGTCGGTGCTTGTAGGTGTTTGTCGGTGCCTTTGTAGGTGATTTAGTCGGTGCTTTAGTGGTGCTGTTGGTGCCTTTGTGGGTGCTTTTGTAGGTGTTTTGTAGGTGCCTTGGTTGGTGCCTTTGTTGGGCGCTTTATCGTGCCTTGGTTGGTCTTTGTGGGTGCTTTATTGGTGCCTTTGTGGGTGCTTTACTTGGTGCCTTGGTGGGTGCTTTCGTGCCTTGGTGGGCGATTTAGTTGGCGTCTTGTAGGTGCTTGGTTGGTGATTTTGTGGGCACCTTGTTTGGTGCTGTTGTGGTGCCTTGTTTGGTGCTTTTGTGGTGAGTTTTGGGTGCCTTGTTTGGTGCTGTGTGGGTGCCTTGTCGGTGCTTGGTTGGTGCTTTAGTCGGTGCCTTGGTGGTGCCTTCGTGGGTGCTTTTGTAGGTGCCTTTGAGGTGCTTTTGTGGTGCTCCCGGCATAATCGGTGTTTGTGTCGGATCTTTCGTTGGAGGATTAGTTGGAGCTGGAGCATGGTTGGTGCTTTGATGGTGCCTTGTTTGGTGCTGTTGTGGTGCTTGTCGGTGCCTTGGTGGTCTTCGTAGCACAGTTGGTGCTTTTGTAGGCAATTTCGTGGGTGCTCCTGCCATAGTAGGTGCTTGTGTGGGAGCCTTCGTTGGTGCTGGAGCTGTGGGACTAACACTGGGGGAACCAGGAGTGACAGTGGGTATAGGAGTCGGGGCGTCTGTGGGCCCATCCGTTGGAGGGTTGGTGGAGATTCTGTTGGGGTTCTGTGGGGCTAACACTCGGGGAACCAGGAGTGACAGTGGGTAAAGGAGCCGCGGCATCTGTAGGCCCATCCGTTGGAGGGTTGGTGGGAGGTTCTGTGGGACTAACACTGGGGGAACCAGAGTCACCGTAGGCCATCAGTTGGAGGTTCTGTTGGGGTACTGTGGGGCTGACACTGGGGGAACCAGGAGCCACAGTGGGTTAAAGGAGTCCGCGGGTCTGTAGGCCCATCGTTGGAGGGTTGGTGGGAGGTTCTGTGGGACTAACACTGGGGGAACCAGGAGTCACCGTAGGTCCATCAGTTGGAGGTTCTGTTGGGGGTTCTGTGGGCTACACTGGGGGAACCAGGCGTTACAGTGGGTAAAGGAGTCGGGATGTCCGTAGGCGCCTTGGTTGGTGCCTTCGTGGGTGCGTTGGCGGAGACAATACTTATTGTAAGTTGCAACGGAATCCCTTGTTGACCATTGAGTGTTGGCTCTGCCCGGAGAACAAGAGTATCTGTGGCAGTGACCAGAGTTTGGCTTCCTTGGTAGTTACCAGAGCCATCGTGACTTGCCAGCGAATAAGGGTAGACTGATTCTGTACGAGCCATCACTCCATTCTCGTAGAAAGTTACACTGTCCAAAGTAACTGGATCTGAAAGTGCTCGCACATTCAAGTTTGTCGGATTAGCCTGCAGTCTCCTTGAACCCTGCTGCCCATATACATCATTGAGGTCAATTGTATCACCGTCTTGTAGCTCTCTGATATCACCTCCAGCATCAGCATCCACAAGCATAAATCCTGTAACTTTACATTGTATCCATGCCAGGACTTCCACTGCCTGGGCCCCACTGCCACTCAATTCTCCAGATATGGACTGAATGACCTGGGCGAGGTTGCTTTCGTCAAGAAGTTGCTCACTGATACCCGATGGGCTTGAGCTGACAGAGAACTCAACAGCAATGCCACTTGCCAAAGGAATCTCACTAACAGCAGTGGCCTGTACAATTGCAGGAGAACCTGCTGGCAAAGGAAGTGAGTTGAAGGCATCAGTCAGGATAGTACCAAGATCATGTGTGTCCACCAAGCCACCATCAGTGCCATCAAAAGTGACATAGAAAGTGTCATCAACAATGATATTGTCCAGCGTAGAGAGGACGTCCACAGCCTGAGCTCCACTTCCACTCAATGCATCAGATAAAAACTGAATGATTTGAGCCATGTTGGTCGCATCCAGCACTTGTTCACTGATGCCTGAGGTACTTGAGCTCACGGAAAACTCAACTGCAATGCCACTCTCCAAAGGGATTTCATTAACAGCAATAACTCCAACAATGCCAGGAGAACCTGCTGGCAAAGGGAGGGAATCAATGGCCTGGGTCAAGATTGTGGCCAGATCATGGCTGTCAACCAGACCGCCATTGGTGCCATCAAATGTCACATACAAGGTGTCATTCTCAACCACACCATCAAGTGTAGTAAGAACATCCACTGCCTGGGCCCCATTTCCGTTCAATGAATCCGAGATTGATTGAAGGACTTGGTCCAAATTTGTCTCCTCAAGAATTTGATCAGAGATACTTGAAGGTGTCGAGCTAACTGAAAACTCAACAGCGATACTTCCACTTCCCAACGGGATCACACCAACTGTGGTGGTTTCAATAATAGTTGGCGAACCCTCCGGCAAAGATAGGGAATTGAAGGCATCGGTGAAGATTGTACCCAGGTCATGACTGTTGACCAGGCCACCACCCACACCATCAAATGTTACATAGAAGGTGTCATCCACAACCACATTGTCCAGCGTAGAGAGAACATCCAATGCCTGGACCCCGCTTCCACTCAATGAATCCGAGATGGACTGAATGATCTGGACCAAATTTGATGCGTCAAGAACTTGCTCACTGATACCTGCAGGGCTTGAGCTTACTGCAAACTCCACAGCGATGCTACCACTGCCCAAAGCAATCTCATCAACAGCAATGACTTCAACAATTGCAGGAGAACCTGCTGGCAATGGAAGTGAACTGAAGGCTTCAGTAAAGATTGTACCCAGGTCATGGCTGTCCACCAAGCCGCCACCTGTGCCATCAAACGTCACATAGAAGGTGTCATCCACAACAATATTGTCCAGTGTAGAGAGAACATCCACTGCCTGTGCCCCACTGCCACTTAGAGAATCGGTGATGGACTGAATGATCTCCCCCAAATTGCTTGCATCCAGAACTTGTTCACTGATTCCTGAAGGATTTGAGCTGACTGAGAACTCTACTGCAATGCCACTCTCCAAGGGGATCTCACCAACAGCAATGGCCCCAACAACCTGAGGAGAACCTGCTGGCAAGGGAAGGGAGTTAACGGCCTCAGTGAAAATTGTACCCAGGTCATGACTGTCGACCAAGCCACTGCTGGTGCCATCAAACGTCACATAGAAGGTCTCAGGCACAACCACTCCATCAAGTGTGGTAAGAACATCCACTGCCTGGGCCCCACTTCCACTCAATGAATCGGAAATTGACTGAATGATCTGGGCCAGATTGCTTGAATCCAGAACTTGTTCACTGATTCCTGATGGGTTGGAGCTGACTGTGAATTCAACAGCAATGCCGCTCTCCAAAGGAATCTCACCAACAGCAGTGGCTGCAATGATGGAAGGTGAACCTTCTGGTAATGGAAGGGAGTTGAAGGCCTCAGTGAAGGCTGCCGCCAAGTCATGACTGTCGACCAAGCCACCACTTGTGCCATCAAAGGTCACATAAAATGTGTCATCCACAACAATATTGTCCAGTGTAGAGAGTACATCCACTGCCTGTGCCCCACTGCCACTAAGGGAATCGGAAATTGACTGAATGATCTCCGCCAAATTGCTTGAATCCAGAACTTGTTCACTGATCCTGAAGGACTCGAGCTGACTGAAAATCTACTGCAATGCCACTCTCCAAGGGATCTCACCAACAGCAATGGCCCCAACAACCTGAGGAGAACCTGCTGGCAAGGAAGGGAGTTAACGGCCTCAGTGAAAATTGTACCCAGGTCATGACTGTCGACCAAGCCACTGCTGGTGCCATCAAAGGTCACATAGAAGGTTTCAGGCACAACCACTCCATCAAGTGTAGTAAGAACATCCACCGCCTGGGCCCCACTTCCACTCAATGAATCGGAAATTGACTGAATGATCTGGGCCAGATTGCTGAATCCAGAACTTGTTCACTGATCCTGAAGGACTCGAGCTGACTGAAAACTCTACTGCAATGCCCTCTCCAAGGGGATCTCACCAACAGCAATGCCCAACAACCTGAGGAGAACCTCTGGCAAGGGAAGGGAGTTAACGGCTCAGTGAAAATGTACCCAGTCATGACTGTCGACCAAGCCACCACTTGTGCATCAAAGGTCACATAGAAGTGTCATCACACAACCACTCATCAAGTGTAGAAGATACATCCACTGCCTGTGCCCCCTGCCACTAAGGGAATCGGTAATAGACTGAATGATCTCCGCCATATGCTTGCATCCAGAACTTGTTCACTGATTCCTGAAGGACTCGAGCTGACTGAAAACTCTACTGCAATGCCACTCTCCAAGGGGATCTCACCAACAGCAATGGCCCCAACAACCTGAGGAGAACCTGCTGGCAAGGAAGGGAGTTAACGGCCTCAGTGAAAATTGTACCCAGGTCATGACTGTCGACCAAGCCAACACTTGTGCCATCAAAGGTCACATAGAAGGTCTCAGGCACAACCACTCCATCAGTGTAGTAAGAACATCCACCGCTGGGCCCCATCCACTCAATGAATCGGAAATTGACTGAATGATTGGGCCAATTGCTTGAATCCAGAACTTGTTCACTGATCCTGAAGGATGAGCTGACTGAAAACTCTACTGCAATGCCCTCTCCAAGGGATCTCACCAACAGCAATGGCCAAAATGAAGGTGAACCTCTGGAAGGAAGGGAGTTAAGGCCTCAGTGAAAATTGTCCCAGTCATGACTGTCGACCAAGCCACCACTTGTGCCATCAAAGGTCACATAGAAGGTATCACACAACCATATTGTCAGTGTAGAGAGTACATCCACTGCCTGTGCCCCCTGCCACTAAGGGAATCGGAATAGACTGAATGATCTCCGCATATGCTTGATCCAGAACTTGTTCACTGATTCCTGAAGGACTGAGCTGACTGAAAAATCTACTGCAATGCCACTCTCCAAAGGGATCTCACCAACAGCAATGGCCCAACAACCTGAGGAGAACCTGCTGCAAGGGAAGGGAGTTAACGGCCTCAGTGAAAATTGTACCCAGGTCATGACTGTCGACCAAGCCACCGCTGGTGCCATCAAAGGTCACATAGAAGGTCTCAGGCACAACCACTCCATCAAGTGTAGTAAGAACCTCCACCGCCTGGGCCCCACCGCCACTCAATGAATCGGAAATTGACTGAATGATTTGGGCCAGATTGCTTGAATCCAGAACTTGTTCACTGATCCCTGAAGGACTCGAGCTGACTGAAAACTCTACTGCAATGCCGCTCTCCAAAGGGATCTCACCAACAGCAGTGGCTGCAATGATGGAAGGTGAACCTTCTGGTAATGGAAGGGAGTTGAAGGCCTCAGTGAAGGCTGCGGCCAAGTCATGACTGTCGACCAAGCCACCGCTTGTGCCATCAAAGGTCACATAAAATGTGTCATCCACAACAATATTGTCCAGTGTAGAGAGTACATCCACTGCCTGTGCCCCACTGCCACTAAGGGAATCGGTAATAGACTGAATGATCTCCGCCAAATGGCTTGCATCCAGAACTTGTTCACTGATTCCTGAAGGATTTGAGCTGACTGAAAACTCTACTGCAATGCCACTCTCCAAGGGGATCTCACCAACAGCAATGGCCCCAACAACCTGAGGAGAACCTGCTTGCAAGGGAAGGGAGTTAACGGCCTCAGTGAAAATTGTACCCAGGTCATGACTGTCGACCAAGCCACCGCTGGTGCCATCAAAGGTCACATAGAAGGTCTCAGGCACGACCACTCCATCAAGTGTAGTAAGAACCTCCACCGCCTGGGCCCCACCGCCACTCAATGAATCGGAAATTGACTGAATGATTTGGGCCAAATTGCTTGAATCCAGAACTTGTTCACTGATTCCTGATGGGTTAGAGCTGACTGTGAATTCAACAGCAATGCCGCTCTCCAAAGGGATCTCACCAACAGCAGCGGCTTCAATGATGGAAGGTGAACCTTCTGGTAATGGAAGGGAGTTGAAGGCCTCAGTGAAGGCTGTGGCCAAGTCATGGCTGTTGATGAGGCCTCCACTGGTGCCCTCGAATGTGGTATAATATGTATCAGTCACCGTGAAGTACTCATCCAAAGAGTCGGTTAAATCAATGGCTTGCATGTTTTCCATAGAGTCGGTGAATGTCTGGAGGAAGTCAGTTCTATCTGGTTCTGACATCATTTGATCCAACACAGCTTCATCCAATGTTGATGTCAATTGATACTCAATGGCTGTTGATGTTTCGCTGGGGAGTTGGATCTGCTCCTGGACACTGATAGCCAAGACATCATTCACGCTTTGATCGTTTGGAATGTCTACGGTGGCGTTGACAGCACGAGTAAAAGCTGCAACAAGTTCGTTTTCCAGAATTGGATTATTGGTGTTGGATCTGTCTAACACAACATAGACAGTTTCAGTGGTGGTAGGGGAAGAAGTAGGTGCTGATATTGGGTCTAGAGTAGGATTCAGTGTGGGCTCCTCGGTGGGGTTTGGAGTGGGCTCATCTGTTGGTTCCTCAGTTGGACTTGGAGTTGGTTCCTCAGTCGGATTAGGAGTTGGATCCTGAGTCGGTTCCACAGTCGGATTGGTTGTGGGTTGCCTGGTTGGATTAAGACCATTGGGATTGCCATTCGCGTTCCCATTTGCATTACTGCTCGGTGGCAAAGCAGCGTTGGGAGGTTGGGCAGAGGCTGCCGTGGGAATTCCTGGATTGCTTTTGGTGTTTGTGTAAGTCTTGAGTACTGTCACAACGGAAGGTGTTAAGGTTTGCTTGGAGGAGGTTTGCGACGACGGGGGAGAAATGGGCCAGCCATTGGGTGAAATTGTCACCTCGGCAGAAGAGGGTGGATGTGCCGCAAACACCAAAAGACCCTCAGTTGTTTCGTTTGACAGCATCAAGGAAGGGCTGATTAACCCACTCGGAGACCAAGGAACTGATGGACTTGATGGTGACGACGCTGATGGACTTAGATCGCCCCTGTTACCAGAGGGAGCCACTGCACTGGGGCCAACTGCCGATGGCCGTGCCGCCGCAGGATTGGCACTGTTGCTGGGACTTGCATTGTTAGAACCAACGACACTGGGGACGAAAGAAGGCGAACCAGTTGCTGGGGCTGACGGGGCCCCTGGTGCATTGCCCGACACGGATGATGGTGCCCTGTTTGCCGTGCTCGATGGGGCGTTGTTGTTAGCCCCTGTTGTCGGCCCCGAGTATGCAGCAGAGGGCGACTGATTCCCATTCGTTGTGCTGGACGGTGCTTGGTTGCCTGTTGCAGAAGGTGCTTGGTTGCCTGTTGCAGAGGGCGCCTGATTGTTTGTTGCAGAGGGCGCCTGATTGTTTGTGGTTGTCGCCGACGGCGCCTGGTTGTTTGTATTTGTCGCCGACGGCGACTGATTGTTTGTGGTTGTAGCGGACGGTGCCTGGTTGTTTGCATCGTCGGCAACCACATCCCGATCTTGAATATCATTCGGATCCACAACAGCCGTTGTCTTGTCGGGAATCTTTAACAACTCATTCGGCATGGTCCCTTGACTTTCAACAATATCCCCCTTGTCATTGGTTGGATCAATGGCATCAATGTAGACAATGGGTGTCTTGCGCGGTGGACCGGGTTGTCCTTGGTCGATCGTTTCTCCAATCTGTGGAGACATGCGTGTGACAAAGTCATTAAAGCGATCATTGACGGTGTCGTCCTTCTCTTCATCTGGTAATGTGCTGCCATCCTGGTCGACTTGCTCGTCATCGCCATCGTCAAAGATGGGGTTGGTATCGGGACATCCGTTGCAGCTGACTTCGGATTCCCATACGGTAAATGTAACGGGAACATCCTCATCGTCATCATTGGTAATGTTTTCTGCTAGTACGAGTTCATTCTCGAGCATGAACCGTTCGTATTCATCGTCGCAGCCTCCCGTGCCGTTGTTGTACACGTCCCGCATGGCATTTTCGAGTCCTTCCCTATTGTCCAATACTTCGTCGGCCGTGACATTGACCATGACAAGTCTGGTAATACCGGTTTTAACTTCGTAGTCCTCGGGAATGGAGCCATTGCACACCAACGGGTCGGGTCGGGAATAATCGACGGGGTCAGTAGCCCCGGGATTACTTCTTGTCATGACGACAGCCGCCGTAATGGCAATTCCGGCGGCCAAGGCGGCCGTGACAGCAGTAGTGGTGACGGCCGAAGTCGTGGTCGTCTTGGCCGTGGACATAGCCTGTGGTCCCGCCGCTGCGGCTTGATTGGCGGCTTGCGCCGCACTGACTTTCATTTCCTGGACGACGGCGGGGTAGGTTGTCTTGTTGGCGTCATTCTCATTGTCATCGTCGGCCCACCATCGTTTGCAGCCCATGGCGGACAGACAGTAGCTCACGGCGACTCGCGGCCATCGAAATAGCCAAAAGACGAGGTCATATAAATTGAGCATGAGGAGTTCTCTGGCTCCCGACTTGATGGACTGGCGCATGACTCTGTTTTCCACGTCGGACCAGTCGACGGAATTAGCGCCTTCCTCACTGATCGAGTTGGCTTCGACGATACTATCGAACGCTTCGCTGAGTTGAAATTGAACCGACTTGACATTGGTGGCATCTTTCATGAGTGTCGCATCGACGAGACTGTGACGGGGCAACCGATCGCCATCGGCAGAAATCTCATCCTCATCGTAGACCGTCTCTACCAGCGGCTCTTGTTGTCGCATGCTGGGATTATGACGCAATTCTCGTGGCGCATCGTCCAACATCGAAATCTCTGGCTCTTCGTCAAACGGAGGTTGCTCCGTGTCGTAATTGGTCAGACTACTGGCAGTGCTAAAGTCAAAGGTCGACGAAAAGCCGTCGGCCACACTGCCGCCCATGTCAATCGCGGGTTCTTGCGCCATGCCCGTGTCAATCTCGGGCTCTTCTGCGAACGGATTGCCCGTGTCAATCTCCTCCTCGTCTTCGATAGGGCCTTGGGGGAATTGGAACGACGACATGGTGGTAGTGGTAGTAGTGTTGGTATGCAGAGAGGGGTGGTAATAGAAGTCTTTCGGTAGTAGTCTTTGGTTGAAGGGGGTTGGCTTTATTTTGCTTTCCTTGACCTCAGTGTGTTTTGGGAAAGTTCAGAGCCAACTACTCGGCTTTACAGATGATGTGAAACTTGGACACTCCAACCTGACCACTACTCGAGTACTAGCTAACTACGGTAGAAATGCGGGGTCTTGGACACAGGAGTTTGTCGCAAGAAAAAGCTGCCTGTTTCCAAGCAGATCGCTGCGTTTTTCCTTAGTCTACTGGCTCATCAAGCTCTCATCGTCACAAGAAACCCGACGCTCACCGATCATTTCGTTGCTCACCGGTGTGGGGTGTGGGGGCCTGTGGGGTCTTGTGTGTAATGACCAACACACGGATCGACCACGACACTGTCCAACTACTGTACAGTCCCGTAATCGTAGTTGAACGATCAAATGACCACTGAGGAACAAATTACGGTTACAATTATTTCCTGATGGTACCAAAACATTGAACAGGACCTTAGCTTTAAGATGCAGAATCCGTGGATTTCGATGTTTTCCCAGACTTCAGCGCAAAAGGGCGAATTTCGCGGGCTCTTCCGCTCCAAACTGCACACCAGGGTGCGGATCATCATCATCATCTGTTCTGGCTCTAGCTTTCCTATTTGACACTTTCCTTGGCCCAGCATCCATTAGCATCATGCATTGTCATCTTGTCATAATAGGCATCACGCCAGAACCCCCAAACACACACCGATAGTACAATGATACACATTATTGTACTAGTCTAGTACCGTTCCGAGCCCTTTTCCATTATCTCAAACTGGCCCTGCCAACTGCTGGGTTTCTTTTATTGCCTACCAGGTAGCACTGGCTAGATCTAGCTAGCTAAATGGTGGGTACGGAAGCTGTACGGAGTGGTTTGTCCATGATCACTTCACTATGATACTTTCGAAAAAACGGTTTCATGGGGCAATGGTCATCCTTCAACCAGGAATCAATGGTATCTTATAACTAAGGCTGTAATGATGCAAATTAAAAGCAATTGATTGAGAATATTCGTGGGGTCATTCTGGTGTCGTCTCTTTAGTACAGTTCTCCAATACTAACTTGAAGAGTCATTGTGGTCATTAAGTCATTGTGTTACTCAAAAAGAATTATGCACATTAATCCCGACTTTTCTCAATTTGTCCAAGATCTGATTATTGGAGTACAACTGTTTAATTAAAATGCATGCTGAGAGAGAAGGTCAAAGGTCAAAAAGTTTTCTGACTCGAGCACTTTACTTCTCCAGTACAGCTTGGTACTTGGTACCTCAAGCCTCAAGAAGTACGGTGTATGCATACAGTCGTACCGGTACCGGTACCGGTACGGTAAGCCTATGAATATTAGCGCTGCGTCAGCATTTTGATTTGACTATTGTCCTTCTTGAAGTGCTCTTTATTGAGGCATGTCGGTGTTGTCGCCTCTCAAATCTCACTGCTACTGGAGTAGTTACACGTATTCACCAGTTATTCTCGCCCACAAGAGTATTAAAAAAAGTCACCATCAATTTTTAACAAAATCCAGAAAGTTTCGTCATCGGAGTTGCGGGAATACCAGTTTTAAGCAGCTTTTTAAGCTCAGTTTTACATGTTGCTCGGGCAGTTGCAACTAACTGGACTGTTTTTCTACAGGAACACGTCTCCTCTGGTTTGGAGGCGAGATGGCACTTAGAGCGAGACTGGCCGGGCGAGAGCGGTAAAGGAGAGCCAACGGTAGAGGCGTCATGGTCGCTCCTTGAGGCTCGCTTCGGAAAGAGGCTCCGTGGAAGGAGAAAGGAGTCATCGGCGGTCGACCGAATGGATCCATCGATCGGAAGAGGATCGATCCGTCGCTGCTGCTTCCAGTCTAACCAAACAAGAGAAGCGTCATGGTGGAGCCTTCTTCCAAAGGAGTAGCCGCTGTAGAGTCGACACCATCTTGATAGAGAAAGGTATCGATCAATGAAGAGGAGTGGATGCTTGGATCCTCGGATCCTCGACGTAGTGAGTTCAGGCTCGAGCCTCAAACACCGACCACGCCAATGACAATACCACCATTGACCAAGCAAATACCATACAGTACCCACCATGACCCACAACGCTTCATCATTCCAAGGCCGCCTCTTCGCGCAGCAGTCGTTTCCCTCGCAGGCTAGTATATCCCTTGTCTTCTCAGCCAAATCACGTTGCTTGATTGACATGGGCAATGTCTTCATTGTTGTCCCAGAAGGCGACGACTTGCAGCCGTTTCAGCGATCGATCTTCCGCCTTGAAGGCAATCGGCAATCCATGACATTTGCTGACGACAGCCACCTTTCCTTGGATGATTGCAAAGTCTATCTTTTGAACAAATTTGATCAATTCCCGCACTGCGACATCGTAGCAGTGAATTTTCCTTACTTCCACCTGGAAGAGATGGAGCAGGGCCTGAAAAAGTATCGCCCTTGTGGCAAACACCGCTATTCGTTGGAGTCTTCAAGGATGACAATCGGTTTTGTCTCCTTTTGGGTCCTCCCGATATCAAGCCATCCACGGCCCCTGGAGCGTTCCTCAATCGTGGATGAGGTTAAATCCAAAGGTTCCCAAATTAGGGGCAGATGGTGCGGAAAGTGCGTGAGGCTCTAAGGAGATCTCAGCCTCCACTCAGTGAACCAGTGCAGCTACCAGTGCCCACTACAGCTTCGCAGCTTTAGAAAAGGAAAGCAGTTTGATGCCAATTAGACAGTTTTACCAGTACATTGTACTCAGTAGCCCATTGTAGCGGTACAGCATGGCCAAATCTAGCTAGCTAGTCTACTATCCACTCTGGAGTATCCGGTAGCTAGGATGTGCTCATTAATTTTCATACCAACTGGTTGTTATCTTATCTTCTTTACTTGAATTTTCTGCCATCCACGACAGTACTGTAGTCAAAGCTGGTGCTGTGTGTCAAAGCTTGTGTCATGCGTCAATGCTGGTGATGTCATATCTTTGGCCATCAGGAGCTGTCCACTCGGAGCTGCCTACTTTAATCGAGCATGGAATTACTGATGATCACAACAGAGACAGAGTACAGTGCCCTACCTGGTAGGCATTGTAGGAATACCAACTGGAGCACAAAATGGCCGACCGGGCAGTAGAGTTGTAGGAAGTGAGACGATTGTGTATGTGAACAACAATATGGCCGTTGGATTTGAATATCTAGAAGAGAAGGTGTGCATTATTCCACAAGAAACACTGCTTCCTCCACTCAGTATTCGTCACAGCAGCATGCATCTCTCCCAATAAAATCATTCAATCCAAGAAGCAATATTGCAGTCAGACTTTCCTCTACAGTAAAGCGCAAACCAAGTACTGTGAATGGGTGGTATGGATAGCAACAGTTCAAACAGTGCAATAAAAGAGACTTTGGTGTACATCATATGTTGGAATCCACGACGAGCATTCACTACTGCTTCGGCTACAGCCAGTCAGCAACCACTGCCATTGTGATTTGTCCGTCGACAAGCACAGCCACGCAAAGAACCAGGAACGATGCCACCACAACGGCTACGGTACCACTACTGCTACAACTTACTATGCATGCTACTCCTACAAGGAACAACACGGTCATCGATACCGATAGCGGCTGTCCGCGTTGATACGATCAACTAACAGAAACAACAACCAAATGCTAGCTATCACTTGACTACTACCGCCATTACTAAGATTGCCTACAAGTACCGATTTTATTACGCAATTAAATTTCATACGAAGGAGAACCAAGTTGACCTAAGAGTTGTGCATACTGCCAAAATCGTTCTCAACATCAGGGAAACTGGTACTGGTCTTACATAGGAATCAGCACCAAAGAACTAGAAAATTCAAGGGAAGAATGAATCCAACAAGACGATTCACTTTTCACCAGTGCATGTGAGTTATTGTGTGGTCTCCTCTGCATGGTTGATTACTGTATTTCATGGCTCGTTGACAATGGTTCTTCCTCGAACGTCTGTAGTAAGAGATTAGAAAGTAAGAATAGATATAATTTTCTCTTCTGTTCTGATACTGCAGAAAACCAGAGACATACCATTGCTCTTCAAAATTGACCAACTTGACTGTCATAGGCCGAGAACTGACTGCAATTCCATGGTCCATACAGTTTCAATGAGGATAGCTTTTATTTCTGACCCGGAGACGGTCGGCTTGATAGTACGGTATGGTAATGGTATCGGTACCGTAGAGGTGCCGCTGATCAAGTCAACATGATTGTCAGCCAGCCAATGTCCAGACTGCTGCCGGTCACTCTTGCTATTATTAATAGAGAGATCAAATGCTTCACCCGTATAGTTGTGGTGGTACCGGTAGTAGCATGCTGGTAAACTTGTACTCAGTAGCTTACTAGTATCTAATATCCACTGGCATTAACCAGCCACTCTCAGTATCTCTCCACGCTCAGTCAAATAACAAGCCACCACTCTGATCAGATCAATGCAGGGATGGAAGGCTACATCAACAATCATACAATCATATCAACAATCTACTTAAATATACTTTAAACTCCCAATATCCACAAGTAAGTGAAGGAATGAAAGCGCAACAACAGCAACAGGAACCAACACCAAGGTCAATCCTGGCCAATGAGTGCTTTATGCAGCTGACGTGCAACTGGTGTGGGTCTCTTGAGCAAGTGGCTATAAGCAAATCTCTTGCCGACACAGTCGACAGGTGATTGCTCATTCAAGAAAGCATCTGTCTCCTCGGTGGTGCTTCATGTTTGTGGGGGAGGCTATGGTTGGTACCCCCTGTAATCAGTTCTGGTATTCATAGTAACAACAGCAATCAATCCGACTGTTGGTTCCCCCTCTCAGGTTACCGGGTGTAGATCACCCCCATCTTATTTTCTTCCCATAGCTTTTTCACATCTGATTCCGTTCCAAATGTCTTGGATACCTTGATCAATGTACAAATTGATAGGAGGGCCTGTTAACATGGCTGTGCCAGCCTGCTCAGAAGCCTCCGTATACCTGATTGAATAATTGGTCCTGCTACTGTTTGTTTTATAGTAGAGCCCTGCCAAAAAATGTTTTAACTAGCCCCCTTTGAAACCCCCATCATTAAGTCGCGAGGAAACCTCACGGATTTCGGGGCAGATTCCCATTAGGGGCAGGTTTCTGAAACCTGCCCCTAAAAATAGGGGCATTTTGGAGAATCCGCCCCTAAATCCGCCCCTAAATTAGGGCCGTTTTGTTATTTAGGGGCAGATTTCAAACCCGCCCCTAAAATAGGGGCGTTTTCTATGTATTTTGAGTACAGTCCGGTTTACTTTTTAGGCTGGTTTTGAAACACGCCCCTAAATATTAGGGGCAGTTTCTTAGAAACTGCCCCTAAAATAGAGGGCGTTTTCTAAATAGGGGCAGGTTTGGAATCCGCCCCCATTTTTGGGGCGGATTTAGGGGCGGATTCCAAACATGCCAATATGTAGGGGCGTTTTGCACAACTGAGGGACGCTCCTGCAAATCTGGTTGATTGCACCAAGGTTTGTAGCTTCCCGAAGGTGTACAATCGCCCAGGTTCCTACCTGCACAGAAAGCCCACATGGCAACGATGGCTCACAAATCCTGAGGGATCAGAAAGCCTGTCCAATATACTGCGACCTGCAAGTCCAGAAACACTTCGAATGGAGATCGTCAAGAAGCTCACTGATCTTCTTACTGCAAATCCGATTGTTGATTATCGCGATGTCACCCTAGCTCTTGATATTGGAACTCTCGTTGAAGGCTACAAGATGTATGAAGATGAATTGTGTAACTTCACCAAAGTTTACAAAGGACCGCCTGCATCTGGTCCTGGTGCCACCCCGAATGCAGCCCTTTATGTCCGCACAACCAGTCCCCCGACCACCCCACCAGGAAAAAACAACCACCCCCAAAGTGCCGCCTTGAGCTTGTGCTGGAGGATGTGTTTATCTGTTATCATTAAGTCACGATTTTAGATGAAGGTGTTGCGTATTGCATATCTGCAGGCAACGCATGGGGAAAGATCCGTGGTCTGACACTGTTGGCTGCTTACGAAGAGAAGGAAGCTGAGCAGCAGCAAGAAGCAGCAATTTACTCCACTGCAGCGGTTCAGGCACCCTGCCCTTTCCAAGAGCATCGAGGACGGCGACAACGCCGACTTTGGAAACACCTTGATGGGACACATTTCATTTTTGTGATCATTGCTCTTGGCTTCCACTCTGTCCAATCGTTTTATCCCATTCCAGAAGTCACGAAAGTTTTGTGGCCAGCAGTGTCGCTTTCTTCTAGCAGCATGACGAAGTGGGTAGATACTTGGGAGGACATCCATAAAGGTGGTCCAGGGCGCTGGAGGATCGATGATTCGGAGGCACACCAGGCGGCTTTGGGTCACATGGCAGAGTACCTGAAGGAAAAGAGCAACATTTTGGCACCCTTGTGCGGCGACGATCCAATGGTGTTGGAGCTTTGAAAACGAGGTCACTCAGTGACGGCCATGGATTTGGTGCCACTGGCTCTGCAACGAATGCGAGAAACTTTTCCCGGAACATGGACCAAAGAAGATCGTGACAATGACATGGTGGTATGGAAACACGAGTCGGGTCGAGCGACACAGTATCAAGGAGATGCCCTTGTACCTATCGAGGAAATGAAGAATTTAAGCCAGCGGAGCTGTGTAACCTCGGCAGAAAGGTTTCAGTGTAGAAGCAGATACCCCATTAGCTAGCTAGCTAGCTAGCTAGAAGCGGATACCTCTAGTGCTTAGCTAGTGCTTAACTTGCGCTTAGCTAGCTAGAAGAAGACCCCCCCTGGCTAGAAGCAGATTCCCATAGCAAGCTAGAAGCAGATACCCCTAGCTAGCTAGAATCCTAGTTATATAGCGTTCGCTGGCTTTAGAGATTTTCCTGGTAGAAGCAGATCCCCCTACTAGGATGCATGTAAATAGCTTTAGCTGGTTTTTAAAGCACCATCCTACCAGGTAGCTCTAGGATACTTATTTATTTTTTGCTGACTTATTTGTATTCTAACCCTACCCTTATACCTGCAGGGACCACCGTAGTAGGAAAAACAATTAAAGGGGTTGAGGACTCTGGCAGCAAGACTGCCGAGGTCAATTGATCTGGTCTAGCTCACAAATTCAGTTCCACGCTTCTTGGTCACTTGTTTCGGGTGATCCAATTCTCAAGCAGCCTTGCAGGCTAATGATTTGCGCGAACTTATTCTTTTCGGGATGGTGACCAGATCCGTTTTCGGTCCATGCCATGACCTTCTCGGATAGCGTTTGGTCCCAGATAGCTTGCCAGTGCCCGTTACTTTTATGACGAAGACAGTAGCTAGCTAGTAAGTAGGGCGGATCCATTCAGCTGTGGGGCGACCGGCCCAGTTTCATCAACTTGGAGAAATGGAAGGAAATAAGGAAGCTAGCTAAAAGCACCCTGCTTCCCTGCCAAATCAACGAACTCCCAGTCCTTCACCTGCTTTCATGTTTCCTGCCGAGCTATAGCTCCAGTGCGGGTCCCAATCCAACTATTAGATTGGCATTCTGCTGAATCAAGGACCACCCCCTCTACAGCATCGCTTTAGCAGTTCATCGGCATGGCCTTCTGACCTCCTTGCTTCTTGCCAACGGTATAGCCAGCCAGCCAGCCAGCCAGCCATATACCCACTGCGGTCGCTACCTTGAACCAACTACATACTGTCTCCAAAGCAGTAGGATGCCAGAGCATGACTTTGCTGCGAGCTGCACGAAGAAACCGGCTGGTGTTTACAGGGTTGCTCCTGTTGCCCCACAGTTGGGGGTTGGGATGAAACCAAGGAGCTTCGTGGGAGTGTTTCAAAACTGAGCCGATCTGGAGCAGAAATCTTCGTAGGTTTTGTACTGGTGGATCTTTCAGATCTTTGCCACTTTTTTCAATGACCCATTGTTTTTGCTGCCAACCAACTACATCACATAATTTGCACATACTTTGTTCAACAGGCAGGATTCCTTCGAGCAGTTGACAATTCTATCTTCTTCTTCTTTTCTTTCTCTCCCAGATACAATGCCCAGCACAATGGAACCAAGAAACGAAGAAGAAATCAACTTCGTTGGTGAGGACCAAGAGATGTACCGCCTTCTCGTGAACAAGGACGAAGGCGACGAAGTGTCTGCCCAGGAAGGATTGCTCAACCGGTTCAAGTCGTACAGTATCCTCATTGGAGCCTGCTGTGGTATCTTTGTTCAGCTGTCTACTCTCGGAGCAAATTTCCTGGTAAGTGGTTGGCGACTTGCAATGATGCTTCTTTTGTGCCGCCCCGCCTCACCGTTTTCCCTTCAAACCACTAGCTTGTCGCCATGTGGGGTGATGATGTACTGGCTCAGAGAAGCCCGGAGGGCGCCATGGCATTCTCCCTGGCCTGGAGTTTCTTCACCTCCTGCATGGCCTTGCTTGTATTGGCCCTTCTCCGCGGCATGATCACCACTATTCTGGATGCCAACTCCGTGATGGATGGCACTCCCGAAAGAGATACTCTGATGATGACGGTTGAAGTCCGCTACGTTGTTGGGGCATTGGTTGGAGTGTGCTTCGCCTGGACTTGCACCGACCTCCTCCTCGGCATGCAGTCATTGGCATTCTACTCCCTGGGAACGCTTGTTGTTGCTCTGGTTTGGTCCAGAGCAATGATTTGGTGCTTCGTCACCCAGTCGGATGACGACGCTGAGGAAGTGACTAAAGATCAACAAGAATCAGACTCTGCAACTTGCGGACCCCACGCCGTCTGAACACTAAAACCTTCGAGACACGAACTTGAAACCAGCTTTCAATGTCAGTCATTGTTGTATAACTACATTTAACTACCTGCGTTGCCTTCCATACTTCTAAAGATGTTCGAATGGCGCTCATGATGCGTTTTGGATTTTGGATGTCTGAAATAGAATACTTAAATTCATCTGAAATATATAGCAAAAGCGTTCAAAGAAGCAACGCAGAAGCTGGAGGAAAAGATCAAAACCAGCCCAGACAGTTCATATTTCCATAACAGTACCGGTAGGGACCACCTCATCCATGTCCTCAAACTGTTGTTCTCCCTCTGGGATCCCGATGGTGGTAACAGGGAGGTCGTCCTGGTCAGACTCGAAGAAAGCAAGAAGGCGTTCTCGTGATTTCGAAGATTGTCTCATCGTTTTGCTGTGCGAGCGTTTGAGACCCATCTGACGGTCCCATTCCTGAATTGTTTTGGTGCTTCCAATGCTCTGTTGTAGTGCAGACGAAAGGGCCTTGACAGTTGGAGTACCCCCACGGCTAAAAGCAGAGTCGCTAGAGTAGGTGCGAGAAACACTCTGCTTGAAATCGGCCTCATCGTCGGCGCAGGCAGTGTCGTGGTCCAAGTCTCCATCCGTCAGAGAGACCTGCATGGCGCTTCGCTGGGACGACTGGGAGGATACAGTCCTGGGAACGGATCGCCTGGGCGTTTCCAGATCTTCCATCTGAAGAGATGCACAGGAATCGTTGAGGCCGGTCGATGCAGCGGAAACTCGTTTTCTTGGTTTCCACATAGATCTCCGGTCAGCAACGGACATACCCGCCGTGAAGCTATCCCGGCTCCTGGGCTTCCACAAGGAACGTTGCGATCGCCTTGGTGGACGAGGACGTCCGTTGTCACGGTCCATGGAGACACAGGGCTTTAAAGAAGGCTGTTCATCTGTGCTGATCGTTTCCTCCGCCTTGTCCTCGGCAATATCCATGTCGTCTTGTGCAGCCGCCGGCTTTGAATCCATTTCAGGGGTGGATGCCTCTTCGTTCAGCGTTTCATCGCAACTATCCTCCGTGACAGCCCTTTCTCGTGGTTTCCACATTCCCGGGTCGGTATTCGAGTGGATGGATGGAAAATCGAGATCATCCAGAAGGAGAGAGGAAGAAGACTCATCCAGATCAGCCAATTCGGAAGGTCCTGGAAGCATGTCGTCACAAAAGGTGGGAGCAGGTGTTGTTGAGAAGGTAGAAGTCATGTTGTCATTGCGACGTTTCTTTCGTTGGGCCACTCTCCCCATAAGCTCTTGTTCCGTTTCGCGACTTCGTCGTCGCATTCGCATATCAGGACGTGTCGCATCAAAGAACTCTGGACCTCTTACTTCGCCAGGTCCAATGGTGATTTGATCGAGAATGAAGCGATCATCGCCAACCCCCACGGTTTGTTGGTATGATTCGCCAGGGAAACCCATATCTTCCTCAAAGGAGGGGTATTGGGGATCGTAATGGGAGTACGAAGCATGAGGAGAGATAATTGGGAGATTATCAGGTCCTTCGGTGAATTCAAGCTCAGAGGACGAGTTGTTAAAGTTCAGTTGCGCTAAGATATCTCGCTGGGACGAAAGGAGGGCTTGGAACGCTTCATCGACATCCTTCTCGCTCTTGCTTTTGGCTTTCTTGTTATCGGTGTCGGTAGCTGGAGAAACCATTGTGTGTGACGATAAGATTGCTTGGTTTGGATGTGCACTTTGTTCTCGTTGATTGTGAGAATGATCTTTGAAGAAATTGTGAGCTGAATGAAGCATCAGGGCAAGGAACCTTGCAAATGGATCTGGTTTGGTGGAAAATGTGAGCGGTTGTTAGCAAGACTACGATGAATGACCGAAAACTGGTACTCAAAGTATAGACTAAAGGTTTGTGAGTCTTTGTGACTCTATATTCTTGTGAATCTGCAAAGAGTTAGAGAGTCTCAGGAGAGTCGCGCTTACAAAGAGTTGTGTTGGAGATAAGCCTTGTCTTGTGGCTTAACAAATGTGGAGTTGGCAATCGAAAGAAGACTTTTCGTCTACTAGCTAGACTGGGTGGAGATCTTGACCCGCTTGACAGCAGGGGCACAGGAGCTGCTGCTACCCAGTTTCATTATTGGTTGGCCCTCTTCATCGCCATCAGTATTTGATCCAGTGTCGATTATTGTCTACGCCAACAGCTACCGTACTAGATGGCTCACCAAACAAGTCTAGACTGACTGGACCGAGGTTTCTGGTGGCTGGAGGCATTCAAGCATCTAGTATCCACAGGTAACATGCGCCCTCATGTCATTGTCGCCAAGGCAGAGCCAGGCTACCGGTACAGTATGGTACGCAAGTTTGTTGAGCGCAGCTCCCACGAATGAGTCTCAAGGTACGAGCTCTACTCCTATGCCTTGAAGCCAAAAATGGCATAGCACCACCAAGGAGTATTCGTATCAAGTTCATAGCCCTTGGCTGCTTACCAGGTAGGTAGCCACCAAGCGAATAGTACTACTACATGTAGCTAGCTAGTTGCTTGTTGGTGGCTGGGTAGAGGTGATCGTGTTCCGAGTCATCGCCGTGTTTGTGTTGGTGTCTATTCATTTCGGTTTGTTGTTTTAAATCTTTCCAAAAGACTTTTTTTGATCTGGATACTAGTATGCTGCACTGCAGTCTGCAGGCTGCATTGGCTGCATGTGGTCTCTAAAAGTTGTTGGTTGAAGAACTCGGTGGCGCTCGTGTCTTCTCCGAAGCCCTCCTGCTGACCGAGGAAGTCCCAGCCAAGAACATTGGAAATGCCCGGTATAAGCAATCTGGAGCTATGAGGTCATCTTTTCTTATGGCTTGGTTCCGAGGCGATGAGCCGCCTTGCCTTGTTGATACAGAGCACTTCAATTTATTGCCTGCCCATCAGTCCTGACCCCCGTTCTGAGCAATCTGAAGCTATAGGCTATCATAGCAGGTCATCATTCTAAGGGCTGGGCTGGTTCCGGGCGGTTCATCGCTTCGACGCAGAGAACTTCAATTGCCTACCCATCAGTCCTGACATAACGACGGTTTATCGTAACTTTAGCTTTTGGTGCCTGCTTACGGGCCAGATGGAAACGATAAACGGCTCGGCTGGAGCGACCACTCCCCACTTTCTTTACCTCTAGCGACGAGCGGAGCACTTAGCTCGACCTGGACTCCCATAACTCAAGAATGCCCGTTCGTTCCATCACAGCAAGCAATCAGCCAGGTCGTCTCCATTGTAGTCCGTTCAGCAGACGATAGTGATCGTTGCCTCCAATTGAGCCTTCCTCTCAAATAGCTAGCACCTCGAGAACAACACCCGCTTACTGAGACACGAGAAGAACACCGTAGTTGTCGAAAAGACTATAATAGCAATTATTCGGCACCCATCTTATTAATTAAGACCGTTCACCTCCCTTTTGAGCCCGCAGGGCCAGGTAGGCCCCGTACCGAGGCACAAAGCAAATGACGAGTAACATGCCAACATTGAACCCGATGCTACCTTCAGCACCCAGATACGCCACCACATCCGATCCTTTGGCAAATCCGTAATCATTGCCGCCGCCACAAAGATCCTCGAGATTCCCACTGCCGTCGCACGGTACATCGTCCTGAAACACGAGTTGCAGGGATGCCGAGAAGGCATACTTGAAGGGAGAGAACCATTTCACCCACGAAATGAAACTTGGAATGTTCTGGACATAGAACCCACCCAAAAGCATGAGGAACAGGCCCGAAACGATCATCACGGTCAAAGCTTTTGTCATGTCGTGTATTGAGGTTCCAACTAGCAACCCCAAGGCTTCCCCGGACACCACGCTGAGTAGGGTACAGCAGGTGCTGGACACAAAGACCCAAAATCGATTATCAATTCCTGCCATCCAATAGGATGTCACCATGTAGAGAAATGGCAGGGTCAAACGGACCGGTGCGTCGCTGGTTGTTTTGGCCAGAAAGTAAGCACTGAGGTGATAACTCCCACTGGCCCGTTCTTTGAGAATGACGGCTCGTTCGGCCGGGAATGCCATGAGTGCTCCCATCATACTGTCAAAGACCCAAAAGGTCATGGTGAAAAAGTAATAGGAACTGCGATCGTGGACTCGTTCTTCCGTGTAGGGTAGTTGGAACCACAGCATGCCCGCGACAAGGCCGATACAGACCGACTTGATCAAATTCAGTGGTGTAAAGATGGCACTTCGACTGTTCTTCATGCAGCGATGCGTCAAGACCCAATACTGTGTGGCCCACGATGTACTGTACTTGTTGCCACTGCTGCCATTGTTATCAACTCCATCCAGAAGCAAACTGTTGACAGAGCTTCCACTCTTGTTGGTGGATCCAATGTCTTCAATAGCGGCGTCCATTTGTTCTGCCACAGCTTCATTATCCCAAGCTTGTTGTAATTGGAGACGTGGGATTGTCTTGGGAGGAAGCAGTCCCTGTTGTTCGTCTTCGTCATCGTCACTGGTGGTTGTGTTGTGGTTATTATTGTCGTGTGGACTATCATCAATCACCAGGACGTCCATCCAATGATCTGCCGCATTGTAGCTGTAGGAAAAAAACAAAGTAGGTTGTGAGATTACGGTACGTATGATATGAATAATGGCATGTATATCCATTTGCCTTTTCCACGCACGTACCCATCGGGACAGGCCAAATTTTGGGTCCTGAGATAATCCAAAGACGCCACTGGATTTCCAAAGTACACCACCTTTCCATCCGATAGCAGTAACAATCGATCAAACGCTCGAAAGACTGCAGATGACGGTTGATGAATACTGGTAATTACAGTCTTGGGTGGAGCTGTCCCATCTCCCTTGGCCAAACGATGCAAAAGCTGCAATAATGACACGGCACTGGTCGAGTCCAGTCCGGATGTGGGTTCATCCAAGAGAAGAATGGAGGGGTTTGTCAGGAGTTCTGTCCCAATATTGACGCGTTTCTTTTCTCCGCCCGACAACATTTTGATGGGTGAGTTGGCGACTTTTCCTAATCTCAATAAGGAAATGATGCGGTCCACTTCGACGACCTTTTCTTCCGTGGTCATGCGCTTGGACGGCAAGCGCAGCAATGCCGTGTATGTGAATTGATCTCGTACCGTCAAATGTTGAAAGAAAATGTCGGCCTGTTTGACATAGGCAATTTTGCTCATGAGTTTTTTCATGCTACCGGCAGCCGCCGAATTGTTGTTGGGCAGGACTTCCCCATTGATAGAAATGGTTCCCTCTTGATAGGCACTGCGTCCACTGAGCGTGTTAAGTAGGCTCGTTTTTCCACTGCCACTTGGACCCATCAATCCCACCACTTCACCGGGGGCGGCACATCCCGAGACTCGATCCAGAATGACCTTGTGGTTGTCGTTTTTGTTGTGGTTGTCTCCTCCTCCCAACATCATCATGCTGCTGGCAGGAGACAGGAGGGTCCAGCTGCTGCGACGACTTTGTTCGTGAACCAAGGAAGTGGGAGGAGTGCTGGCTTCTGTTGCCTGACCCGATTCCTTCGTTGCCGTCGACGAGGACGGGCCGGCAATGGGACCACGGACAAGACCGGCTGTACTCTCCTTGATCTCGACAGACTTGTACAGCCGACTCCATCGAAGGTAATAGCCGCCTGCTTTGGTCGTAGCTGTAGTATTCTGTTGGCTATCGTCATCCACAGCCTCAATAAGTGGATCAGCATCATCCCTCTTATTGTCGGCGCTGCTTCCATTGGTCGCAATGCTTGTTTCCGCCATCTTGGATGCAACAACAACAAAATTAATGAATGAGCACAAAAAATATGAGTGAGCGCTTGACTCAGCGGCTGGTTCGAAGACGTGGGCATCAAGATGCGTGGGTCTTCTTCTAAAGAACAAAAAAGAAGACCGTGGTCTCGTTGCTCTTTGCACGCGCAGGTTTGAACGATCACCTGGATCCAATGGCCTCCACGGACATCCGTTCGTGCTGAATCGAATCAGAATGAATGATGCAGATTCGATTCGATTCAATCGAATCTCAGTCGACTCGACTCTGACTCGACTCACTCCTTGAAGTGGTGTGGCCATGGTTGTGGCTCTGTGCCCACGAGAACACAAGTGATTGAATTCTCGTTTTCTTGCTGACGGCTGGCTGTCTACCGTATCCAGCCAGAAGAAGTGATCCATCAACTATCAAGATGCCGGTTGCCTTTGTCGAACCTCCCCCAACGAATCACCATGGCGTGTCTTTCGACGTGGAAGAGGATGGTTCTCCAACGAAGCTGTCCGAAGAAAAGCGTTTGGAACGCATGATGAATGCTCATCAAACGTTAGTGGACATGGTACACGAGCGCAACGAAAAAGGCATCATCCCCTTTGCCAAGGATTGTCAGGCCCGATTGGAAGCTCTGGGAGGATGGCAAAGTCACGGAATTCATATGACAGATTCTCCACCTCCCGTCGTCCAGGATACATTTCTCTTGCCCCACAGCAAGAGCCAATTCCCCGTGACGGTGCTCGACGGTGTCTTGTCCCAGGAAGTCTGTCGGTCCTTTATTGACGTGCACGAAAAAGTGGGCTTTGCCAAACCTCCTTCGCTACTCGTGTCGTTGGTGGAACAATTGGAGGGACAACAAGACGCGGAATATCTGAAAAAATATGCCTACGAGCAAGCCAAGAACACGTCGGAACTGGTGCAAATCGAATCCAACGAATTTGCCGCCTATTTGTGGGCACACATTCAAGACCATCTACCCGATCAACAAGCCTCGTTCGGACAATTCACGACGGGCATGTACCAAAAATGTGGCATTATTCCCGTCTTTCGATTCATGCGCTATGAGCAGGACCAAGGATTCAAACCGCACACGGACCCACAACGAATTTTTACAAAGTGCCCACCACTGCACCACAATTCCACTACGGCAACAACAACCGAGGGAGAACCAGGAATTTACCAATCACTCTTCACCATTGCCTTGTACCTGAATGACCCTGCCACTGATTTTGAGGGAGGCAAGCTCAACTTTGTCAAGCTACACGTCGATTCCGACGGGACCAAGCGCTACCAGTCACTGGCGACCGTGGACCCGGCAGTGGGTCGTTGTGTCCTCTTTAGTCACGAAGAATTGCACGAAGGAGGCGGCGTGCAAGCTGGAACCAAGTACATGTGTCAATGCGATGTCCTATACAAGCGTGTAGGGGATCTGCCCTAGCTGCCTAAATGGCAGCGGCTGTGGAGGTGGCCGATAAGACTAACAAGCAACGGCAGTAATGAAGTAGTACTTGAACCTGAGTAGAAGTTTTCCTGCTGGCCCAAAGTATGGAAATGTTCCGTCATCCTTTGAATCGTTTCATTTCTCTGTTGTTGTTCAACATCTACCTTTTGGGGGTTCACTCCATGGGCCCCGTGTCGCGAAGCGGCTCCGTCAGCAATCTAGGATGAAACGATGTTGTTGTGTTTCACTGTACCGTTCTATTTTCATGGTTTGTTCTTATGTTCCCACAATGTAAAAAGTCTGTCACTTTGAGGCCACCTGGCCTTACCGTACGCAGCTGCGACACCTGCCTGGAAAGAGCTCTGGAAGTCGAATTGTTGCCCAACACATACATGTACATCATGCGCGCTCTTTCGTCCTTTGAGTTTCAAAATCTACCCGGTAGGACCATTTCAGGGTTGCCTCAGATGCAGACAGCCTTGCAGACTTCGACATTTGCGGTGGGGAGAACCGCTGAAGGGAGAAGCCCTGAGTGGTGTGCCTTGGTTTTGCAGGTTCCACAGACCGCCCCGGACCCATCTCTCATTGATGAACATAGGCTTGGGAGCTTGCTGCCGCTTCTTATTGGTAGGTGCTCAGAGCATGGATTTGCCAGAATTATAGACTTCTATTTCAAAAGGCCGTACGAGGCTACTCTGAGTACGACTTGTCCACCGTGCCGCTACCCTAAACTGATAACCCCCAAAAACATTGGGGCGGAGAGATTTGCCCCCCTCAGCTGGGAGAGTTTGAACCCAACCAAGGCAAGATATGAAGGGACAGGTCACCAATTGGACCCTCCCGTGCAGCTGCCATCGACGGCACTGCTACTAACTGCACTACTGCTATTTGTGTCCACACTGGTGTCTTCCAAATTGAGCTCAGACCAAAAGCCTGATCCAAAGTTGCTCAAACCATGGATTTGCCATGTCCGCGCGTGCGTGCATTGGGAGGGGTGGTACAGTCAGCCCTCGCTCTTATTTATAATCTCTTATTTATTCCCTCTATTATATTTATTAAATCTCGAGATCCCCCCCCAGTCATGAGTGACCGTGACTGCAGTCATGAGTGACCGTGACTGCAGCAACAAATCTTTCGAGCAGCCCGACAACGTCGCACAATCCATTCCAACCGTTTCAATTTGACCGAGATGGCATGTAAAATGCCGATATAGATCCAATGGACGTGGGATTCCTCGCACCTCTGCGGTACCTCTGCACGCACCTCTCAGAGGCTGTCTCGTCGGTGCCAGCCCAAGCCCTGGTTGCTTACGTGCATTTTTGGAAGGATGGTTTTGACCAGACAAAAACAATTCTTGTGAGCTGCCAAACAATTTCACGCAAACCATACCAAAGGCTCCAATCCGACCTAGACCAACATGAACGACGCCGATTGGGCTGCTAAGGCAGGCAAGCGAAAGCGTGATAGCTCCCTTCATTCGTACTTTACTAGCAAATAAGGCCCTAGAAAACGCTTATATTTATGCCCTCCATTATATTTATCAAAGTCCAGGATACCCCCTCATAAATAAGAGAGAGGGCTGACTGTACCATGGTACCATGGTATACTGTGGCGACTGTGCGACTGTCGCTTGATTGAGGACTCGACTCGACTCGACTCGTCAGTCTGCATAGGTTTTACAGCTGTTTTACCCAGTACTCGAGCATGGTACCTGGTACATGTGGTAGCTGTACGGTAGCTGTACGGTACATGTACGACAGCCTAAATCGCCAAAACGTGACCGAAACATAAAAGACTCCTCGCGTCTTGTAAATCGTATACTCAGATTACTGAGTACCACAATGGTATTACTACTCTGGAGCTTCGGAGTACTGTAGAGTAGTACTGTAGGTACCTGTACCATCAGGATGGCTTAGTTAGTGCGGTTCTCCTTCAAGCTAGAGACGCGTATACCCGCCTAATTAAAAACTGTATACACATGGTACTGTACCGTATGCTCTTGTCTGAGGCTCTTTTCCAAAAAGAAGCCACTTTAGACCCGACTCGAGGACCAATTCATTCCACCGCGACTGGCGCTGAGCCCAACTCCCAATCACCACAAGATGGTTCAGTCTTTATGAGCTCAGAAGACAGCTTTAGGATGGTAGCTCGGGTAATTGATAAGCTAAGGGTGATTGTTTTACCCCATCTTTTAAGCTAAATACGCGACCATCGGACCTTATGCATTTTTCACGCGATCTCAGCTATCTAGTGGCTAGCCGCTACATGCAGCGTACAGAAAATTTTATGCCACGGAATGATTGCGGCAGAGCAAATTTGGGGACACAAAACAAAGAAAAGCAAAAACACAAAACACAAAAAGCACCAGCAGCAAGCTCACAACGCAGCAGCCAGAAGCAACACCAAGACTATAAGCCAAGATGTCCTTCAACGATTCCCTCACTGACTTCTCTGTCCGTCGCTTCAGCGGATACATCTGCCTCAAGCCCCAAGTAGGCGATGACCTCAGCAAAGCCTACAGCCACACTGTCATCGACACAATCTGGAAGAAATGGGCCATGGCACGCATCGCACAAAAGAAGCCCCGTGTTGGTATCATGGTTGGACACTTCGACGAGTCCCTAAGCAGCATCGACAGCACGGAACATGAGGATCCAGTGGTGAAGGTGGTTGGAGAGTTGAATTCTTCTCATGAAGATTTGAGCGACGAGGAGGTGATTGAGATTTTGAAGTCTCTGTTCTGCACCCTTGCCAAGGCCCTCAAGCAGACACAGACTGAATTCAAGTTCTATGGAGACGATGATAAGTACTTGTGCCAATACAACATCTCCAACTCCAAGAAATCGCTTCGTCAATCTTGGGGAAAGCTTCGAGCATCTGCTCTGTTGGATGAAGAAGAACATGATGAGACAATCACACAACACATGCAACTCCAAGGAATGGAACCGCCAAAAGAAGTAAACCTTGAGGACCTGTTGGCTTGGTATGGTGAGATGGGCCCAACAGAGGCTGAATGTTAGGTGGGAGCAGCTTGACGGAACACTTCATATACACAAACCCATACACGAACTTTGAATAAACTGTAAACTGTAACATAGAACGATTCGAATAAACTTTGAGCGGATTCACAAGCAAACTTAGAATAAACGGTCACATAGAAGGAAAACTCAAACTAGACATCCTTATTGATATCCTTTTAAAAAGAAATAGTTTTGTTGCCACGTAGCGGGTGGGTGTGGCTGCGACACAAAACTTGCATATGTTGAGAGGGTCCTTGGGGCCGGCTAAATGTGCGCAACCTTCCTCGATCATTCCCCCTCTTCTCTAACTAATTTGCTATCTCTGTTGCCATCTCTATGGCATGCTTTTGCTCTATCGCTGTACAAAAACATCAGCTTCAGCATTGATTTGAATGCCAGTATAGAATCCTGCCGCACTGGTCTGGGCTCCAGCATTCTTTTGATTCCATTGTCGCAACAGTTGTTCAATTTCCAAATCATTCAAAGGAAATTCAGGATTGTCGGCTTGTCTGTACTTAGCATGATACCGTCGAAATGCTTGCACGACCTCGCTGCGGTGGCAATTGCCACCGAGCTTCAATCTATTTTCCGCAAACTCTTGGAAGTCTTGTTCCAGCAGAGTGTCACGATCAAAGTCATCCCTTGTCTGTTTCTTTTCCCCACTGGCAATTCGTCCAATTTCCAAAGAACCACCACCAATTAATAATACTCCTGCCAGTTGTAGACTAATATCCATCGATCCATCAGCCAATTGAATGGCCACAAAGTGGATTGCCAATCCCAGAGCGCAAAAGACAATCCCCAACAATGCCAACAAGGGTGCCGGCAATGCTGCAAAAAGCCCTTCATTGCGATCTTGTAACCATTCTTCTTTGTCGGCAGAATACAAAACATTTGCCAATGGCGTGGCCAGTGGATTGGATCGAGATCCCGTCAAGAGCCAGAGAGCTCCACCCCAGAGCACTGCACCGAGTCCCAATTCAATGGGGTCGGCAGCAGGTGACGCTTTGGGTTTTGTCGGTTGTTGCAAGGCTCGTTCTCGAGGTGTTCGAGGATCGGCATCCAGGGTGTCCAATTCCACGGGGAAGGTTTTTTCATACGCATTGGCGTTGGTGGCTGTTCCGGTCCAGAGCAGAGCGCTGCTCGCCAGCAAAGTCAGGGCACCTCGACGAGTTTGAATTTCTTCCGAGTTATCGATATTTGGGTCGAGCTTAGCGGCGTGCAGTTGGGACTTTGTGGAGGACTCTATAGCAGAGACCCTCGGAATTGGTTCCATAAATGCAGCAACATGATACCGTTGCAGAAGAGCAAGGAGTAGCGGTAGTAGATATTTGGGAACAACTGGAGCCATTGTCTCCAACCAAGATGGCTGATGAAAATTGTAGGCACGGTGGTTTAGTCAGATCATTGGCCACTTGCTGCGCAATGCTGTGCTGTTACGCCAGCGCAGGATCGTTGCAATGTTGACATGCATGCATGACGAAGTTTTCCTTCGCCCACAAGGATCTGAACTGGATCCTAAAGAAGGTTCCCGAGGAAGTGCTGCATGATGATGTGGTCAACATGGTTGATTAATGCTTTGTCCCCAAAAAGCAAGTTTCAAAGATTTATACAAAACTGCCGCCAAGCAGAGAAACCCAAGAAAACCACAACCACACCCAACAACTTAGAAACTGCTGCCCCCGACCTCGTTCACCCCCCACAGTCACCTCTAGCCGCATAGTAATATCCACGTCTAATTTGAAACAACCCAACTAACCCACTCTCAGAGAAAAGCGAGTGAGGGTGGAGCATGGACAAGGAAACCACAACTTTTGCAACCGAGGACACCAACCCTTCTCCCCTCTGATATCGGATGACCTGAGAAGCTTCTACACGACACATGGCTTGACATTGATCGCTTGGTTGACAACAAGAGCCAGAATGATGAAACCGGTGCAACCGGGGATGGGCCGTTTGCTTCTCGCTTTGTTCGATTGAATCCCCGGTTCGACCCAGAGGAAACACTAAGGCGTCTCAAGGTGTGTTCTTTTTCAACGTGATTCAATGAAACACCAAAGTCGCTCAATTTTGGCTCCATTTATTAGGAGGAGCTTGCTTCATCTTTGTCTTCATCTTCAGATGTTGTGTCATGTGATACCATCCCAATTCCATGGTTAGATGACAAGCTTGGTTTTTATGTACTACCAGGAAATTTCCGGTTGGTGCAGTCCCCATGTTATCAGGAGGGTCGCATTTACGGGATGGATGTGAGCTTGGGTGCCGCCGTAGGGGCTTTGCTGTCAGATAGATATGACAAAAACAGAGCGGATGAATCAAACAACAATCGTCGGACAACCAGAGCAGAACCATTTCGTGTATTGGATCTGTTGTGCTCCGGGACTCAAACTATGTGCGATCGCCGACTTTCTCCCACATGCATCACAGCAACCAAGTTCCGCTGTCGTAGTGGGTGCGGTTGTATCGGAACGTCAAATTGCCATTTGCAAAAAGATTCAACAAAAGGATCATTTTCCAATCACACAGCAACAGACTGATGAGGCCACTACAGAAATTTCTGTGCCAAAGCAACAATCCAACCACGCAAAAGAGCAAAAAATCCGAATGAGACTCTATTGTGCCGATGGAACAACCTTTGTCCAACCGTCCAATGAAAATCAACAGCTCCCAAAGCTCATCTTTGATTCTCAGGCAGCCTTGGAGGAAACAGGCGGAAACCGCAAATGCATGGACAAAAGTGCCCGTGCCGGGGAACGAAAGCACCTCAAATCTCTGGCTACTATGGACTTTGATTGTGACGATCGTCATCAGCCGCAACCATTTGCCAATAACAGCCACCAGGTGGATGATTCAGCACCAAGAAGAGAGGCAACAGCAAAACATCAACCCTGGAAAGCTAAACTTTTTGACCGCGTCCTGGTGGATGTTGAATGCAGTACAGATGGATCCCTCAAGCACATTGCCAACAACTGAACGCTGTGAACGGTGCAGTGGCGCCCACGCTAACAAATGCTTCAGAACTCTCCAAACTGGTAGAACTGCAAAAACAATTGGCAGTTGTTTTTGGCAGCCACGGGATTTCGGCTCCTCATGCCTGGTGGAACCATGGTATATTCCATGTGTTCTTTGTCCAAAGATCACAATGAAAAGGTTGTGGCCTGGTTGCTAGGGACGTTTGTCGATATGGCAGGTTTGATACCGGTGGTGTTCTCTGTGGGCACAGAGGGAGCATCGGGAGGCAATATTATGGATCCTCGGGTATTCACAGGTCCCTTGGGTGTTAGATTTGAGCCATGTTTGCCACCAAACAAAAGGGAGTGACAACAACCATTGGAACGAACTTTGTTGGAGGAAGATTCTTTCTAGCCAAAATTAGCAAGAGAAAGAACCATAGACTGCAATCAACACCAGGGGTGCCCACTTGTAGTGGTCTTGTTGGTTTTTTTAGTAGAATATACTGGTTTGCACCAGAGTTAGTTGTCAAAACGAATCGAACCGAATCTTTCGTTACCGGCCCTTGGATGCGGCAAAACGAGAAATGCGACGCCTGAGCAAATCTGCAAAGACCGCTCAAAGATCAATTAAATGTGCGCAGTCAAGGACTAGCTAGCAAAGCTCCAGGGTTATCCGTACTTAGCATGGAGCTTTGGGCCTTGAGCTTTGGTCATGAACCCAATCCAACAGTATCATTGGCTATTCAAGCATCATTCTATCTGCTAACTTTTGCGACTGCGCAATGGAGCCCCTTTTCGAGATTCTTCTGCAGCTTTGCTGGCTGTGTGCTCCCTCGATGGGCAAGTTTTAACGCTGAAAAACGCATCTTAAAGCACGCAATTTCGACCTCAGGCACTCTTTACCATTGTTGGTTCAATCTCACCCAATATCTGTAGCAATTTCCGTATCAGCATGTTCCCGTGCATGTTCCCTGCCCCTTCAGTTGGAAGCAGGAAGCAAATGTATCTGTGCTTTCCGCCTCCTCCATTGCCAATAGCTAAACCAAGATCCAGTACAACATCATGCCAAAAGCCTACAGAGGATGCTAATGGCGCCATGAGGACTTTCCCTTAGATCCCTAGCTGACCACCTTCGTCCATTTCATCGTCCTCCATATCTTCATGATCATCACTAGCATCGAAAGCAACATCCGCCTCCTTTGCTTTCTCATATTCCCGAAGCCGCTCTTGTTGCTTTGCCCTAGTCAAGCTCTTCGCCTTGTTGCGTTTGATACGTTTGCATTGCTCGGGCTGACCTCGAACAAACCACTCATGATAATAGGCGTCTCGTTCTGGTCCTTCTGTGATGCGTTGAAAGTCGTAGAGATTGAGTTGCCGCTGGAAACTCGTCCAGGACCCCATTTTGAAGTACTGGGGCATCACGTCTTGGGTAAACTCCTTGGGCTTGTGGACTCGAAAGCTGTCAAGAGAGTCAAGAGACATGACACGCAACGAAAGACAAAAGAAATGAGTTTATGAACAACGGACCTTGAACCAAAATGGAAAATGAGGTTTGGACTTACGCTCTTCCGTGGGGTAGCAAGAAGGAGGCAATTTCTTTTCCTCCTTCTTGATTTTCGAGGTCCATTAGCATTTGATAAAGTTTGCGAGGGAAGGCGGCTGACCGTCCCCGGGGCTTCTTCCCTTCTGCGGATCCCGATGTTGCTTTTGACTGTGTAGTTGCCACTGACTCACCGCCTCCACCAGCGACTGAACTTGGAGCAGACGATGGGGCAGCGGCTGCAGGAGGAAATTCCCCTGTCAACACATTACTGAAGGACAAAGATCTTACTTGCGCGGGGTCAGGCCTAAGACTTCTGCCAGCGTCCTCGCCCGTGGCCTGCTGCGATGTTGGATGCTGGAGGGTGGCTTGGGCTTGCAGCCACTGTTGAAATGGCAAGCTGTTTGGTGGCTGCTGTGGTGTGGCGACGTCGGGGTTACTGCTTGCAAGGGGCGCGGCCGCTGCCAGCTGTGTTTGTAGATCAGCCAATAGGTTTTGCTGCGGAATCTGTGCCATTAATGTTTCCATTGCATCATTGTTAGGTCCCTGACTTGATGAAGCTGCTTCAGAGGCGCTCAGTTGCTCCAGGCCAAGATCTCCATGCCGCAGCGTGTCAATCGCTTGCCGCAGCACATCCTGTGCATCGTTAAGCATTTCAGGATTCGTTCGCAAGAAGGTGGCAACCTGTTGAGCTGCGTTCGCCAGGGGAAATGCGGATGATGGCATGCTTGCATTTATTAGTGCCAATGGTTCTTCAGTCCCGTCGAAAACATTCTGGGGGGCGCTGCTTGAAGCTCGTGCAACGGGGTTGCTGGACTGTTGTTGCGGATAAGGTTGCAACGAGGGTTGATTTGGTTGCTGGGCAGAAGCACGTTGCCGTTCCGGCGGACTCGGGCCTGGAGCTGGTAAGGGTGCCTGAAGAAGAGCAGAGAATCGCTGAATTAGCTGCTGGTGGTCCGCTCGAGCAACATGAGGTGTCGTTTCGCCCCCGGAGGCGTGCGCTGCTGCCATTGTATCAGCAGACGACCGCGATGCGAAATTGGAACCCTCTGTAGAAGGCAAGCTACCAATTCGATGGGGTCTCGCGGTTGCAAAATTCTGCATATTTTGTGACTGTGCTTGTAATGAATCTAGTCTCGGTTGCTGGAGCGAAAGCAAGGCTTGAATGCTATGCAAGTGTGAATTGTGTGAGCCCTCTTGCTGCTGCGATCGGGGCGGCGGACGCTGGAGGACCTGTTGTTGTTGGGGAAGCTCCACTGCATGCTGCTGGGGATTTGGCTGTGGTCGAAGAGGAGGCCGTTGCTGTTGATTCCCCAATAGGGAAGCGAGGAGAGGATTGTTGGGTGTTGAAGCCATTGCAAGGGCTTCTTGAAGGGCAGCCTGGACGTCGATAGCTGTCTCGTTCTGCTGCATATTGTCCTCTTCAGTGCTATTGGAAGCATCTGTGTTCGGTTGATTGCTCATATCTCGTCTTGTCAGTCCTATAGTTGCTCTCTATGTTTATGTTTGAGTATGGTTGTCCTGAGGGGTGGCTGCTGTGTTGCTGGGGAGCTGCCCCATTGCATGTCTTGGAATTGCTTCGCCTTCCATTTGCGGTTCTCCGAGCCCTTCGTTCTCTTCAACGTAGTGCAATACGTCGATCTCTCCTGCTTCAACTAGCTTCAACTGCCAAGCTGCGAAGGAAAGCTACTTCCACGTCAGTGGGAGCCAACTTTTCACCTTAATTTTAAGATACATAGTTTTCTCGTGTGCTTGACCTCCCTCTTGTACCTTCACAAAAACTCAAAGTTGCAGGCTTGCCGGTCTGTTCCGAGCTTCTTCCTTTTGTGATGGAAGCAACTCATGTGTATGCAACATTGACTTCGGCTAGCTGCCGTAGCCATGACAAGTTATCTATCTAGAGAAGACAAAGCATGAGGCACGGATACCCGGCGACGGAACCCATGACACGGAATGCTTGTTACGGGACATCAAAAAACTATCAGTACTTGTTTGCTAAATTGTGCTCGTTTCAATGGGAATTGTCACGAAGGATGACACCTAGCTACCGTAGTCTCTCTTGGATGTCCTATCTTCTTAGTTAGTCTAGATTGTCTTGCCTAACTGGTCAGCCGTGTGACACAGTCAGTTCAGTTTACTTTGTTTTTCTGCAAACTAAATGGCCATGGGTTCTTAAAGATGAGTGGAAATCACAGAAGTATCGCAGAAATCGATGAGAGCATTACGCCTGTTGAAACATTTAGAGAGAAAAGAAAAGAGTACCGGAGAGGCATTTTCCTGACACTATTCTTTTATGCTCATGGCCAGATTCTTTTAAAGTAAACAGTGACGCAAGTGAGTTTGGATCCCCGGTGTGAGCCAGATGGGAAGCTCCAAATGGACTCTGGGTCCTATTTTGAGTACACAAGGAGGAAAGAACAGCCGAAAAGAACGTGGAGTGGCGAAGGAAGGCTCGTTTGCCAGATCACTATACAGCACTTTGGGGCATGTTGAGGATACATGTATTTATTTATTTTTTCAACCCCAGGATTTTGCAGAACCTCACTGACTCAGACTCGCTACCAGTACCGGTACGAGTACTAGTAGCAGCTGGCCAGCTACCTGGTTTTTCTATCCCATTTCCCACCGCCCACCATTTATTTGCCAGGGTGGGATGGGCTTGGCGATGCTCTCGCATGCCTTAATCCCGGCTTCGATGCTGCCGGTAGCTAGGATCCCAAGACAAAGTGATTGGCTAGCTATTCATATTAGTCTCCCTCTGCAGTCACTCTCTAATTACTACATGATGCAGTGAGAGGTGAGAGCGGCGCTGCAGCAGTCCAATCTGCAATACCCGCTGGCGAGTTGCTTGCTGCACCAAACTGGTGTCTGGCTGCCCTCTGCACCAGCAGGTACCGGTACCAGTAGCTGCTGTGAAAGCCACTGCTTTTTCAAGGATCAGTTCTTGTTCTACTAGTAGCAAAAGTGAGAATGAAATGAGACTATGATTCAATAGGATCCTTCAACTCCTCCTTAGTACAGTGCAGCACGATCGTTCGTTTCATTCTCGTGGAGCCTCAAAGAACTTCTCGAAACGGCTCCAACTGAGGCTTAGCAGTTCGAAGCTCGTTCATCAGAGTGACTCGACGCATTTAACAAAGTTGCTGGGAATCACTTGGTGTCGTTGGTTTCGACTGCCTCAAAAGCAGATCCTTGCCGCATGATGAGCTGGTGGCGACGTGTTGCTGGTATTCTGGTGGCGAGAATGCCACGCTGCAATAGGGTTTGCACATCGGTACGCAGAGACAACAAAAGAGCCACAAAAGCGCTGGCTGTGGACGTTTATGTCGAACCAATGGTGTATGTCGTGTCAAGGTTTGATCCGCAATCTCGAAACAAACACGTGACTCTCGCGTCTGACTGCCGCGGACCACGAACCCGTCAGTAAGAGTATTAATTTTAAAAATACATGCATTCGTACCGGTTTCAACATGTTAACAGCTGTTGAAACTATAATAACCCCCACGTGGCATGTAGAAAAACAATTCAAAATTATTTATTTTGGATGTTTAGATTAGTTAGTAAAAAGAAAAAACCTCAAAATTGATTTTCCCCACCCCTATAATTCTACCCTCCTAGAATATGGGTGTTCTAGCTAGAAATCCTATATGTCCAAGTTAAAATAGACAGTTCTGACTTCTCCAAAAAGAGGAATTATCTTTCCAAGCAATTATTTTTGACAAAGGTTGAGTTTTGGCTGAAATACGGACGTTGAGATATGGCCAGTTGGGGTAGGAAGCACCCTTGGAATACTTCCTGAGGTTTTTTGCTTTGAGTCCAGAAAGTGCCTCTCTTAATTAAGAAACCATAAAGTTGATGTACGTTTGCTCCCTTGCCTAACTCAACTCTGGGAGCAAATAATGGAAAAAAATCAATTTTATCACCTCATTGTTAAGAAACCTGACTCCCCAATTTGCATTGTCCGGTACGACTGCACCGGACCAGGTACCAATAATTTTACATACCGGGTCCGCACCACCAAAAACCAAAGCAACCAAAAAGCCTCATCCAAGGAACACAAGTGTTTCAATTCTACGATTGGGGGAATGCGGTTTAAATGTACATGACTCATTAATAAAGTACATCAAGTTCATCAGTCTGCTTTAGCCAATCAAAAACGTAGTTTCGCGTCATTACCAGCACGGGAGTACTCAGCACTATGGAGTACATGTACCGTAAAGAGAGTACAAAAGAGAAACTGGCGTTGAGTATTGAGTATACAAAAGTAGTTTCCACCAAATATTTCGTCCGTACCCCCCAATTTCATGGTCTGAAGAAACCCGTACCGTTCTACTGGGATTGGTCGCAGATAGCACTTTACGCTGAACGGTTTTCTTTAGACTAATACTCTTTAAAATAGAGCTCTGGACGCTGTACCATAGTCAGTCGGTTTTTCTGTTGACTTCGGGTTCGCTAGTAGCTGGTTCGCTCGAGGCGTCAGTACAGTACGGCTAACGCTCGAATGTCGTGCAGCAGGCTTCAAGACATTTCTTGCTTTGGAGATGTTCATGCCATAGGGAGACTAGGGTTTTATAAGTTTTAATATTTCATTATTTACCCAAGTGTTACAAACCTCACAGGCCTCATGACACACAAGACTAGTCATCATCACAAAAAGAAGCAAACGTGGCCACTGGACCTCCACTGGAGCAGCCAATAATTGTTGTGAATAGCAGCTGTTGTAGCGCTAGTACATGCCTCACTCTTGCTTAAGATAAGTAGGTTTTTTAAGATACTCAGATTCCCAAACCAGTAACAGTAGTCTAAGATAAGCTACAAGTACCAACGTCTCAAATCCTAAGCTAATACTAAAACTATGTAGGGAGTGAGGGCATCTAGTACCCACTACCTGGTATCTTCCACATCACCATCTACATCCAAGTCCTCCATATTCCTATCTTGGGGCGCTTCCTCTACCACAACATCTTTGGTTTCATCAATTTTGGCTTGGCTTGGCACCTTTTCCTTCTCAGGCTTTGGTAATGAATTGTCACTGTCAGAGGGCATGGTTAGTAGGGTATGTGATCATAGCTGCTACTCTAGTCTAGTAGCTACAAGATATGAAGGATACTGAGATTGCGCTGCTTGAAAGACTAACAACTCAGTGTGGCTGTGTCTAGCTAGATATTTATCTTATTGATGAGGTAGGCGTGTAGCTAGTATTCCGAAGTACAGCTACCAAGTGCACCTAGCTAGAGCTACGAACCCAACAGCCCAGCACCAACAGCCTACTAGTACTGGAGCTCCTACCGTGCTATACCGTAGCCAGTACATGTAGAGTAACACAGTCCCAATCGTCAGTTTCAAGATCAGCTTCCAGTTGCTTTCAAAAGCACAGCTTCAGGTTGCTATTTTCTAGCTAGCAAGTTGTTGCATTCCTTCGAATTCTCTCTATCAAGTGTGTAAAGTAGGCAGAAGCAGTCAAGATGACGAAGGCTTTGTTTGATATCGAGCGAGGAGATGCGGAGGCTCCAGCGGCGTCGGACCCATCGAAGCCAAAGGCCCCTGCCCCTCTTTTTCCCGTGGCACCTTCCGCGGCCACCACGACAAGTTCCAGCGACAGCGCTCCGCCGCCCTTGTTTGCGTTGCCTCCATCAGCAACATCGTCTCGTCCAGCTCCGCTCTTTGCGCTGTCTACAACCACCAAGGACACCAGCAACAGCAACAGCAATCCGCCACCACTGTTTCAAATCAACACAAACGCCCCTGTTGCTACGCCCAAGACGTCCAGCGCCCCTGCTCCTCTCTTTTCCATCAGCAATAACTCCGCAAGCAACCATGACACAAAGGGGCGCAAAGAGAGTTCCTGTAGTACCAAATCGGAAAGTGAAGACCAAGAAATGGGACCTGGCAAGTTGGACGTCCTCAAGAAACACAGCAGTTTCCGCAACGGCAACACGAAAAAGGCCGTCATGGTGCTTCCTAGCAATCTCGAAAAGGACCTTGGCAAAAAGAAGCATAGTGACTATGACAGTGACGATGACGGCGACGATGATCGGAGCGACGGTGCCGTCAACGAGCTGGCTGCCAAGTCGTCTTCTTCCGACGGCGATTCGACGCACTCTTCCAATTCCATTTCCTCCCTCGCCGAACAGTTGCGCAGTCGCACGGGGTTCATTGTGGCACTGATTGTCCTGTTGGGTGTGGGAGCCAGTGCGGCCTTTTTGGCCGTTGGCTTGTCGGGAGCGCAGCGACAGCAGACGGATCAATTTCAACGATCCGCAAAGGACTTGGCCACCAGTATTCAAACCACATTTGAACGATACGTCACGGCCGCCAATTACGTCCATCACTATTGTCGTAATCGGTCCTTCTCCCGGCAAGATTTTCGATCCATCTACGAGTTGCTCATTGAAGATGGACTCGATTTCAAGGCGGTACAATTCGATCCCAATGTGACACGAGAGGAACGATTAGAGTACGAAGCCGAAGCACGGGCGTACTATGCCGAACACTACCCACATATTGACTATCAAGGATTCAAGGGGTTTGACAATGGCGTCAAGAATGGACTGGTGCCGACCAGTGAACGCGATTTTTACTTCCCGATTCATTACAGTAAGTAGTGCAAAACACAACAAGAAAACCAACATCGAACTGGATGATGTCAGGCTATTGCAAGTGTCAGTCAGGTCGCTCTCTAACAATGTTCTCCGTTGCCTGATTGCAGTGGAACCGGTCATTGGAAACGAAGCAGCCATTGATCTGGATTACTACAGTCACATTTCTCGTCGCCGAACTCTCAGTCATTGCTTTGAATACGCAGAACCCGCCATTACCGATCGTCTACTATTGGTCAAAGACCCCAACGCCAAAAGTCGATGTGGTAGCCAAGATGCCGAATCCTACGGAGTGGTGCTTATGCATCCAGGGGTCAACATCTCGGACCCGAATGGAGGACAGTGGCCGCGGGATTTGTCTTCCATTGTCATTTGCATCCCAGCCCTCTTGCTCCGAGCCACACACGATCATCCCTCGTCGTCCAAAGTATACATTCATGATGCTCATGATTCCAGTGGAGAAGCAGTCTTCCTGGGGGGTGTAGAAGTCTTTGGCGGTGAAACCGGACAAGGAGAGCTGCAGTATCTCAACGAAATTGAAATTGGAGATGTCAAGGGACACATGCATTATCAAGAACATTTGCAACTCACCAACAAGGTCTGGACAATTACTGTAGTGGCGGCCAGTGAAGTGTACAAACCGACCATTACCTTTGTCGTTGTGGGAGGAACTCTGGTGTTCTTGGCAAGTGTTTGTTTGGCCCTCTGGGTCTACACAAACACACAACGTCATTACAAATTCAATACCATGAAGGCCAAAGTGGAAGGAGAAAAGGCGGCGCTCATCCTAGAAAATACCCGACAAGCCGCAAGAGCTGAGCGAGAGTTGAACGACTTTATAGCTCACGAGGTCCGCAACCCTGTAGCTGCCGCCATGGCAGCCTGTTCCTTTGTCAAGTCGGCAGTCAACGAAAAAGAGCCTCTCGTTGATCCTCAGAAACGAGCAGATACGCGTGAAGATGTGGCCGTGATCCACAACAGTTTGCAGTTCATTAACGATTTGCTTCGCAACATGTTGGACATGCACCGGGCTTCTCACAAACAGCTTCAAGTGAACTTTGAGCCAGTTGACTTGTATCACGACATTCTACAATCCACTGCTGGCATGATTTATCAACGCGACTCCAAAATCAAGGTTATTGTGGAGTGTGAGCAAAACCTGTTTGTTCAGTCTGACAATCTCCGTTTGAAACAAGTCATTTTGAACCTGAGTCGTAATGCCGTCAAATTTGTTAATCACGGGTTCATCAAACTGCGGGGGTTCGTGGTCGACAACGAAGTCCGGCTGGCTGTGGAGGATTCTGGGATTGGTATTCCGGCGGAAAAACGTGATTTGTTGTTTGCCAAATTTCAAGAATCGCTCGATCAGCTATCGCAGGGAACGGTAGGTGTTGTGAACTCCATAGAGTGGTGGTTTCGTCAATCACTACCCATTACATGGCTGCTAACACCACTGTTTCTCTCTATGTTCCTTTTGTGTGTCTACAGGGAATTGGACTGTACCTTTGCAAGAACTTGGTAGAACTCATGGGAGGGGAGATTTACCTGAACAAAAGCTACAACTCGTAAGTGTGTGGAGATAGCCGTTACCAGTACGGCGCCTACGTGTCTCAGACATTCCGTTCTCACATATTTGCACTTAGGGGAGTCCCGGGCAACCCAGGTACCTCCATTGAGATCAATCTGAAGAGACCACCAGTCAGCGGGGAAGACGTGGGTCATGATTTAGAGAGTGGCGATGAGAGTGGCGCTGCAGCGACATTTGCCTCGTCAATGTCTAATTCTCAAGCCTCGCAAGACTTTTCGAAACAGGAACTGCCAGAAACCCTACAAGTCTTGGTAAGATCATCGATAGTTAGTTTTCACTGATTCTTCTCTTTGCCATGTTCCTCACTCGAAAGTAATTACGCTGTCCTCAGTTCGTTGATGATGACAACGTACTGCGAAAACTCTTTGCGAGATCCGTCAAGAGGGTGGCTCCTGGTTGGACCATGCGTGAAGCGTCCAATGGAGAATCGGCATTGCAACTGTTGGACCAAGGCTTGAAGTTTGACCTCATCTTCGTTGATCAGTACATGGCCAGCATTGAGAAGCAGCTGTTGGGGACTGAAACGGTTTTGGAGATGAGGGCACAAGGCGAAAACTGTCGATTGTTTGGATTGTCCGCCAATGATCTGGAGGCTGAGTTCATCGCCGCGGGTGCTGACGGATTCATGTAAGTAGATTTGATTCAATTTCAAGCTCGCTTGTGGCGCTTCTGATTCCTCACCAATTTGGCCTTTCTCTTGTCTTCTCATTTGAACGTCATGCAGCATCAAACCTTTCCCCACTGAAAACCAAGCATTGAAACAGGAACTTCTGAAAGCTGTTTACGGGAAACGAGCTTACTATGCGAAACGGTAAATGACCTTGATGCTTGGTGGTCAGAGTAATGGGTTGCAGCCGGATGTCCAGAGAAGCGCGAGGTGTATGTTAAGCAAAACAGTTCTCCAACGAGCTTGCCACGAAGGAAATTGCTTCCGCGTAAATTTGTCGAGTCGAATCCATTCGATGAGTTGACTGCCGAGGCAGAAACGAAATTTTAAGAAGACGGAACGCCACCAACCCCAGGACCCAAGTGTCTCGGACACTTGTGCAACACAACAACCTGCATGGTTTAAGCCTGCAAAGAAGGCTCTGAGGAGGTTCAGAAACGCCTCATGTATAGAATTAGCTACGGTACTAACTCTTCCTACTTCATAACTTGACCACACCGAGATAAAGCGATTTGTCTGTCCTCCTTGGACACAATTTCGTTCAGTCTTGCAATTGCCGAGAACAGTTCAGGAGCACAGATGGTTTCTGACGCAGGAGTTGATACACTCGGTTGGCCAATGGCCTTCGATCCGCGTAGGAATCGGCTTCTACAACCATTTCGACGATGGTTCGTCTTGTCTCATAATCGTCTTCAACGGCAACGAGAGAATTCGACCTGAAGAAGTTCCCATCCAACTGTGCCTGTATTGCGTCCGGGAGTCCTTCGTGCAGGCTCAAAGATGTCAGGGTTGTGTTCCGCGACACAGCGGAACGAACACTGGTGGTGATTGCAGAATCGGAAGAATCTATCAACTGCATGGGCTTGCCGCTGGCGTCAAACAAGTCGAATTTGATTGTCTGCAGCACCTTGTTCGTCCTGAGTATCGTCTCGAGAAGCTTCCTCCTCTTGGTGCTATCGGTGTCGTCGGGCAAGTGTGTTTCGTCAATGGGCGAAAAAGTGCCAACAACCATTGATGTTTAACACCAATGGTGTGTGTGAATGCAATCGATATAATCCATAGAAATAGTACCACAGAGCCAACCCATCAAGCCACAGTTCTGTTGCCTCGTGCCACTCGGCACCAGAACTCCAGCCTGAAGGCTTGTCTCTGTCAATCCCAGTAAATTATATTTAGAATACTCACTTTTTGCTGCAATTGATAAAAGACAACAGTTCTTGAACGCAAGACGTTTGATGGTTCGGTTTTTCGGCAACTCCTGGCAGATGTCGGTGAGATGCTTTACTGACATTGTTATGTTTTCTAGCAGGAGGATTTCAAGTTGGAAAAGTGTCCCAGCATCCACCTCTTCGTTGGGACGAGGTTCTACGCGTTGAGATTTGTAGCGTAGCTGCCGTGCAGGTGGACTAGGTGGCTTCTTTTTGGAAATAGCCACTTTCAAGAACTGGGTCACGTCTTCATCGAGGGACGTAAATTGCTCGCCTCTTTCTTCTACCCACAAACGCATCAATTTCATTGTCTTTTGAGATCTAAACAAGGCCTTGTTTATACCTGTCCGAAGAAGCAAAACATGGAGATGCATGTGGGCGCTCTGGAGAGGAATACAAAGGAGAACCTCCTGGATCAAAAGACTCCAAAGGGGCTGGTGCCCGCCTTGTCTACGAGCAATAGGTAGAATCTCGACCTGATTGAAACCACGTCCCCGGACCTCTCCTGCGATCACCATGGACTGTTTCTTAGCTTTGAGGGTGACAGGACATTCGGAGACCCTGAAGGGCTCAAATAGACACAAGCGAAGGATTCGTAGAGTGCCTTCCACCGAAACGACATGACTGGGAAGCAGGAGCATCAGACGGCACGTGCTCGGAATCAAAACTGAAACATCCCACAGCAGTCTCTCCAAGCAGCGCTGCTTGCTTGGCAGCAGCGCTTGCCCCTCAACCACAAGCGATAGTCTCTCAAGCGAATCCAAGCGAGCGCCTTCGAGGAATCTGCTGAACTCAGTCTCATTCTCTTCAAACGTAAAGTTCTTCTTGTTTCGACCATTTTGGATGATTTCGAGGGTTCTGCCGTCGGGGTGGACTTTGATCGTCAAGTAGCGTATCAAATGATGGTGTGCGGGGGTGGCGTTCATCTTTGATCACAGGTTAGCCTCCCTTCAAACCTGGTCAGGGCGACAGCTATATGTGTGACATCCTAGGATAGATTGAAGGAAAATAGCACACGATGTCAGAAACCACCGTGGCTAGCGTGAACATGCTGACTGGCGGGGTAACGTGTTGTCTCCGCATCGCCTCGAACCTTCAATCTCATGCGTTCCGGTGCGGCCGTGGAGCGTGAAGGGAGCAAGAGCATGGGATGGCATCGATTTTCATTATATTATTACTTAAAAAAAAAAAAGAGAAGCAAAGATCCCAAAGATCCTTTTCGAGCATCTGTACGGTACCGGTACTCAAAGCGTATATTGACCACGTTTCCGATCATGCACCTAAATTCATGGCATTGGCTGGACTCGTGCTTTGGTCTTTGGTCTTCTCTGAGATGGACCATTCCCCCAAAGTTCCCAACAACGCATAAGAAACATCCAACTTTCGATATTTCCTGAGCGCGAGGAAAGAAAGTAAAGAAGCAATGAGTGATAGTCAAGAAAAAGGAAGCAGCAGCACTGATGACGAAAGAAGGGCAGAGGATGATTGGGAATTGGGAAGGTGTTGACGAAGAAGATACGGGCGGTGCGGGAGAGGAAGAAAGCGAGGACAACTTTACGGACGCAGATCTAGTGTCGAGCCAACGGGCCTATTCGCTCCTGAATTTGGGCAAAGTGATGCGAGAGCTCACCAAGGCCAGGGAAGCCTTTGATGATTACAACGATAATAACCCAAAGGAACAGAAGAAACAGCACCCAACTACTGTTAGTACTGAAGCTGCCACGGGAGTAGCCCGTCTTCCCTCTTGGGCAACCCCGAATGTTCCACATGCTGCCGCCACCACCAGTGCCACAGTATTGCTGGAAGATGACTGGGAATTCACGTCGAGTGTTTGGCACTTGTTGCTGGAAGATGACTGGGAATTCACGTGGCGTGTTTGGCACTTGTTGCCCTTGCACGAACGGAGAGAAATTGCCCATCGTCATGGGTACTCCATTGGAACCTTTGAAGAGAACATGAGTTTGCAGCAGGCGCTCGATAAGGATATACCATCATCAGCCAACAAACCGTATAGCAGCAATCAGCTTGCCTATAATATACGACCCGATAAACGCGGGTGGTATAAACGCAAGCAGGAAGCACAACAGCAGGACGGTCTCGACCGTGATACGGATAGTCAGCCACAACAGAGTGCAGTAGAAAGAATCAGCTCAGGAGGTCTCCGCTTCATCAGAACAAAACCCACTGCAAGTAGTAGTAACCACAGGGAAGATGAAGAATCGGTTGTGGTCCAAGATCGACCCCCAATTGTGGACGAGTCCATGGATAATTCCATCACTCTCCATGATGTTTCCAATCATACAGCCGCCATCTTGTCTCTTGGTTTGGAGGAAGCCAATGAGGTTGTTATGTCGGTGAATGATCTTTGTGAAGATCTAATCTTGCCTGGAGCCTTTTCTGTGACTTGGCTCAACATTTCCACTGTGGATGAATCCAATGCCAACCTCATTGATGACACAGGCTATAACGAATAAAATCTTCCTTTGCCGGTTATGCCAGACGATCCAGAGTTGGGCTTGGCCACAGCCACCCCAGTCCCAGCCACCCCAGTCACCTTTCCCCAAGCAGAGCTTGATGAGCAACCAAAGAGAGCCTCCTCAGAGCCTGCATATGGAGCTGGATGCTGTTTCATAGTTGGGCTGGTTGTACTGGCAGTTCTTGCTATTCTTTTCATCAGCCCCCTTGAGATCCCCATCGCCTACAGGGGACCAACAGGAGCACCAGGTGACATAGCCAAGCCATTACCATTGATCGATGACGCAACCATCCCACAACAATGTGATCTACACCATCCATTAGGAACTATAATATCAGAATGAGGATCTGCATCATTGGTTCACCTGAAAATCTGAGTTGTGGGGAGTGGGAGCCCATCTAGATATCAAGCTCCTCTCCATGGATGGTTTCCTCGGCTTTTCGGTTCACACTAACTATCTAACCAACGAAAATTAGATGGCAGCCCTAGCTAGATAAACTCATAATGTAAGCTGCTGTCTACAATTGTGTATTGATGTTTCCCGTTATTCGAGATGCACAGTTGCCCTTACACTACTTCGCCCTCGAAATTGACTCCCAGCGCGGCCGATCATATTAGGTAAGGTGGCCTTCAAAGAGAGGCTTCAAGGCCGATCAAAGTTACCAGCTAGTTTGAAGCCAAGGTTAGTTCCCAACGCGGGCTGATAGCCTGCGTGAATGGCCATTGCTTTTCCAAAGTCAGGATGGCTCCGATCCATCACAATCACGACAGCTCCAGAGCATCCTTTGAATGTATTTACGTTGTATTCGATGTGATCGTTGCCGACTTCGGTGATGCTCCCAGTGTAGATCATCAAATCATCCTTTTCACCGAGAACAACGCCAATTTTTGTTGCAATAAACCCTTTCACGGCATTGGCCCAGCTGTACCAAATGGGGATGCCTTCCTCCAGTCCTCCTACCTCCGAAAAGTCTTCTTCGCCTGCTCCTGGCTTATACGTGACGATCCCAATCTTCAGATCCTCTTCATACAAAAACTTCTCGTCGACAAGATCGAACGAACCAAGTTGTGAAATCAGTTCATTGAGGCGTCGGGAGCGGACAGGGTCGTTCGGCCAGTTTTCTGTGCCAGTCTGCAGATCGATAGCTGGTCCGAGTGAGATATCAAAGCCATTTGACCACACGATCCCTTTCCGAAGCGAAATCGCATCTCCGGGCATCTTTTTCCGGCCAGTGTTCGGAAGAATAATCTGGGCGGAACGACCATTCGCCAACACACACTTGTGTGGTGAGTGACATTCTTCGATCTCGCCTTTGTCGTTTTCGTCGGTCGTCATATTGCGCTTGCAGGTAACAAACTTGCGTGTCCCCGTTTGGGGGTTGCGGAGGACTGCTACTTGCCCTAGATAAGGAGCGTCTTCACCAGTCTCAACATTCCAACAATCAATTTCAAGAAGCATGATTTTTTTCTTGATGCCAGCTGCAAAGGTCTGATCGATGCTCTCGGTATCGTCTGTGCCAACACCGGGGACTCCATCCACTTTCTTGATTTGTCGGGATTTGTCCATGACTTTCTCGGGAGAGCGTGGCTTGCCCTGGAATCGTTCCTCAACAGGAACAGGTTTGCGCAAGTCCATGCTGCCTTCGCTGCTGTTGCATGCTGGGTGTGGGAATGCTATCAGGGCTCTCTGCGGAAGAGGATTCGGCAATGTCGTTGCCTCCTCCGTCCCTAACCATGGCTGCAAGAGCATCGTTGTCGGTGTAGCGTGGAGACACCATGCGTGGAATTAGTTTGTTTCGAACACCGCACACCGCTGACCGTGGAATGGGCAGCGAAAGTTGTGTTGCATCGGCGAAGCCCAATGTTGCACGTTTCACAGGAAAATTTGATGTCTTTTTGGAATGAATCAATCCCTTCACAGCGGATGGCGGGAACTCGGTACTGTATCAATCCAATGAGGTTGTTATGTCGGTGAATGATCTTTGTGAAGACCTGGTCTTGCCTGTAATCTTGCCTGTAGCCTTTTCTGTGACCGGGCTCAACATTTCCAATGTGGATGAATCCAATGCCAACCTCATTGATGACACAGAATGAATCAAATCTTCCTTTGCTGGTTGTGCCAGAGGATCCAGAGTTGGGCTTGGCCACAGCCACCCCAGTCCCAGCCACCCCAGTCACCTTTCCCCAAGCAGAGCTTGATGAGCAACCAAAGAGAGCCTCCTCAGAGCCTGCATATGGAGCTGGATGCTGTTTCGTAGTTGGGCTGGTTGTACTGGCAGTTCTTGCTATTCTTTTCATCAGCCCCCTTGAGATCCCCATCGCCTACAGGGGACCAACAGGAGCACCAGGTGACATAGCCAAGCCATTACCATTGATCGATGACGCAACCATCCCACAACAATGCGATCTACACCATCCATTAGGAACTATATCAGAATGAGGATCTGCATCATTGGTTCACCTGAAAATCTGAGTTGTGGAGTGTGGGAGCCCATCTAGATATCAAGCTCCTCTGCATGGATGGTTAACGGCCTGCTTGCCAATATGAATGGACTAGCCAGCTAATAGCTTCCTGTTGTACCACGTATCTGAGTCCCTTGCATCCCAAAAGAGTGCGCACACATTGTTGTTGTTGCTTCCTTGCTGCTCTTGCGACCAGTGGTGAGTGTGTGGAACACTTACTTGGACTCTGCAACGTGCGTCGGAGGCTTCACGGCCGTGCATTTTGCTTCACTAAAAACGTCCAACTAGGCTAGTATCTAGCTAGTCGGACCACTCAGTATCCTATGGCTACTGCATGTAGATGACCAGCTGATGATTCGATCGCAATTTCGCCTGCTCCGATAAGCACAACAACACTCGTTCCCAGCTGTCATTCACTGTCGCCCTTCGCCTTCGCAACCGGTAGGACGAGGAATTCCTTGTCAGCGCCGCCGAAAAGAGCACAAGAACGCTGGAGCAGTCTCCGACCGTGGCGTTGACACCATTGCGGTGGCTTGCCATGGCTTCCACAAGCTTACATATTGTTTCCTGGTAGCAGACAATTTATATTTCTCAGGAGTCACAGAAAACCTTTCGAGGAAGGCTGAATAGTAAATAAATATTCGTGTAATGGGGCTACAGGTAGGTTTCGTGGTTCCTGCCATTACTCATCGCTCGATGCAGGAAGTCTGTGGCGGTTTGGTACTTGGGGTTCAACCACACGTAGGAGAGATATTATCAAGGGAACACTTTTGAGTTCACTGCAATGCAATTCAATTCAACCAATCACTATATTTCTTGACGTGCGTGCTTCAAGGACCGCTATATTTCTTGACGTGCTTCAAGGGTGTTTCCATGAGTCCTTTCATGTACATGTTTCCAAGATCCACGTCCTTGGAGGCACACGCCTCTAGCATTCGGAGCACATCCTGGGGATCTTGGGAAGGTTTCTTGCTCTTTCTAGTCGAACTTCCACCAGTGCTGCTTCTCATATTATTGGGACTGCCTTTGCAGTCTCTCGGGGACTTGCTTCGACGATTCGGAGATGACGGGGCCGCTTGGGGCGCGGTAACTTGTCGTCGCAATTTGGGACTTTCTTCCTTGCTGGGCGCCGCTGGGGTGGTGGTTTGTCGTCGGAATCCCAGTGATGACATGAAAGTACGGGCTGGACTCAAGCTCCTCTTGGACTTGGTGGCATCTTCTGCGATTTCTTCCATTCCAGATTTCTTGGGGGAGGAGGACTTTTTGCTCCTGCCAGTACGATCACTACGGCTGCTCCTACCACGGCCCGGCTCTGACGCGGACATTATTTTACCGTCGGCGAACGGATCAGATCCCTCGGACCGTCTGGACACGGCTTGTTCTGCAGCCGCATTAAATCGTGCGCTGTCGTCCAAATCAACGGGAGCCATTGGCACTGCTGTTTTCTTGACATGATCAAAGTATTGTCCGGCCAATTGTCCATCGCCACTGCTGGCGCCTTTTTCGAGCAGTTGAAGGATTTCATGAGGAGAAAGCGTTGGCTTTTCTTGTTTGCTCTTCCTCAAGCTCTTGTCCGACTTTTTCTCCGATGTCTTGGAACGACGGTACGGAGACGACATGGCCAAAATGTCGTTTGGATCCATGCCAGTCTTTTTGGTCTCGCTGTTGCTCTTGGTGCGACGGTACGGAGAGGACGAACGCTTCGAGGTGGAGCTACGGACACTGCCGGTGCTTTCGCCGCTGGTGGTACGCTTGGCCTTGCGGCGACCTGATTTGTCAAGACGAGGAGATTCCAAAGCTGCCGTCATGGTGACTGAATGCAAGAAAGTAGGTTGTCAAGGAGTGCGAGTGGCACAAACTGGATTGTGAGCGATTGTGGACCAGCTGTGATAGAGCGTTCGTTCCAATTCTGTCTGAAAGAAGGATTTGAAGAAGATACGCTGGCTGTGCTGTGCCTTCGCAGCGCGACAGCGCGAGACCGTATGCGGAAGTGACAGAGAAAAGATCGTGGACACTGTACTGTGAGGGGACGATCTATTAAATACTCTAGTGCACGTGAAAATTACAATGACTGAATTTGTCTTGACAATGACTGCCGAAGGAACAGCGAATTAAAGGACAAGTACGGCTGCGAAGCAGTTTGTATCACCGGTATTCGTGGCTATATTTTGATAAGACTCAGGTACACCGGTAAAGTACTACTTCAAGTTCCATAGTACTTTAACCTGGTAGAAGCGTACCAGGTACCTAGCAGCATGTTCCGATAAAGCGTCACAGTCACTGGTACAAGTGTACAGTAACTCTAGATGCTTTCCGAGTACTTACCGGTACGTAGCACTAATGGTGTTGATAAACGGTACTCAACGTACTTGTAACCATTCAAAACATTAAGACCACGTTCTCTGTTGCTGGAAAAGCTTCTTTTACTGCAGTAGCAACGTTTTTACGTATTTTCCAAAAAGATTTCACCGTACTTTACCAGTACAGTACCGGCGCCCTACCGGTACATGTACGGCAGTGCGGGTCCTACAGCCCAAAGCTACCGGAAACCTATTACTATTACCTCTGTCATACTCAGTACGGTAGACTCAGACTCGACCAACCATAGCATCCTCCACACCATCCCTTGCAGCTCGCAGTACTAGTACCGCCACCGCCCCAGACAAAGAGGGGGCAATGAGGAACCTGCAACGACCCGTAGAGAGAATCCCGCTGTAGATGCATGCAGCTACAGTAGCAAGCTTTGGCACAGGCATCAGAATGAAAAAGAAGTTGAGAAGGAGAGGTGAGGAAATCACCCTGCATGTACAGTAGTACGGTAGACACCATGCCCTACCAACGTACGGATTTGAAAATTTGTGCAGAGGATCCTCAGGAAGATGCACGGGGGATTGCAAATAATCAACAAGCCTGCTGCGGAAGGTGCGGCATATCGGGGCAGTTTCCCGGACATCAGCCAGCCAGTACCCTCATTGCTGGCTTATTAGCTAGCCCGAAAATTGCTTGGAAAATAGATACAGGCGAACCTGTCATGACTGAAACTTACTTTACCATATTCAGGCAGGCTTTGAAGAAAGAGCGGAGCACTATTGGCTCATTGGCTGGATAAGGAGGGCATAGAGCAAAAGGCCTTGGAATACACAAAGCCTACTGATCATTGTGTGATCACTTTCCAGGCTGTAGTTGGCGTCAACTTGTTCTTTGGTTTGCTTGTAACTCAAACCACGGGGAACTGTGAAGCAATTCGGTATTCGGTGTGAGCATGCTATTTCACTGATACTGCAAGCGAGACACAAAGGGGAGGAAACATCACAATGATACCAGTAATCTCCCGCTTACCAGAATAACACAGTCTACAGTGTATTGACGCTTTGCAACCACAGTCTCCGTTAGAGTTCTGGCTTCGTTGCTCAAAGACTGGAGTGTTTTCCACGCTCCACGCTGTGGTAACCGGTACTCTAACCCTAACGACACTGCTATTTCCAGTCCGCCCCGTGCCCATGGCCACCAGCACGCACCCACAAAGCTTTGTCCAAACGTCCAACAGTCGAAGACTTTGCCTTTGCCTTCTCGACAACTACTATCGTACCTTCACAAGTCGGCGGTTCTGTGCTCTTCTCTTGCTGTTGTCCTCTTCTATATTCAATACCATCATGATGACACCACAAGTAGAAGTGATGGAGCTTACGGCGGCTTCGGCGGCGGCGCAACAGCAACATCAGCACATGTTGTTGGATTTGCAAGCCCAACGCTTGGCAAGTTCGATGGACGTTCCGACACTGCCCGATCAAGTCCGTGTGGCGTTGCGAGAATTGAATTGTCCGGTTCGATTGTTTGGAGAGAATTTGGCCAATGTACGAGATCGATTGCGTCTGGAATTGGCCAAACGACAGGTCTACGGAGACCACTATGGGAGTAGTACCGATGCCGCTCTAGCACCCGAGACGAGCAGCAGTAGTGCTGCAGCAGCCGAAAAGGAAGAAACCAAATACACGCGCGCGATTCCGGCATTGATTGCCGCCCGTGAGAGGATTGCCACGGCGTCTCTGGAACACTCGCGTCAACGATTGGACAAAGAACGTCAATTGCGCGCTTCCTACAAGGCACTCTACAAAAAGCGCAAAGCTGTCACAGAAAATGAAAATGTGGATCCCAATTCATCCTTGGCAGAAGAACTCGACAAGTCGTGTTGTCGACTCTACCAATCCTTGCAAAAAACGGCACTGGCGGGATCGCAATATGGGGATGATCGACCGCTCAGTGCCATGGGGACATTGCGCGACAAGGTCTTTACGGCCAGTTGGAGTGCCACCTTGCAATGGTGGGATGGTAGTAGTCCCACTCTGGATCTATTAGGAAAGAAACGACAGGCTCATGAAGATCGAATCATGGGAGTTGATGTCTTTGAAAGCAACAACAACAATACCATTTTGGCGGCCACGGCATCCATTGATTTGACGGCCAAGATTTGGAAAATAAGAGAGGCCGATAGTGTGATGGAGGATGCCAATGAACGAGACGACAACAAACCAAAGAAGGAGGACGAGGAGGAAACTCCCTTGACTCATGTCTTTGAGGAAGTTGCACATCTCCAAGGACACGCGGCTCGACTCTGCAAAGTTGCCTTTCATCCACTGGGAGATTGGGTCGCCACAACGAGTCATGATCATACGTGGAGATTGTGGGACATTGAAACTCAGCAGCAATCCACATCAACGGAAAACCAACAAGAGATTCTCTTGCAAGATGGACACGCCGACAAGGTATTTGGCATTGATTTTCACCCCGATGCCGGATCACTTTGTGCGACCACCGATTACAGCGGCATGATTCATCTCTGGGATCTTCGAACTGGCAAGACAGTCATTCAGTACTATGGACATGCCGGTCGAGTATTGCAGGCAAAATTTGCTCCTACCAATGGCTTTCAATTGACTTCGGCGGGCGATGATGGATGTCTCAAAGTGTGGGATTTGAGACATCGACGTCGTGTCAAGGGAGCCCCGGAGCCGAGACGGACCATTCCAGCCCATTCGAGACTCGTCACACAACTCGAGTACTTGCCGGACAGTGATGAATGCGTCGTTACCAGTAGTTTTGATGGAACTGCCAAGATTTGGTCCACGCGAGGGGATTGGAAACTATTGCAAACGTTGGAAGGGCATGAAGGAAAAGTAACGGGAGTGGGTGTCGTGGTGCAATCGTACGATGACGCGGTCAAAATGAACGACCAAGACCACCACAACCGACATGGGGTTGTCACGTGCGGCTTTGACAAGACGCTCAAATTGTGGAGGTACAGGTAGAACCGCACTGTACTGTAGCTGATACAATAAACTGAAAATCTTGTGACGGATTCAGACAAGTAGTGCGCATGCTTGAAGACGAATTAGTTGCTCGTGTTGAAGAGAGCAGGAAAGGATGGTAGGAGGTATCGAAGGGAGGTAAATATCCCACTTTCACTACCCTGTTTCCAGTTTCCTGAGCTGTGGTGTACCCGTAGTGACTAATCGATACAGCAGTGAGTCGACCCTTGTTGTACCGTACCGGTACGGAAAGCGGACAGTAACAACAACAACATATGGTACGCGATCGAAGATTCTTTATTTTCAATCCACTGTAGCTTATTCATTGTCCCATCTCAGGTGTTTCTCGGGGCTGTTCCACATGCAATTGAGCCCGCTTTTGCCCCTGCTGTGTGAGAAGCAAATCCAGAGCATCAACTTTCACTTTGACACCATAGTGGTGCCAATGGTCTCGAGAACGCCTGAAATAATCCGTCGCCTCAGAGGCCCTCGATGCGCTCTGCAACATTAGTCCCGCTCTTTCACAAGCAACAGCTGCCTCAGCGATGAAGCGTTCTTTTTCGGCATACTCAATGGACTTGTTGTACTTGAGTAGAGCTGACGTGTGGTACCCACGGCAGAATTCTAGCTCTGCATCAACCAGGTATAGTTTATTGCTGACATTCTCAGGACAATGAAGCATCCATTTTTGTAGACACTTGTATCGCCGCTTTGCTTCTTTCAGAAAGCGCCGTCTGGCCCATCCACTGGACTCCCTGGCGAGTGCAGTGGCCACGATGGCAACATACAGGTGACAGTAGTACTGGAAAACCGGCGACAAAGTACCCCGAAAGGGTCCCATGTTCTGTTCAATCAAAGCCCATGCCTCTTTGTGGCTCAACAGATACACAGCTGTGGTGAGTTTGAGTTGAACAAGACAGTCGTGAAAAGCTGAGAGATGGAGCGATTTCAGCTTCGCTTCCATTTCCTGTTCGTCCATGAATTCTCCAGTCAAAACAAGCGGGTCGTCAGATTTCCCTTGCAAGTTATCAATAGCCTGCAAGACAAGATCCATTCCGAATTTGACTTTTAGTTGGTTTGCTTGAACTGCCCGCCTCCTATAGCGGGTACAGGTTGGAACAAGCTCAGCAATGGGGCATCCATGCAAAAACTGAAAGTGGCCGTTCACACTTCCCGATAGCAGAGCAATCTGGTAGGTACCAGTACAACAGGGGCAGGAGTGAGACCACAACAGAAGAGCCTACGAAGAATTTGCTTTGTACTGAACAAACCTCATGATCTCCATGCCTCATTCCAAAGCGATAATTCTTCTCCAAAGCTTCAAACGAGCGCTTCAGCGGTACTTTCGTTGGTTGGGTCTGGTACCAAAACATGAATTGCATCTTTGTTTGTATCTGCTTCGCTGGATACTTCTTCAATAGTTCACTCGTCATCTGTCCAAACCGATAACCGTCGTCAATATTGCCAAATCGAATGAAACCTACCGCCATGGCAGAAAAGCCGACCACAGCTACACAAGCACATGGGATTAGTCATCGAGCAGCAGCGGCGATTCCGTCCCAACTCCGAATGTGACGGAAACATACCTAATGGACTCAGCCCGTGCTTGAGTGTCTTGGAGATGCAGGAAAAGACGAAACATAGGTGAGCGGCATACGGGAAGATGGGCGTGACACACATTGCCCCCTGCACGCACCAGTCGAATCATACGGAATGCTGCGAGTGGGGCCACGTCTTTGTTCGATTGCTGCAAAAAGCCGAAAATCAAGAAGAGGATCTGCAGGCACGAGAGGACACGTCGATCAATCATCTCAGGTAGGTTCAGTATGTCCTCTTCTTTCGTTCTGGCCATCAATCTCTTAAAATGTAAAAACTCCAAAACTGTTCGCAGCTTCCCCCCTCGGAGGGAAAACTGCTCGTTGAGTAGTTTAAGCGTTTCGATACCCTTCTTGACACCACCGCCGCAATCACCCCTGGAACCGCGAGAAACCATTACCGTCATGACGACACGAAGTTTGTCCTGCGTCGTCCATGCACTTGATTCTACGTCGTTTGCTAGTTCCTCAACTAGCTCGTGTTTTCCCAGGCAGCAAGCTAGTTCAGTTGCCTAACGAAGATACAAGAGAGGTGCTAACGCTGAGAGCTTCGCCCGTGTGGCAAAAAGATGAGAAGCGATTTCGAACTTACCGTACTCTTCAAATCCAAGCTGAGCTCGTACTGGTCCCTCCAATGGCGAACCTCCAACAGATCAATTGCTACATTGACATACTCTAGGGCTGGAACATAGGCAGCTTTCTTGGCTGCCTCTTTGGCTGCCTTTAGGAACAAACGGGCAAAATCGTCTTTTTCTTCGGCATCAGTGACCAACTTGACACCAAACTTGAGCTGGTTCACAATCAGAATGACGTGCTTTTTGACGTCTGCTGTGGATAACCTTCGCCTCCAGTTGCGCCCGATTGCAAGATGGAAACTTGCCTTTTGATCCTTTGGGATAAGTGAAGAGGCCGCGCTCCTGAAATTGTCGTGTTTCCATCGTCCAATGTCGTCGTTGAAATCGTATTCAATAAAGCCAGCGTCCATGGCCACTTCCAAGGAGGGCACCACTTGAGACGACACAATCATCCCCGTTCTAACCAAGAGAGCTTCCGAGAACCTGTTTCCCATACACGAGGCAACCTTCAACGTCTCTACCACCTCCCCAGGCAACTGCTGTAATTTCTTCGCGAGTAGTTTGAGGATTCCCCGACTTGTGTCCACATCTGCTTTTCCAACGGATCTGGTCGAAGCTGACGGCAACGCCATTAGCAACGCCCTGTCGTCCCATTTCCACTTTTGAGTAGTTGTATCCTTTTGGAGTACTCTGTCCTCTACCAGGCTCCTAATGAATTGCTTGGCAAAGAAGGCATTGCCAGCCGTATGCGTATGCACAATTTCTGTCAGCGGTTGGCATTCTTGGACGGTCAAGTCCAAGGTATTGGCAATCATGCTGGACAAGGTGTCCAGAGTAAGGTTCTCCACTTGGATCTGGCGAATGATTGTCCCCTTGTCTTCTATTTGCCTCAACGTAGCCGACAGGTCTGGGTTATCTGCAGCTTCATCATCTCGACAGGTTCCCACCACGAGCAGCCCACCCTCACATGGACTGTCCGTGGGAGTGGTCAGCAAAGGCTCCAAGATATCCAAGGAGGAAACATCCGACCATTGGACATCATCTATCAAGATCACCAGTGGCCGGTTGACTCGAGCGATTGCCCTTAGCAAACGGCAGAATGCCGAGACAAACCGAGTGGCTTGATTGTGCTGATCCATCGTTACCTTGAAATCAGATGATTCATTCGAAGATACCAAAGAAGCTTCCTCGGAAGTCTCTGTCCAGTCTCCATCCGCGAGGAGTGACAAATTTGGAATGACATCAATCAAGACGGTAACTTCGGATCCCAGCGCCTGATGAATATCTTCCTTGATATCCCTCATCATTTCTTCTCCTCGTAACTGCACTTGTCGGATCAATTCTTCTACGGCTGTAATGAATGGAGCATGGGGTTTTTGGACACTGGATTCGTCAAATTTCCCAGAGATGAAAATACCCCAATCGTCTTGGACTCGTTTCTGCAGCGATTCGGCCAGTGTGCTCTTTCCCGTGCCGCTTCGTCCCGTGATAATGACAAACTCGGACGACTTTTCCTGGCTTGTTCGGCTGACACAGCGACGGTAGCAGCCATCCAACGTCTTCAGCTGGGATTCTCTGCCATAGAGCTCGGTACTGTAGTCCCAATTCAACTCCTGGTACGCCATGGTGTTTTCGTTTTCTTCCTGAGTGGACGGCTATGCTATTTTCTTATGTCAATCTTTTACACTTGCAGATTCTTGGGGAGTATGGTATCAGAGCGATGGAGTGAGTCCAGTCGTACGGATGGTCGTCGTCTTACCGAGTGCCTCGATGATCAATCTCGCTACTAATAGCTGCTAAGTAGGTGGGTGTAATCTGCTCTGTACTGACCTTGCTTGAAGGAAAGAAGCGCATAGAGGAACTGAGGAAAGGGAGCAACATGGATCGCTTCGATTAATCCTTTGGACGCAGCAAAAAGATCCTTCTATGTTGCTGTTGCCGCGGTACGGGTACCGAACCCCAGAACGCAGGCGCTGTCCTTGATGTGGCACCACCGGTCTTTAACACGATTTAGAGCAACACATGTAGTCGCGGATGACTCTAGCATGTCCCAAAGAAACGGTTGACCTTTCTCTGCTCACAAAATCGCTGATCTCCCTTCCGGCCTTCCGAGCCGAGTCGAGTCACCACACTCAGGAGGTAGTTTTCTCGTCTCAACACAACAACTTATTATCATACATACCGTAGTGCTTCAGCTTTAGCCAAAACTATCATCCTTCAAATCAATTTATTACCATGAAGCTCTTTGGATCCCTTCGAATCGTCTCCTTATACCTCTTGTTGGTGTTGGCATCCCTGCCACAGGGCGCCGAGTCTTTGAACTTTCTCGTGAATTACAATGCCACAACCATGTGGCTCTACAACTACTTTCGAGCCTATTTGTGCACTGATTATTTTGGGGAAGAATTTTGTAGTGGATTGGCAAGAGAGGAAGACATGGACATTTTGCCAGAAACAGAACCAGAAAACAAAAACCCCACGAGCGACAATGCCATGATTGCCAACTCGTTTGGGAACACCGCAAACACCAATGACATTGATGATGTAGGAGGCTTCGCGGCATTCCGACCCAATGGCGGAGGCCGGAATAGAAGAAATCTGAGAGCATGGGACCATTGGTTTGTCGCTCATTAGCAAACACAAACAAAAGAGTCAAGCCGAAGCCTATTCGAAGGTGACGAGGTTTTTGAAGTGTACAGTGTTTTTGTCTTGGATGATAATGATAGAGGCTCCTTTCCATCATTTTGGCTGACTGAGAGGCCTTGAACGAGAAATCCAATCGGAGTGTGGCAATGGATACAGGTACTTTGTGTTGTCGAGGCGAGAAACAGGTACATCGAAACAGCCCTGCAAAGTGCGGCGTTCAATCAATCAGCATAATGATACCTAGTAGATAGACAAACCTTTCATAACTCACGTTTTCAATCAGCCGCACCGCCATCGTACAGTAAACAAATCATGAGCACCTCTTCCGGAAAGAAGCACATGATGAGATGTCCGTTCTAGTAGTGCAAACCAGCGTGTTTTGCGGGAGCTCGTACTTTAAGACTCGCAGGTCGCCGGATGGTCTATCATGTGTATTGACTGCCACATCTGAAGAGCATGCCATGTGCCTTGGCGAAACCAAGGATCACGCATTTCGTCAGCACTCAAGGGACATTTCCTTTGCAAGAAAACACCAAATCTAGTTTGAACTCATTCAAATCCGCCGAGTTAGATCATTGCTTGCCATCGCAGGCGTAGTAGTGAGGGAGGGCGGCCTCATGTCTTCTCGTCACTATAAAGGGACTGTGTGGTGGCAGTCCCATTACAGTACTGTTTGCCTTGCTATCATCAGTTCCTCAAAGCAACAAGAATCATCTCACCCTCCTCTCCCTATCCTCCTCTTGCGGCCGCACACAACAACACACTGATCCCATGAGACTACTACGTGGAGCAGCCAGCGCCTCGAGGGCTCTGGCGTTGACCGTCACTACCACCAACTGTGCAATGCCACGAGTGGGACCTTACTCTGGCCGTCTTGAAATCAGCTATGACTATCTCGTCGAGTATAACCACAATAGCATAGTACCGGACGCAGACCCGCTGGGTCCAACATTGATTGGAATTGGAAATGCCATTGCGTATGGATTGGCGGCTGTCTTGGATGGATGCGATGTCGACAGGCGTCCACTTTATGCGGTGGAGTTGGCATCGTGGCATGAGGTCTTGGAAAGTGGTGAGTCGAGTTGAGCAGTCTCCAGCAAATCACAGTTAATTGAAAGGAGGATGCAACCTTTCAAGTTTCTTTCGTGTCCTCAACCCTTGTTCCCTTGTTCTGTGTGCAGGCTATTGTGAACCCAGGAATCCAGGAAGCACTTGCCAAGTCGTTCGCGGTATCACGGCAATTCGCTCCGATAGTACAGATATTGATGCAGACGTGGAACAACTCGCCTTTGATGCCATTGAAGGTGTCTTTTATGAACCAAACTTCCTTAAACAATTTGTCCCGACATCCTTCAATAGGGTCGACTTTGGGCGCATCGTTACCAGCGGTCCAGCCGGAGACAAGAAAAAGTCCCCTGCCGGAGGAAGGTCCATCTCCAAAGTTCCCATTATTGTGACAGTCATGACTTTGCTGGCCTTGGCTTGTGTGTTCATGGCTGGTTGGATCTGGAGGAACCGGGGACGTCATTTAAGAACTGCCAAGCAGCCCAAGGCCCAGGGCGACAAGAATGCGACATTCCTCCTTGGTAGTGCCCCTCCAAAGTACTACGAACTCGACGAAGAACCCGAGAGCGGAGGATCTTCTTCGGTTGCCAACAAAGTCGGTGAAATTCTTGCAGGAGGATATGAGAATGTTTCCATGACATGGAGCATTTCCGACATTACCTCAGAGAGTGGCTCGATTCTCAGCAATCTCTCGAGAACTACTAGCAAACTGGAACGAATTGAAGAAGGCGACGATGAAGGGAGCCACGAGGAATGGGACGGTGATGACACGGACGAACCGCTCAACCGTACGGTGGATTCGATCCCACCTGAATGTCTTTACTGTGTGGATTCGTCCGACCTGCTGCGCCATCACATTGATCTTTTCCCGGTGGGAATGGAAACAGACGCAGTGGCGTCTTTGACAGAAGTCAACACATCAGGCCTGGAGGGCTGTCGCTTCGTGGAAGACATTTTTGAACGACACGAAGAAGGTATTGAAGTTCTTAGCAGCAATGAAGATCTCCAGGACCCATCATTGCCCCTTTCAACCACCATCTTGTCGGACATGGAGGACAAGGCAGCATTGGTCTCAGTAGAAGAGTCTACAGAACAAGACAAGCCAGTGGACGAGAGTTTTGCCCGGAGCGACAACAGTGAACACATGGGAAACAGTGGCTATGAGCATTCGATAGACTCGTCTTCCACCTCGTCGTTAGGCGCGGACTCAAGTTCCCAGCAGGACAGCGAGCATGAGTTGTCTGCAGCCACCAGCTCGACAACTTCCAGCGACGAAGAGGAAGAGCAGCAGGACAAATTGAACGCTACTACGGACCTTTCCCTGCTTTTGGTATCGACGTTGTCGTCTTCCGGTATGCGATCAAGCCACGACAGCGATGGCGACGCCGCGGACGATGAGGATTCCGTGTCCACGTGTTACTCTTCCGACTACACTCGTGAGGCATCCAATGAAAGTTCCTCGGTGCTGCGTGGCGTGGAAATGCCGGTGTTGCCGAAGGACAAGGAAGAGACAAGCTGTTGAGTTGTGGCGATACAGTAGTGGGCTCTTTGCTATTCGGCTTTTTGTGAGGAAGGGCTCCACCCCAACAATACGAAGATGATATCCCGAAGAATCGTCTTCATATCTTCGTGTTGTAAGATGATGTTTCTTGGCAAAGCTCTATATTTTGGCTGTTTACGAGTACTTTGTCTTCTTGACTTGCCAGCCCCCCAAAGGCAATACAAGGCACACGTCCTTGTGGTACTAGTAAGCCGAGACCGTGGTGGGGAATATTGTATAAGGATAGACGAATGTCATCATTGTATCCGGAAGCAAGTGGCGGACAACACACTACATTTTAGTTGATGAACAAGGATTATCATTATATAGAAGTAATGCACACTTTCTCTATCTCTGGGGCTTGATAAATCTCCGGGGCTCGGGCGCTCGTTTCTCGCACTCCAATCCAATTTCGGTGCAAGCTATCGCCCACCATGCAGCCAACCCAGAAGGTTGTCAAATCTCGTTATTTTTTTGTTGCTTACTGACCGTGCTCCGCTTGGACTGCGGCAATGAGCTCGGTGGCTCGCTTCTCGCACTCCAATCCAATGTCTAAGCAAATATTGGCCAACTTTCCGCTCTTGGAGTCTGATTGGATTGTGTGCAAGATCTCCGCCATGGTCTTTTGCAAGTTGAGTCGTTGTTCTGCCTCCAACATGTATCGTTCCTGCATGGCCTTAACTGCCTCCTTGTAGCCTTGGAAATCCAGCTTTGCTTCCTCCTGTATGTCATGAAGGAGGTTGGACTCTTCAAAGACGCTGCTGTTGCACAGCTCCGAGTACGAGCTGAACAAGTCTGCGGACTGCCCCTCCAGTCGGACATTGTGTTGCTTGAGCTTGTCCATTTGCTTTTCCATTTTTCTCAAATCCTTGTTGGCCAATGTGCTTTCGCATCGCAAGTCCTTGATCTTTTGCATGTTGGCTCCCAACTTGGCCTGAAGCTGACTGAATTGAATCTTGTTGGACATTTCCTCCTTCTGGGCCTCCTGTTGCTGTTCTTCAAAGTCACGAATGCCCTGCCATGCGTCTTGCTCTCGTTGGGCCATTTGTTCCAACTGCTCTTCGCACTTTTCATCTTCTTGTCGAAGCATTGCCTTGAGTCGAGCAATCTCGTCATTTGCTTTGGCAAGTTTCTTGTCCAACTTTTTCATGCGTTGATGATGTGCCTCGACTTCGTCCGTGTCCCACTTGTGCATGGGTTCTTCATTGGGGAGACGACAAAAGGATTGGTGAAAGGCTTCTTCGCCCATCGACTTGAGAAGTTCCTTGTCACTGCGTGGGGACGTGGAAGGGGAGGAAGATTTGGATGATTTACTCATTTTCTTGGTGCTGTTGCTGCGAGAGGCTTGCTTGGCTGCCATGATTCTGGATTATTTTGTTTGCTTGGTTGTTTGGATTTTGTGTTCTGGTGAGAAATAATATTGTGAGAACTCTTGTGGAAACGAATCGAATCGAAACACTCGCTTCAACTTTTAGCTTGGTTTGCGCAAGATTGACAGTTGCGTGCTGTGTTGAGTCAAGTCTCCACTGTGTATCTGTGTATGTGCATACTGGATCGATGCTTGTGCTTCATCACCAGGTTGTTATGGGCGAAAAGCTTCGTCAAATTCCTCACAGACACGAGAAAAAGTGAGCGGAAGCAGGTTTGAGATACAGTATGACCTTCAATAATCACAGTATCAATCAAGTGAACTGTTTATTATATCTTTTTCAGCTTTATGACGACGGTATTATCAAGTGAAAGCTCCACCAACTTCCACCAAGATCATTCTTGCTAACAAAGCGTTCGCTGGTTGTTTGTAGAATGTGACTCACTCTTTCGTATTTAGAAGTCAGACATAAAGTTCTATCTTGGGCGTGTCCTTGATGATTCCGCCCACTTTTTCGGCAATGCAGCTTGGGAACAAGCGCTGGGGGACGGATCCGGAGTCGTGCTCTCACTGGATGCAGCTCTATGCTAGAGTACCGTACTAGAGGTGGATACGGCAGCTCTTGTAATTACCAGGAAGATCTGACTAGCTTAGTGTCGGAGCTAGCTAGGCCACAATAAATGTGTTGGGACTACGGTATCTTTACAAAGAAGTTAGTTGCTACGGGTACCGTATGGCAAGGGAACCATGGAAAGTTCATACTTGTACCGTACCTCTGAAATCTGAAAAGATATACCGCAGAGGTGCAGTTGATCAAGGTGCACGCACATCCTTTGTGGCTGCGTTGTCCTCATCTTCAGGGAGAGCTCCAAGGTCTCGACGAAGCAGCGAATGGGTACAAAACGTAGCAACATGTCTGGCTGTAAGAAATGAAGGCAGGCTGCCTTTGAGTCTAGAACTGATGCACATACTTTGGCTGGATTGCATCCTTGTTGACTGGAGAGCAAACCAAATACTTATTGTACTATACTGTAGTAGACAGGTCTTGTAGCTTTGCCCGCCTGTGTAGCTAATTATGAAAAGTCTTCTTTCACCCCATAATCAAACTTGCTTCTTCTGTGGCTAATTAGAAGGACTAATTCACAACTGTTGAGCGCAACTTCCCTTCCAGCTTCCACCATACATAAATGGTGGATTGAATCGAATCGAATCATTCAGAAAGCTTTGAAAAGGAAAACAACCCAAACTTCTAACATCTTCTTGCTAGCCAGCAGCGGCTCTCAACTACCAGTACAGTACATGTACTGTGATTGTAACTCTCTTGAGTTGTTGGGTCCTCGGAGATTTGTTTTGGGAAACCCTCACACCGTTTCTCACAGCTTCACTGGCGTTTAGTTATATGCACGAATGAATGACGTCATGTTTGAGAATGACCGATTGTGACCCCCAACGGCCATGAATGCTGTAAAATGTGGAAGCAAAGAAGATCGCGAAGTATCTTTGTTGGTCTTGGCGTCTTCTTCCAATGGCATAATATATACCGTATGTTGGTTTATGCTGATCATAAAACACATTGCTGACCATTGAGTTTGCAAAAAACCATTGCTGAGCGTATTGAGTAGTGAGTTTGCAAGATCAACAACACTACTTGATCTCAAGCAGGAAGGCAGGTACAGTATCAAGAAAGCAATCCAAGAAAGTTACCGAAGAAAACTACAATCCCAACGGTCCATCCCTCCTTTCCCTGTTTTTGTGCAAGAGCAAAACTACATACAAATATGGCAGTAATTCAATCGGGTCGAACCCCGGAAGAGTCATCGCAGCTGCAGATGCAGCGCACAACGATACGAGGTTTGATTCTTGTGATTTTGGTGTTGGTCATCAGCAGTACGTTTCGACGCACCAACGATTACGATTCCTTTTTGGAAGCCGTGTCGGAATCCCGTACGGCCGAAGCCACGGTATCCCATCGTTCTATCAAGGGCAAAACCACGACAAGCTATACCGCCGGTGCGTCCATCCAGAAAAAGAAACAAAATTTGGATCTCCCCTATGTTCCATCGGCCATTGAATCGTTTATTATCAACAATACCGTCCAACTGGGATGGAGTCCAATGCCCCCCGCGTTGGTGGATACCTGCAATATCTGGACAGACCCCAAGATCAATCCGTATCACAACGAATTGCAGACATATGTCAAGGAGGTCGAAACGTATTATCGCAAACTCCATGATTTTCAGCTGGCACCAAATGTCAACAAGGATTTGAGACGACAAATTGAAGACGCTTCCGACCAAGAAGATGTTTGCAGTACGGTCGATTTGGGCTTGAAGGATATTTTTGGCAAGAGCCAACAATTGACGCAGACACGGTCGGGATTTGTAGAACCCCTCTTGCCACCCATGCGTCATCCGGGTGTTTGCTTGGAAGAGGGGGTCACGCTGGATCCTGCAAAGTTTTATATCCTCATGTCCTTGCAGTATATTGTCCATGATTGGGCCCATATTTGTCGCAAACTCAAACCCACATCTCGCACTGTCTTTATCGACATGGGAGCTTCGTTGCGCTTTCACGGCGATATTCCCAGTCCCGTGCTAACGTTGTTGGAACAATATCGCAAAATGGGCATTGTGTTCGATCACATTTATGGTTACGAAATGAGGCAGGAAGACCCCAACACGGTCTTTGCAAAACTGCCACCAGAGTATCGGGCCAATTTTCATTGGATCAATGTCGGTGTCAATGCGGATCCGACTCATCGACACAATCCATGGAATATTATATTGGATCACTACAATGAAGATGACTTTATTGTCGTCAAGTTGGATATCGATACACCGGCCATTGAACGACCGTTGGCACATCAATTGTTGAATGATCCACGGCTGGTCAAATTGGTGGATCAATTCTACTACGAACATCATGTCAATCAACGAGAGCTCTCTCGTCATTGGGGTCATACCGCGGAAAGTGTGGAACAATCCTTTCAATTCTTTACCACATTGCGCAAAAAGGGAGTGGCGTCGCATTTTTGGGTGTAAAAACAACAAAGGAGTAATTATTGTACAACTAACTACGACAAATCGCAACATGAAATCGAGCAGGCGTTGGCCCATGATGGAAAGCAATGAAGCTGCACCTGTACCTGTATTGCAGAGGGAACAGGTCCAGGCAGGCAGAACACATGGCAAAACTTGACAAACCATACATCAGTCAGAATAAAATCAGAATACGTGATTTCTGAAGGCTTGTCATGCTATGCAAAATTGCCATTTGCCTTGTAGTAGTTTCATTTCATACATCATTAAAAACTCACCTGCCTGCCAACACCAACGACAAAATCCACCACCACCACCAACAACAACAGGAGCTTGCAACATATATTGTCCATGATTGGGCCCATATTTGTCGCAAACTCAAACCCATATCCCACATCATCTTGGGAGCCTCTTTGTGCTTCCACAGCGATATTCCCAGTCCCGTGCTATTGTTGTTGGAACAAAATCACAAACTGGGCATTTGCCTTTGATCACATTTACGGATACGAAATGTGATTTCTCAATGCTCGCCATGATATGCGTAATAGACAAACATCGACTTGTTTCAATGCTACTGCAGACTTGCGGATAGAAAAAGTACTACTAGCAAACAGACTCGACTCGACTCGACTCATCCAAAGAAAACGCTCTAGGTAGCTCTACCTACTAGGTAGTTATCAATCTGTGGCTGTTTCTTGCAAATGATAATTGACGGTCAACAATCGTTCATGATTGACCGTGGCCTTGAGCGAATTGTCCGGTGCCGTGACAGTGGCCACGTACAACTTGTGACCCAGTGTAATGGTAATGCCACCGTGACCAGTTTTGTCGTTCTTGTTGGATTGGAATGGCTTGAGAATCCGTTCGTCTGTCAGTTCCTTCAAGTCTGCCACTGTGGCAGCATACTGTCCCTGGTGGAGCTCGGCGTATCGTCGTTGGGCATAGTAAATGTTCATGGCGGCCAATCGAGCCGGCCACGAGGCATCTCGTTGCTCGTCTGTCAATTGATCGAATCTCAAGTCGCCCATTGGTGGTGGTGTTTGTTGACTAGTACCATCCTCTACTAGTTGTTGCTTTCCAAATTCGACATATCCCCAGGCATCTGGCAAATGCATGGCCACCTTTCCCTTGACTTGTTTGGCCACTGGATCCCAAATGCGTTGGGCTTGCCAGGTCCAATTGGTATCCCCCTCGTGCTCGACTCTGGAAAAGTTGATTCTCCACTTGTGACCTACTTTGGGTGGTTTTGTGTTGGTGCTAGTAGTGGTATTGGCCAAGAGATCGGAAAATGCCAGAGCACATTCGACCGTCCAAGTGGCACCTTCCTTGTCGTCATTGAGTTTCCCGTGAATGACTTTTGTGGCGGTGGTTTGGTGTTGGACTTCGTAGTACTGTTTATCCCCTGGTTGGGCAATCCGACCACTGTGTTCACTCCCACCGTCATCGTAGGGTTTGTCCAACAAGAGATTCCATACTGTGTTGATGGCATTGACTTCCAATTCCTTGTAATCGTGACAATTGGCGGGGGCATCGATAAAGACTTCAAAATCGGAATCCTTTTGAAAAATGGGAGAATTCCGTTTGGTAAAATGGGCTTGGGTGGTAAAGTTGGACTGCAGCATGGCAGCGACATAGAGATAGTCATCATCCCAGAGCATCTTCATGCGCGTGCCTTGTGCGTCCTGATCGGGACGCGTTCCCGGTGGAGCATCGGTAGCTCCTCTGATTTCATCAAAATAATCGGAAAAAGGAACTTGTTTCCACGGATCCTTGTCAATGTTTCCATCAATCACCAGAGGAGTGGTCAGTTTGGGTGCTACGTAATGACGAGGATAGAGCGACCAATGCAGGGCAAAGGGGTCTCGAGAGGCTGCCATGGTCCACACTAATAATGATAGCATGCCATGCAAGAAGAGCAATGAGAGTGGTGATGCGAAGATACCTGGTACCAGTACTAGTACCAAGAGGACGGTTGACGTCCATGAAAGATACTCAAAGTACTAGAAAATCTAACCCTATTGGAGTAAGTTATAGCGGTCACTACGTTGAGAGACATTTGTGCTACTGGAGTAATTATTAAATTGTTAATTCCCCTGGGTCATTTGCCAAGATATCCCCTAAGTATGAGCACACTTATGAGTGACTCGGCAGTTCAAAGAGCTTACCAAGCGACCGACACACGAAAACCCCAACGATCGCGAGAAAAGCACACAACATCATCGACGCCGCTCTGTTCTTTCATTGGAGTCGCCAACACCCTTTGTCATCAGTAAGTACTGCCATTCTTCGAGTTGTAGCCATGGGGAACAGCAGCAGCAAGTGGTCCAGGCCCTTGCCAGCAACAACAGCCGATGGAGGCGCAGCAGAAGTAGTAGAAGAGGAAGCCGTAGTCGAAGAAAATGGCATTCTTCCAGAACAAGCTCCACAACCCTCGTTGAGCAATCAAGAACGAGCTCGCTTGGAAAAGAAGGTAACGTCGGCACTCAAACACATGAAACGCTATCCCAAGAGCGCCGCCATTCAACGTCAAAAACTGGGCAAACTACGACAATACGTGAATAAAGATCACGACAACCATACGAGTCATTTCGTCAACGCCATTTTGCAGCAGAATGGATTGTCGTTGGTGCTGGTGACCATGCGACGACACGTGAAGAATGCCGCCATTCAAGATCATGCCTGTCGCGTCTGTACGCTGTTGGCGCGACAAGATTCCGTCGCCACCATGACGGCATTGCCGTTTGTCTTGACGGCCATGAAGACGCACAAACGCAACACCAACGTGCAACTCAATGGATTGGCTGCATTGACATTTTGGGGAATGGACTTGAAAGATGGAGAGCCACGAGCACGCGATGGCGATAGTAATCACAAGTTGGCAGTGACAGTGGTGGAACAAAATGCCTATCCCGTCATTTTCAGTACCATGAAAAATTACGAGTCCAACATGCTCATTCAGGACAAGGCGCTAAAGGCATTGGTCGTCCTCACCAGCACCGATCACGACAAGGACAATCGAACGGCCTTTGTGTCTGCCACAGCATGGAGATCCCTCCAGGCCACCATTACCAATCACGGCAACAAACCAAAATTACAACTCAAAACAATCAAAATATTGAGACAAATCGCCACCGATCACCCCAGTGCCGTCTGCAAGCGATTGTCGGTATTGGTACTGCCCACCATGGCGGCACATTTGACGGATGCGTCCATTCAAAAACACGGCTGTTCGCTCCTCCTGCTGTTGGCCACGACGCACGAACCCAGTCATGCCATTCTATGGAAACCCGGGGGAGGACGAGAAGCCATCTTAGCGGCCATGCAGGCACATCAAGATCAAGAAGATATCCAAAAGACGGCCATTTTGGCATTGCAGCGACTGCCAGCACAAACCACCGCACAACCCAACAATGACGGTGGCACTACTACTACTACTGCAACAACACAACAACACGACAAGAATCAAACCAGCAATGCCATTAATCAAGGAATGGAAGCCATGATTGCCAGTTTGCTCAAGGAAGGCACGTCCGTGTCGACACTCACCAATATTTGCAAGGCGCTCATTCGATTGGCGTCGGCATCGCACACCAACAAACTCGATATTGCCTCGGCCAATGGCGTAGAGGGGATTGTCGCGGCCATGAAACGAGGGGATTCCGTCGACGCAACAGTCAGTTTGCACCGATACGCCTGTCAATGCTTGACACAGTTGGCCGCCGTCGAAGCCACCAAACGGGATATCGTGCAACAGGCACTGGCCATTCCGGTCATTGTCAAGGCCATTACAGCACATACCATGAAAAGTTATGAACTACAACAACAACAACAAGACGAGACCACTGAACAACAACAACAATCCCCCCACTTTTTGGTCTCCTTTCATGGCATTCTCTTGTTGGTACGACTCTCCCAACTACTGGCCAATCATGCCAAAATGATGCCCTCCATTCCGGCCATTGTCTTGACCATGCAAGTGCATCACGATCGGGCGACGTTGCAGCACAAGGCCATGGTGGTATTGCACAAACTCGCGGCACGATTTGTCAAATTCAAAAAACCAATCATCAAGGCGGGAGCGCTAGATGCCATTTTAAAAGCCATGTTGGAGCACCAAGATCATACGCATATACAACGATTGGGATGTCAATGTCTGCTCAATTTGCATCATGCCAAAACCACGTCCATGTGGATGGTCCAGGCAGGAACCTTTCAAGTGGTCGTGCGAGCAATGGCACGACACTCGTCGCATATTGGAATCCAGTTGGCCGCCATTCGAGTCATTGCCGAAATGATCCCGTGTTCTTCATGGCATGTGGAACGGTGGGCCACGCAAGGCATGCAATGCTTGGTGCTGTCGATTCAAATGCATTTTGACAATATCACCTTTCAACAATTGGCACTGGGGGTGCTACAGTTGTCGTCGAAACAGCACAGTCGGCCTCGTGTCCAACGCGAGTTGGTACAGGCTGGTGGAATCGATGCCGTTCTGACCTGCATGAAGGACCATCATCCGAGTCATGTCCGGATTCAACAGTCTGGATTCCGAACGCTCAACAATCTGACCACGTCGCGACGACGGGCTGTCTACCATGGGGCCGTGATTATGCAGAATGGTGGATGGAAAGTGATTCGGCAAGCACAGCGTGTCTGTGCGGAAGATGAATTCCTGCAACGACACGCCCACACGCTGCTGTTCAAGTTGGTGATCATGTTCTTGTTGCATTGGTTCCTGTGGCTGGCCTATCACGTGACGTTTGTTGTCGTGTAGGCAGAGGGGCGGCGAGGAATAAGAAGAAAAATGACAATCATGAAAAACGAAAGGGAACTTTGGTGAATGTTTTGGGGTGAACTGCTCAGCGGACCAGACGAGAGGAAAACGGCTAGCGAATAGCCGTCGTCTCGTTGGTGAGGAACGTCAGCTAGTAGCTCAGCTAACTACAGGTTGGTTACGAATAAACGAGAATAAAGAAGTGCTGGTTAGTTTAGTTTATCCCACCAATGGAGCTGCCGCTTGTCTTTCGTCGCCCTCGCGGAAGCGCTGCAGAAGCAATAACCAGTAGATTCTCGTGTTGAAAGTGCTGAACGAGCTCATCTCTGGTGTCTTGATTTGAAAAGTCAACGTCGAACCATGCCAAAGCATGCCGCAGTTCTGGAACCGTCAAGTTGGCGTATGTGGTTCAGCGGCTTCTAGTTGAGGTTGGCTTCCTCCGCCGGAAGACAAAGTCCAGGTCCTCCAATTTCTGCTGTTGTTCTTCAGTTGGCTTGCAACGAGTCGTTCTCTGATGCATGACCCAATTGGCTAGAGCTGGATCTGTTCTTGCTTCCAGCCCTGAGGCGCATTGCAGTGACCGTGGCGTAACTTGTATTTCTGTAGTTGCTCAAAATTCTCCTCCCAGCTTCTAGGTGATTTCGGGCTGGACATCTTTGCCAGCTTGGGCATTGATGTAGGTCAGAGCTTCTTGGATGATTGGATTGGTAGATGGAGTGCCAACTTGAGGAGGAGGCACAAATTGAACACAGACATGGTGGGGGCAATGGGGCACCCCTGTGCATGACCTTCTTGTTGGAGGAAGTATTGAAGGTCGTTGTTGTCATCAAAATAGTGGCACTTGTTGGGTGTAGAGTAGAGAAGATCGTAGAGTGGAACAAGACATGAAAACTCAGGTGACTCAACAAGGAAGTCTCGAACTGCGACTCGGGATACTTCGTTGAACATGTTCTTGATGTCTAGTAACAGAAGGGCTCGGGAGGGATCAGGACAAGAGACAAACCTGTGTAGTTGAGTACGAGCTACATCCACCATGAAGTCCAAGCCTCCTTTGACTGCAATTGCAAACTGCCCAAAGGGAACAAGGTAAGTGGCCAGACGTGACTGCAAATATTCCATGGCATATTTACCTACCACCCGCCTGAGGGCAGCACCCATGCCTATTGGCCGAAGCTTGTCTGGGTTCGATGGTTCTTTGTGCAGAGCCATGAAGTAGTTGGATGATAAGAGGGGACCAAGCTGGGGGGGGATCGCCCATCCAATTGGTGGGAGCTTGTCCAGGTTGGATGGATCCTTGTGTAGTGCCATGCAGTAATTGTCTGTGGCGCCACGATCGGTTCGTGGGTGTTTGGCCTGGTATGGTGGGAGCTTGTCCAGGTTGGATGGATCCTTGTGTAGTGCCATGAAGTAATTGTCTGTGGCGCCACGATCGGTTCGTGGGTGTTTGGCCTGGTAGGAGGTAGGTGGAGGGTACAACTGTAGGCAAAGAGCTTGACAACCAATAAATTCATGTTTCTGACTCCTGACGTGCGGACCTGTCCCAAGGGAACCAGTGGTCACATTTGTCTTGCCTATCTCCGCTGTATTCAAGATCTCATCGGCTCTGACCATGTACCTGTAGTTGTATTCGATGTCAGCACGCCGATAGTCGTCATGGTACGTCAACTCATTGTGACTTTGCGCTGGAACCCTTGGATTCAGGGTTAGTAGTGGCATTGGCCGCGATGGTAATGTCGGTTTCCCAACCACCATGTTGTCGAGGAGCCAGTCAATGTCCCTTGGATCATTGCCGGCAAAAACCAAATCGTCGACACAGGTATACACATGGCACCGATCCATTCCATTCCTGTACTTCTCAAGGACGTCAAAGAAGCGATCACTCCATCGATGGGGTGCAATGGCGGAGCCGTAGACCGATCGCTTTAGATGGAAACAGATCGTGATGGCTGCGGAGAAGTTGAGTTCCGTGCTGAGCCCCCCTTGTATCGCACTCGAAATTGGTGTTGTCAATCGAGATGGCGAAGGAGGTTAGAGCAAAGCGAAAGGAAAGTGCCTGCAGGCTCTATGACGCTCCGGGAGCTCATCTTTTGTACAAATCCTGAAAATCGTTAAAGTTCTGTATTATCGCTATATATTCTGAATGATGCGACGTGCACGGAGTGTGCGTGCCTTTGAATCACGTGGTCGCGGTGCATCAAAATTTACGACCTCCTTCCATTCATCAAAAGTGCAATCACGAGATGAAGAGCGCGTTGACACCACGAAGCAGCCGGAGCGGCACGTCGGGTCTTGCGCTTGACCACACAAGTACGACACAACACAAATTCGATTCACCGCCTCACCGCCACAACTCCTACAGCCGAACCAAAAGATTGACATCGATCATCTTCGCTTTAGCAGTGGCTTTTCACTTCGCTCGCTTGTTGGTCTGACTTTCTTCTTCGTTGGCGTGACCATTGGTGCGTTTTTTGGTGCTCTTGTTCTTGGTGTTTCGGTCCGTGTCTAGTTTTTTACTTCGACTGCGATTGACACAGCGGACGTCTTCAAGAATTTGACGTCGACCGCGAGTGACACGGCGGCCGCCTTCCTCGCCTTGACCACTGTCGGTCTCTTCCTCGGTAGCGATATGGCTTCCCAAGCGGTGGCTGTGGCGGCGGTTGCCACTGCCCTTGTCCTTGACATCACCACTGTTCATTGTGGCACAGCTGGCCTGGGGGTCACTTGCCGCGATGCCAGCGAGTGTAGAGACAATCTTGTGCTGTGAAATCTTGTAGTCCATCGCAGACAAATCGATTTCAGTGGTAGCCAGAGAATCGATCGAGGAGGAGGCCAGAAAATTTTCTGTTGTCATCGACGCGACAGAAACAAGACAGTCCTTGCCGACGGAAGCAACAACGAAAAGAGTCGGCTTCTCGTCATTGCTGCTCCGCGCAGAAATCACGGTGCCCTGCTTGATGCATTTGAGTTCTTCTCGAATATTCTTCTTGCGCTCAACCTCCTGCTTCTTCATCTTTACAGCCTTTCGCTTCTCCTCCATCTTCTTGTTGAATGCTGCTTCCTCTGCTTCCTTCTTCTTCTTGAAGGCCGCTTCCTCCGCTTCCATCTTCTTCTTGAATGCTGCATCCTCCTCGGTCAGCTCTTGTTCCTCGCGATCAATGGCGACCAACTCTTGCGAGTAGCTGGCAGCTTCGACCTCACCGTTGCTCGTCATCGTTTTGGTGGAAAAGAAACACCGGAGCAAAAAATGACGGAATGGCTCCCTGCACAATATTCACGCTAAAATGAAACACCAATAAAAATATTATTGCAGGAAAATAAGGGGAAAATCAAAGGGGGATAAGAGGACCGGAGCTATCTACTAATGGTACTAGTACTACATGTAGCTACCAGAAAGGAAGGAAGAGGGGCTTTGTGAGACCAGTGGGGGGGCAAACCGAGGACTCGAAACTAATATAGCTACCGTAGCTAGTAGAGGAAAGAGGAGCACAACCCGACAGAGAGAACTGGATTGAATCAGTTCTAAAGCAGAGGCCAGGCAACATTGAACGTGCTGCGCAAGTTGAGTGGACACTAGCATGGTGTCTTCTTTCAGAATTGGTTCAAACGATGCCAGTGTTGGGACTCGGACGCACTGACTGCGGTAAGGCCGATCCTCTTGGATCCCGCTCGGTGGTGGGGCCACACTTTGACCAGCCGATCTCAGCTCAAGCAATGGGTGGATTGCCTTGTGGGTTGTTTCACTTTTTTGTAGAACTGCTGACGAAAGATAGAAAGGTTATGGATTGATCTGATGTACTTTACTTTAGTGGAACAGTTGTGATGATAGAGAGAGTCTCAGTCGTACTAAAAACGTGATTGACACGAGCTTGTCACTAAAAAACAATGCGCCCGCTCCGCCCAGAATCTCAGCCCTCTACTGCTGAAACCTGGCGAAGAATCAAATAGCCAGATGCTCCAAACAAACCGAGCAGAATGATGAAATAAAGGATCAACCAGATCCACCCTACCGGTTCCTTGGCAAGGTCGTGAATCAGCGACTTTTTGGCTTGCTTGGCTCGATCCGAAACATGTATGGCTCCGGCAGCTCCCCAACGAATCAGAATTCCCACAACTAGGGCAGGCAACACACCCCAATACCAGCCTTCGAAAGAGCGCACCGTGATGGTCCCAAAGTCATTCCAACCCTGTCCAGTGATCCGAAAAGAGGCGGCCTGCAGGGCGTCCCCCCGGAAGTTGGGTCCGAAGTCGGTGAACCCGCTTTGCACCTACGAGAACGCAAAGAAGCCACGTACAGTGTTAAAAATGGGACAAAAGTCAAGCTTTGCTACGCAAGCGAACTAGACTTACCGGAAGACACATCGATTCAATCACGACAAGGGATTCGATGAAGAATCTGCAGGGTGAGAAGATTCCACTGAAGACAGCTAGGGCGTCGTTGTTGTAAATGGCTACAAAGAACAGGGACGAGGTCAGACATGGTTGGAATAGACCCGAAAGAACAGCATGCATGCGGGGCACTTACTCTCAAACTTCACAGGCGGGTCTGAAAATACAAAAGACGAACAAGCCAATTAGATGAGCTCTGCACGAGAGGTGCTAGCGGCAGTGAAGGGGGACACGATAAAACGTACTGGCTCCAGAGAATATGAATGACATGAGAACAATGAAGAAACCGGTTACCAGCACAACATTCTCCTGTGGGACAACGATCGGGAACAACAGCGCCCAAGAGACTGTGATCCAGCCCATCATCAAAAAGCTCACAATGTAGCTGTACCAGTGGGACAGGGAACTTCGAAGCCACAAGGCGAACAACGCGCACAAAAGGATTTGAATCGAATGTTCCAGTGTTGCCACAACGTTCACAGCTGCGAAGTATGCCTGTAACCAGGGAGACACAACAGTATTTGAGAATATGAAAGGAGAATGGAAAGGCTAAAAAGAGAGTGCACTGTAGAAAAACTAACGTTGACATTGTAGCCGCTCCCGGCTTCACGAAAGAACTCTTTCCGCTTGCTCGTGATGACTTTGGTAGCACTGAGCCCCACCAGAACAGCAATGATCACACCCAACTTGCTGGCATGCCTGCGGAGAAGGGAGAAAATGGAAGTTTCAGAAAACACCTTCTTGAGTGCTTTCGCTTTCTTGCTCTAACACTTACCCTTGCAGATCAATGATGTTGGCAGAAATCGCATATCTGAACAGCTTTGGAAATTCTGTCACCAACACTTCGACGCTTGTTGGCTCAGCAATGCTCTCATATCGAAGATCATTGAGGCTGTCCTCTCTTGTCGCTTTCACAGTGCCATCCATAATTGCTATCAAAACCACCGCACCAACAATGACGGATGTGTCGATGAGTTTCGCAAGCCAATTCCTTCCGCCAACAACAAAGAGCCTATGAATTTGATATATCAGCTGATTATGGAATGGCTTCATGATCCTCTTCTTAGGCAGGTCAAACGCCTCTGGTGCCTTGTAGATTTCTTTGCTCTCATCGGAGAGGGACCCGAAATGCTCTTTCCAGTGCGCGTAGAGAATCTCCCGTCTGGATTTGGCTCGTGCTGCATCGTTTTCGAATTCCACAGCCGTGGAGTCGCCTAGCAATGGATTTGACTCTTCGCCTTCAACAGAAGGATATACCAAACCGCTGGCCGCTCTGACAAGGTCAGCTGAATCCATTTCTTCGCTTGCCCCCCCGTTGCTTGTTGGTGCTGTCACAGCAGTGGATCCAGTCTCTTCGTCATCTTTTGGTTCCAACCGTCCAGACGAGATATCAATCAACCAATCGGCCAAAGCCTCCCCAGGCGGTAGTTCGTAGTTGAGGTCTGTGAAATACTGCTCTGCCAACATGACAGGCCCATGGTAAACTAACTTTCCTCCGACTCCCAAGAGGACCAAACTGTCAAATAATTCGAAAATAAACTTTCGAGGTTGGTGAATAACACAGCAGATTGTTGTGCCTTGCTCGGTGACAAGTGTCTTGAGGGAAGACATAACCAAAAGTGCCGAGTTGGAATCCAGCCCACTGAGGATGCCAATACGCCAGATTAGGGTGGGGGCAACACAACAGAAGGACAACAATGAGGCAAATGGAAACTTACGAAGTAGGTTCGTCCAGAAACAAAATCTTTGGCCTTGCCATGAGCTCCAGTCCAATATTGACACGCTTCTTTTCTCCTCCGGACACACCTCTCCTGTTGACATCCCCAACCATGCTGTGCATCACTCTTGACAGCCCCAGGCTAGCCATGGTCGAATCGGCCAGGTCTTCAATTTCTTGCATGGGGGTCCCTTGCGGGAGCAAAAATTTCCCACTGAATATAAGGTTCTCACGAACTGTAAGCTCCGCATAGACGATATCATCTTGGGGAACAAATCCGACAGCACTTGAATGCTCCTCAATCGACGTTTTGTGGCCATTGATATACACGGTTCCGGTTACGTCACCGTAATGAGCTCGCCCGCAAAGCGCATTCAAGAGAGACGTCTTGCCTGCGCCACTACCGCCCATCAGAGCTGTCATTGTCCCAGATCTGAGCCGACCCGTCACGTGATCGACAATTGTAATGGTAGATTTCTTCACGCTGACGGTCAGGGTTAAATCCTGAAAGGCAATGTCCACTCCATCGACAACCTCCGTGGGTCTGATTGACGCCGTTTGTTCCTCTTCCGTGATTTCCGTAAGCAGGGACGGGTACCAGGCCACAAATTCAGCCCTTGTAATTGTGGAAAAGTGGAATTTGAAGAATGCTGTGGGACGCTTCCATTTCGCCCTGTTGAATTCCGCCATGTTTTCCGGGTCGACAGCGGCTATGTCATCGTCATTCATTTTGACAGCCACGGACCCCCGCTTCACAGTTTGAGCTACGCTGACGCGCGATCTACCACTGGCATTTGTGGTGGATGATCGAGTCGATTTCTTCACCTCCGAATCGGACCCTCTCGTTTTACGAGGTGTCGCCATCGAACCACGTCGCATCCCCATGGAGAGGCGACGCATAAAGTTTGCCGGGACCGCCATCAGGGAATTGGAAGATCTTCGTCGTTGCGATGCATTGCTTTCATCCATTCCCATTCCTCCAGACGAGTTATCCAATAATAAAGAGTCATTCATGCTACCCATCATTGTAACTTGCTTTTCCTGCAGCTGCCGAAATCGCTTGATGAGTTCGTTGATTTGCACATCGGTCAAAAAGTCTGCCAAGGGCGATGTGAACAAAGATTCATGGGGAATACCATCCAAATCAATTGGTTCTCCTCGATGCTCCAGAATTTCATCGTACAATTCATCTGCCTCGTGGGATGTCGGTTCAAAATGCGAGATTTGTTCCAACACTCGCAGAAAGTAGTGTGAAAAGACCTTTCGCTTGACCGTTTCCGTCTCGGGTGGGAGCTTGGCCGCTTGATTCATTCGTTTCGAGAATTCGCGGAGTTGCACGGCGTTGAGTTCGAGCGCATGGTTGATTTCCGTGTAGGTCAATTCGCCCTTTTTCTCCGTATCCATCAAGTCAAAGAGTCGTCGAGCATCAAAGACAATCTTTCCATCATCCCGTTTGGTGTTGAGTGCCTTTTCTGCCTTGCCATCGTCCTCCGGTTTGTACGTTCCCGATTTGTGTTTGAGACGATTTTCAATGACTTCCAGTTTGGGCATTAATTTTTCCAGCTTGGCTTGACGCCGTTGGCTCCAAATGGTCTTTTTCAAATTGCTGACTTTGCGACTCTTGAGTTCTACCAAATGTTCAAACAACCCTGCATTGTATCGTTTGAATACCTCCCAAATCACCAAGATGATCATCAAACCGATCACAATAGCAAAACCTATGTATCCGTAGGGTTTTCGCCTCATGGTGGCAGCTCCCTCGGGACAGAAATCACAGGGAATCTCTGGCATCATGGTCTTTTTTTCATCATCATCAGGTAGGTAGAGCACAAGATCAGTGGCTTGTCCCATAGCAAGAATTCTTTTCGCTGATCTTGCCATGAAATAAATGAGCCAACTCACCTTGTGTGGGCAGAAAAACCCGGCTGGACATGGTAATTTGGTGACGGAATCAGGGCAGTAAAATCCGGCTTCACAGTTGTTGTAGTTGTTGTTTGTTCTATTGTCCGTGCCACTGTAGATAGATTACAATCAATAGTATGATGGTGAGAGGAAATTCGCAAACCTTCAGTTCAGTCAGTGGCAAACAAACTTACGGACAGTAAAGACCCGCATGAACATCTCCCAAACCCAGATCAATGGGGATTTGTCGAATTTCTTCACAGCTTCGTTCCTTGTCTTGAGAGCACATGTATCCTTCGGGACACGGTTTGTCGGCTTCTTCGGCAGGGCTCAATGGGGATGTCTTGGCGACCACTCCCACCTGACATCCCGCCACGACGTCGTACACGTTGCATTGAAATTCGGGTGGGAAGTCTCCTTTGTCGTAGCAGGCCACATTCTGACCTCGGCAAAAACTGTAGCAGCCACAGCTGCTGCTGCTGTCTCCATCCACAAAAGTAGTTCCATTATTGCTAGTAGCACTATCCAGCAGACCTTTGTAGGCTGCAATCAGTGCGTCGCAATTGTCGGCCGAGGCATTAAAGGAAAATGTACAGTTGTCATCCAGAACACCTCCCAGCTCGACAAACTTTTCGGGTGTCGTTTCCAAGTTGGAAGCCAACTGTTGGTAGAACTCATAGGATTGGCCTTGGACACCCACCACGGCAGCGAGGGATAAAAGGCACCACGAAGAAGATACCACCATGGCTGAATATTTTTGGTTGACAGAAGGATTCTGGCCCACAATAAGCAAGGTTTGTGAGCTGATGAAAATGACTGTCACTCTTCCACCCTTGATTTTGTGGCATTACATGTGCATGGATACTGGTACCACCAGATCCTTCGCGGCGCGAAGTTCTTTTGTCTAACTAAGCAGGTTTTTGGCGCCAGGATACTGTAGATGGTTGTACAGTACCGCTTGCGACTTGACATTAAGTCTTCAAGTTGATGACGCACCCATTGCATTGGATCAAAATTGCAGCTGCCGGCCACCGGTACGACGTTGGCGCGCCAAGCCAAGGAGAAAGATCCAAAGACTAAAACCAACCACACTCATTCGCACTTCCTCGTCTCTTTTTGACACCAACCAGTCAATTTCTTGGCTCATACCAACCAAACCGTAACCATCGACCTTCGACCATTGACTGATGAGATACAGCCATGACAACAACAGAAAACAATAACAACAATCCAAGCAACACTACTGCTACTACTGCTACTGACAATAATAATGACGACAATGAGGCGTTTATGATTCAAGTGACAGAGAATCTTCCGTCTCTGGAAGACTGTTACAATTTCGTCGTGACGGGGACCAGTGGTGCCGTGTCGACGTTTGTGGGAATTACCCGCGACAATTATCAAGGCAAACAAGTGGCCAAACTCAGTTACGAAGGATACGTTCCCATGGCGGTCAAGGAATTGCGCAAACTGTGTCGGGATGCTCGCACCAAATATTCGTCCATTGACAAGATTGCCGCCGTGCATATTTTGGGAGATTGTCCCGTGGGTCAAGCCAGTGTCATTTTGGCCGCGTCCAGTCCGCATCGACGAGATGCCATGCATTGTACCGAATACCTCATTGATGAATTGAAACGACGCATTCCCATTTGGAAACGAGAAGTATATGAAGGAGATTTGGGCAGTGTCTGGAAAGAAAATGCCGAAACCAGACAAATGGAACGATTTGATGTGTGAGGCCAAACAAAAATACTCTTCTTGTACGAAGGTTTTGTGGCGAGAAAATGGATTCACATACTCGTCAATTTGCAATTTTGGCAGAATGCATCTATTTTTATTCCTTTTTGGAACGCCAATAATTGGCTGGAACCGATTTGGGTAACAAACCAAAAGGAGGCTCTTGCCAACTGCCTCGAAAGCCTCGCTATCAAAAAAGGGATTACTAGAGGGCCAGGGTGTCATCCTCAGCTCGTAATTCTTCAATACGGCTCCACTTCTTTTTTAAAAGTACTACATGAAGTAAGTGTGTTGATAGATAGTTTCTTGAGTTGGTGGCTTTTGGGGCGCCCAGCACAAAATATCTGCAAATGAACAACCATAGCAATCTAGTCATCCAAGTGCATCCATGGAACTTCGTAGAGCTTCGGCGATGACTGTGCTTCAGCGGTCGGCAACTTTCCACCGCTCCTCGTTGAGCGCTACAGTACCCGGTTCGGCAGCGTGGTTGCAACAAGTGCAGTCTCTTAGCTCCTCGCTGTCAAAAAGCTGCCGGTATCTCGACGGTGACATACAAAGCCTGCACAACAATATTATGAGCGAAACCTATCATACGCAAGTGACTGGTGATAAAGGACGGAATACAAGTAAGGTACTATTCTTTTTTAAAGTGTTACAACCTTCTTTCGTTGCTGCACACATCACATTCTCGTGTTCTCGATACAGTGGCTACTCGTGGAAAGTACACACCAACGGAGTTCAGATCTCTTGTTCTTTGAACTTTTGCTCCACGTGCGCTTGAAAGGACTCATTCATGAGGCGATAATTGCGATTCAATGTCTTGTAAGGCAATCCAAGACCAAGCGTTGGAAGAAGTCCTCCAAAGTGTTCGGCGTGAATAAGTCTGGTCGTGGTATCGTCGATGCGTTCCAACCGCATGGTGTGATGACCCGAGAACAAACAACCGCTGGCAACAGATCCTCGCCAAGTCAACAGTCGAACGGGCTGTTGCTGTTTTTTATCGTCACCATGAAGGATCTCGCCAAACACAAAGTCAAATGTTTGCCAATCCTTGTCGTTGCCTTCATAGCACGCCTTGAGAATTCCAGGCATGCCTTCCGCGGGTGTGGCAGACGCATCTTTGGTTGCCAAGAGGGTCCATTTGTTCCACTGTTTCCAGTCTTGAAGATCAAACAGTGTCTTCCAGACAAAGTCAATGGGAACGGCAATCTCGGTGGTGTGGGAAATGTTGTGCTTGGAGGACATCGTGGTGGGTGCTTTTGTTCGAATTCTTAGAGTTGGAAAGAGGATTTTGTGAGAAAGAAAAAAGCTTGGTTGAAAAAGCAAAACTTACGGAGAGGTCAGGTAAGTCGTGGTTTGCAGACCTCCCCGATGAAACGATCGTGCTGCATCTGCGATTTCAACAAAAGTAACCAATTTGTGGCAAAAAATGATGTTCAATTTCAGCTTTTTACCAAATGCGGGACGTTCCGACAAAATCCATTCGGACGCGCTCACAAAGGATGTTCTGGAAGCTGGAAGGGACCCAAAATCCTAGAGGGTCCAGTGCAATACAGCTAGCTAGTAGAGCTTCCTTATGCCCACGCAAAACAATGGACCAACCCAGGGTGGGATAGAGGTAGATTGCATGCAGAGATGAAGTTCGAAGCCAGCCATTTGCACCATGTGGAGTGGATAATCGTGATTAAACCAACTGCTGGTCCTAGCTAGATGGCGGTGGGGCAATGGCAGGCTCTGTCTTTGTTGCCCGCTACCGGTGGCGAGTAAACCAACCAACCAACCAATATAGCACCTGAATGTTGGTCTCTAGCTAGAGCTAGTTAGCCCTCTACTAGTATCTACTACGATTGTAGTGGAAGCGTAGACATGCATCTTCTGTTTTCGAGAGCACAAGTTCAGTCTATCTGAGCATGCCTTTAGCCACAAGAAGCCACAGAGCAAAGCATTCTCTCATTCCACATACCGTGACCTACTGATGCACATGAAGTATGCATAGAAGTACTCAGCTCAGTTGCTTTGACCATGACTTGAATACCACTAGAGAGTCGCTCACCGATCTGAAGAGTCGTTTACAACTCTAATCATTCGCTGAACAGCGGCCGCGCCAAAGCGTCCCCAGGTTCTTATGCAAGAATTCGGCAGTTGTCCAATTCAAATGTGTGCTCATTGTGATATCGTTGAGTCAGATAACGCTGAAGTCGCGCCACAAGATTGATCGTTGCGACTTCAAAATTGGGTATATGAAATAGTTCCGTGAGCCTCCGTCCCTCAAACCCTTGGATTTCTTCTCCAATTCTCCAACTATCAGCCAGTTCTTGGCTGACAATTTTCCGGAGCATGGAGTAGCAAAAGTTGGCAAAACTTGGTGTGTGGAGCCACACAGTTTCTTTGTACCGAGCAGGATAGAAACTCCATAGCTCATGTACTGCCTTTTCAAATAGCTTAATATCAAAATTGTGAGATCCCATTCCCTCACATTCACTAAGTGTTGCCAATCCAGTGCGAATGGAATGGAAGTCTGTGGCGGCACATCTCATCATATAGTAGAATCCACCTTGAAAGGTCCGCCATTGCTCCCGTGTCCTGACCACAGATGGGTTCAATTTTTCATAGTCGCAGGACCATGAATAGGTTCCATGGAACGGCAGGTACGTAAGTTCCAAGAGGAAGCCTGGCTGCAAATTCATAAAGGCAAGAATCGTGTCCAAACCATCTTGCGCCGTGTCTATGATCTTCAATTCCTCGCGAAAGCACTGCATCTTGTAGGCCGTATCCAAGGCACGATCCATATTTTCACCCCGGACAATGGCCAAATGAGCAATCTCAAAGTCCGGCAAAGTCTTTAGATCATCTCTTCCAGCAATGGCATTTTTGATGGCTTCTGCGCGTTCCTTCTCCACTTGAGAGAGGGCCATGATATCTCGCTGAAAGTTCATCTTTGTCTTGCTGTTCTGAAAAGAAGTACCGGTACCGTAATGGTTCTAGCTAGGAAGATGAAAATTAATGGAATGGATTGGAATGTCGCCTGCTCTTGGCTTCCGTTTGTGGCGTAGGGCGTGGCTTGGTACGGCACTGCTGCCGTTTTTGGATGATGACCGAGACAGCTCCAAGATCCGCTCCAAGCAGGTGCAAAACAGTTTTTTTACTGTGGTGCTGTGACTATGTCATACAAGGGCAAGGTAGCACCCGGGAGGCCGAGGTTAACATTAGATGGACGGCCGTAGTTAACCCCCGGAGGGGTCTTTACGGTGGGTCGGCCGGCTTATGAATGAACGTTTTAACAACAAGTACAAGATTTTTAGCTGCTGCGCTGCAATGCATATGTGTCACTCCGTGATTCTCTTCAGGCTCGGCTCTGGTATTAGATTGTGGTTGTGGAGCTGGAAAGGAGATCATGCATCATGGCGGTTGGTGTTTCGGGCACTGATTTTGAGAACGAAGTGTTACGAAAATCAGTCATTTGGCCCATTTTGATGTTGAACAGCACAATTTCTTGAAAACCAAAATGGAAAGAGTCCTGACCAGCCAGCCAACACCGACTTCCACCATAACATGTTTTCTCACAGCAGTGACAACCATTGCATCACAGAATGCATGCCAAGGTGTGCTGGATATGAGCCAATTGGCGGTTGGTTACTGAAGTGTCAGATTTTTGAGACTCTGAATGGAATAATAGTGGTGGTTTTGGACACTGATTTTGAGAACATAGTGTTACGAAAATCAGTCGTTTGACCCATTTTGATGTTGAACAGTACAATTTCTTGAAACCAAAATGGAAAGAGTCCTGACCAGCCAGCCAACACCGACTTCTACCATAACATGTTTTCTCAGAGCAGTGACAACCATTTGCATCACAGAATGCATGCCAAGGTGTGCTGGATATGAGCCAATTGGCGGTTGGTTACTGAAGTGTCAGATTTTTGAGACTCTGAACGGAATTATAATGGTGGTTTCGAGCACTGATTTTGAGAACGAAGTGTTACGAAAATCAGTCGTTTGGAAAAATGAGATTGTCATAGTGAAATGAGAGTGATTCGGCACATTGAAGCATATCTTGAAGCATGACTGAAAAATCTTCAGCTTCAACGTAGAATGACTTGCTTACAAGAGCGGACCAAACGGCTTCTTTGCTTGCACTGTGAATAAGTAAAGCTTGTATATTCCACTTCTAGATAACACACTTCCTATTCAATCCTGTGATAATTCAACTATGAGATCAACGGAAGCTTGGATTAAGGATGCATTAAAGAATCCAAATATGTACAACCTTCTACATGCACAAACAAACCGCTATGCTCCCCGACTCACTAAGCGACGAAGGATTTCAAAACAAAAAAGAAAAAGTAAATTCAATTTCAGCGATTGCTTTCTGTAACACTTTGTTGTGAGAATGACTGATTTCTAGAACATCACGTTATGAGAATCACTAATTTCTAAAACATCATTACCACTGATTTCTAGAACATCATGTTATGAAAATTAGTCAAAAGGACATAGTCATCAGAGGAAACTGTACCTTAAATCCTTTTATGACCCTAACCTTTCAGTTAACTGTTATCCGATGGCTTGCTCTATGCTATCTATGTACTTGAGTATTGTATAACCCTATGTAGCCATCCAGTTCATCTAAGTAATAATCCAATTTTTGCCTATGTGCACTTTTGGATAAAAAGTATCTATACTTGAGGAATTTTATCCATTAAGTGTCCGACTTGAAGATGTTGCCTGCTCTCTACATAAAATATATTCTAATCATGTATATTACCCCAATGATCAAAACACCTAAAATGCCAATTTGTGACTATTTTCTCAACAAGACAGACATTATTGTGACACGCTGACAGACCCCTCTGGGTTGATTACAAGAATGTTGCAGCGCAGCGTAGCAGCGACTCGACTCTGACTTACTTGATCAACTCGGCAACAGTTACTGAGGACTCGACTCGACTCGACTCGACTCACTCATCACTCAATGCTGTCAATTAGAAGCGCGCTAAGCTGTAAACATCACAAATGTTGTTGCCTCTAACCGAGGATGGAAAGTCTTTCAAAGTTGGACAGAGCAGACGTTCAGGAAGAATAGGAAGTTTCGGTACCTGGCAGCGGATATGGGTACTAGCTCTAGTATGTGCGGTATCCTTGCATGCAAGGGAAAAGTAACCTTTGCTTTTTCTTTAGAAGGTTAGACACCGTGACTCCGATCAACCCGGAGGTACCGGTAGGTACCATTAATATGTTCATGAGCTGTCCCGTCATCATACTATTGTCAGGAGGTTGAAACAGGAAGCTGCCAGATAGATACCGCCGGACAGACATCCTGAAGCGGACCAGAGAATAAGGCTTAATGGAATATCATATATGCATTGCCCATTGGCTACGGTTGATCTTTCTCGGCACATTAGTAAATTTACTTTAGCTTTTCTGCTTACACATTAATAATAGTTTTTAGCAGATCCCATTGTCACCACACCTCTAGAATGTCGCTCTTCCTCTGCATGAGGTGTTCCACGTAACTGCATGCACCCCATTCTGAGTAGGCCTCGATAGCGTTGTTGAGATGATTCTTTGCCTTGCGGCTGTGCTCCGTAGTCCTGCCAACTCGATGATAAGCCATGGAAGCACGTTCGTGGGCAAGTGCAAGAAACTGCCAGATTCCCCGATCAGCCGCATTGTCAATGGCCAGCTTGAAAGATGCAACTGCTTCATTAAGTTTCCCGTTGAATGCCTCGAGTTCTCCATTCAGAAGATGTAGCTTGTGCATAATATTTTCGGGGCAAACTTCAGCAAGAATCTTGAGCTGCTTCAGGCTGCGACGTGCCGATGACACTAGCCGTTGTCGTCGATTGCCCTTCAAACGACGAGCCGCTTCCAGCGCTGTTAGACCGTCGTAAACATGGAGAATGGTGATATAGATAGACGCTTTGACTACCCCCTTGACTTTGCGCGCGCTGTTGGCGCTTGCCAACGCCTTGTCAATGTCTCCGAAATGATAGGCCAACTGCATTTGGATGGCAGACGACGAGAATTGGTAATACTCCCAATCATTCATGGCGTCTTTTGAGCCATCAATCGACGACAACGCCGGAAACGGGCTCTCAGACCTTCCCATAAGATGGTCCACGTGTTGCTTCTCCAACTTGGTCAAAGAAAGCCATGGGCCTTGGACAGTCATGATCTTTTCGCATTGAGATATCCGGCGATCATATGCAGGAAGTCTCTCCCCCGCGACAAAACTGTTGGTAAGGCTTGTGTAGGACGCCACCATTGCCGTCTCAAGGTCTCCAGTATCCAATGCTGTATCGATGGCTGTCCGTAGAGATGAAGTAGTTGGTCCAACAGGAAGCTTCCAAGGGTAGACCATACCATAGGAGTAGCAGCAGACCTTGGGCATGATTTGAGCTCGGCAACGAGGAAATCGTTTCATCAGCTTCATTCCCAGCTTGGCATAACGGTATCCGTCATCATAGTCACCGAGGGAACAGAGGACAAGGCCATACGCGGCCAGCGAGGCGCACGACAGCTCAGAAACTCCATACTTGAGTGTCAACTTGACCCCACGAAGGATCACGGCTGGGAAGTAGTCCGATGCCTCAAAGCAGCTGTACCGAAGTAGGTGCCATAGGATGGACACCGTGGCAGTCTTCTCTGCATCATATACATCAAGCAATGGCAGGTTACAGATGTCTTCGTCAGACATCGAACGCAACTGCCATTTGACCTTCAGCTGCTCAGAGACACCAAAGACCAATCTCGTTCTGGTGGGGAACTTTTCCCCGAGCGTTCCGAGCAGCTGGAAACACAGATCCATGGCTTCATGTGAATTGTAGCTCTTCTTGTCTAGTTTGAGGAGAGGGATCAAATTTGCCCTCATCTGGTCGCTGGGCGACGATTGGCACTTGCCGAGGATTTCCGTAATTGTCGCATTCATGGCCTCATAGTCTTCGGCACAGCATTCTGCTTCGGCTCGGGAGCAATACAACTCCAGACTGAGACGATACTGATCTTGCCAATGTCGGGACGAAAGCAGCTGTGAAGCTACATCAAGATAGGTGCGAGCAGCTTCAAAGTCCGCTAGCTTGTTGGCTTTCTTACCAGCCCTCGTAAACAGCCGCGGCATGCCCTGTTTGTCAATATCGTCGGCTAAGAGCTCAATTCCTGGGATCAGTTGATTCACTGCAAGGAACAGATTTTGATCCAGTGTTTCTGGGCTTAATCGGTCAAGGAGCGCCCGTCCAATTTGCCAATGCTCTTTGATTCGTTCATCTTCTGGGATCAGATTGTACGCAGCTTGTTGCACACGATCGTGCCGAAAGGCGTACCTTCCGGGTCGATCCGGCAGCTGCTCCAAAATCAAATCCTCCTGGATGGCCAGCGCAAGCATAACCTTCACTCTGTCATGATCATAGCCGCCGAAATTGTCCCCGTCCCCGCGCTTCTCGGAGAAACCACCGCGTAGCGCCACTACAAGAACCTCAAGATCAACTTCCGCTCCGATACATGCCATTTTCTTGAGGAGACCTTGAAAGGTCCCAGGGAGCCGCTGAATCTGCTGAGAGGCCATATCTTCGACATTTAGACGTTGTCGTACCTCGAGTTCATACCACTTGTCGTCTTCCCACATCCAATTCAAATCATGATATCGTTTGTTATAGCTTCCCGACGATGCCCGCCTTTCTGCCACTAGAACACCTGACTCAAGCAGTTCTTTCAGATAGCGTAAAACAAAGTCAACGTTTCCCCGTCGACTCTTCTCATGAACGATTTCCGCCAGAGGGAGACAAAGTTCCTTTCGCTGACGTAGCACCCGCGAGAGCAATGCATCGGTATCTGATATACTCAAGTTCTCAACAAGGATACGAAGAATGTTGGTGTTCTTTTCATCTTCCAATCGATCCAGCATAATGGTACACGGATGGTCTTGTGGTGCACCGTTTGACTGATACACGCCGACGACGGTTAAGCAAGCAATATCATCAGCAATTCTGGTGTTGGTTTCAATCAATGTTTCCAGCAGACTCAGCGCCCTGGTGCCCGCGAACTGTAGATCATCCATGACTAAAACAACAGGTTGCTTAATGGCTCTGAAGAACTTGGAAAGTGCGACCTTTACCCGATCCTGGCAAAGCTGCTGAACAGAACCCGCCCCCTTGTCGTTTGAATGAAGTCCCCAAAATCGGGCCAATCCAGGAGCCATCGAGGCAAGAACTTGGCAATATTCCAAACCCACCTCGTCCAGTATCCTTTTAGAAGGTGGCAGCGGATTGTACGTGTCCTTCTTTTGCTTCTCTTCGAGTGCCATTGCTAGCTGGTTCAAGGCGTTTGTGATGGGACCGCAGGGATGAGCGGTTGTAGCATATTGATCAAATTTGCCAAGGGCGAAATAACCATTGTGTCGCTTGACATAATCCCGCAATGCTGTTTTGACTAACGCGCTCTTTCCTGTGAGTTTGCGGGGAAGAGCGTCAGAGATGTGGCAGCCACGCACGACAAGCCCTTCAACTACAGTACACTACGTACCCGTTCCAAAGTCTCCTTGCACTAAGATAAGCTCAGGTTGGTCACCGGCAGCTCGATCGATTCGACGCTTAAAAGCCTCCTGGAGGACGACTATCTCCTCGTCGCGTCCAAACAGAACACCTTCATGGAGAAAGCTCCAGTCTGCTTTCAAGCTTTTTCGGAGTGGATCTTCTTCCTGCTTGTTCGCCTTGAAAGCCACAATCTTTCTCCGCGGTGAACGTGACCGCGAACGTGACCTCGAACGCCGTGACCGAGATGCTCTTGTTTCGTCGGCGGCAATGCGCTTGTAGCCCTGCTGTCGGGTGTGTTCCCCGTACGGAGGCATCTCGAGGGTGGTTTCACACAATTTCGAGACGACAAACTGACGACTTCTGAAATGAACTGCTGCTGAGCCTCTTATCTGGTCTTCTGTGCCATGGTTCCAGTAATGCTCATCAGCCACTTTGTTTGTACAGTTTCTGCGCGAGTCTCCGACGGCTGGAGTTAATGAATGTGGCAGCCATCGCTGAATTCGTAGAGCTGTGCACACTCCCACCAAAAACGTGAGGAACGGATCACCAGAAAACTAATATTCCACGCCACGCGCCCTCCACCTTCCAGCTTCGGACTTTGGCCTCCATCTTTTACTGAATAATTTTAGCGGAGAGCGAAGTTATCTACGGAAGGCGGCGAGGGGTCTAAGGGATCTGCGAGTGGTACGGGTACTCTTACGATAACTATCAAATACAACTAGCCTTTACAGCAGCTATGGGGGTTTAGAGTAGTGGCTCATCTACGGGACCTTAGCTAGCTAGGCAAAGAATTCATTTTTTTCGGGTACCGATAGTAAATCAAAACTGAACAAACTCAATCTGTGATACCTTGGTTACAACGACCGGTACATGTAGAACTTGATCATCTTGAGGCGCAATCTCGAACTTTTGTCGCGTGGATGCCTCTGTATGAATATGGCCTAGCTCGAGGTTTCAAGATAGGTAGAGCCTCACGAAGAGTGAAGATTGTTTGCCGCCGGATATTGTGTTTTTGTTGGGTTTTGTGTAGATTGTTTTTACTCCGCGGAGGACGCATGGCGTCTATCCTGCAGTGATGATCCCTGGTTCCACATCCAGCTTCCCCCTCAACATGCAGATCCCTGACTTCATTGCGTTGCCGACTCATCAGGTCCATGCAAGACCTTCAAGTTGTGCTGTTTGTCGATAAGGATCGAGATCTGCTCTTCGGCATCGACACCGTTGGTCACTGTAACGGAGTACTTGCCTGGAAACAGCACCTGCAACCCGTCCGAGTCGTACAGCTGGAACACAGTTGGCGATATCTCAAATGCAACTGTTCGAGATACTGTCGGCTGTAGATGCACCCGTTCAAAACCAAATAGCTGTTTCCGCAATTTCGAAGCTGGCTGCCTCTTCGAGAGCGTACTGGGTGGCGAAAAGAATGCCATTACGATCTCGCTCCCTGGACGACTTCCCGTGTTTGTGACGTTTGTTTGTAGCGCCAGTGTTTGTTTGCCCTTGCCCTTGTGGACTACCAGTTTGCTCAAGTCAAATGAAGTCAAAGGGTTCAGTCCGTGACCAAAAGGATACTGAGGGGTGCCTTGAAAGTAGCGATAAGTGCGTCCTGGTGGTCGGCTCATTGAAAAATCCAGCATGTTCAGGTCTTCTTGAATGGAATCGTGATACCACGTAATGGCCAATTTTCCCCATGCTCTGGCGTTCTTCCCAAAAAGAACATCCGGCAGAATTTCACCAGCATATCGGCCAGGGTAACCGGCCGAGATCACCGCTGCTGCCTGGTTGACGATGGCGTCTAATCCAATCATGCCCCCGTGAAGTAGAACGGTGACAATCTTGTCATTCACTTTTGCAATCTCTTGTAAAAGTTCGACTTGGATGGCCGGCAGCCGAATGTCGGGACGATCAATAAACTCGGCTTCCATGTGAAGATTGTTGCCACCGACATAAATCACCACGTCTGCTTTTTTGGCCACGTCAATGGCCTCTGCAAAGCCAGTCTTGTCGTTACCGTTCACCGAACAACCCTTGGCGGCGCCGAGTCCCTTGCCTTGATACTTAGAGACGGCCTCGACAAATCCAGCATGAAAGGTCGTGACGCAACTGGGATTGTCTTTGGGACAAAGTTGTCCGAGATAGTTCCCAGCCATGGTGATGTTGTCGTACAAGTGAGGTCCAATCAATGCAATGGAGTATTTGGTAGGGTCAATCGGAACAATCTTGTTGTCGTTCTTGAGCAGGACAAGACCTTGAGCAGTAGCCTCCTTGGCCAACTTGACATGATCTGGCTGTTGTACAGTACTCGGTGGAATGTTCCAGAATGGCTGATCCTCGATAGGATCAAAGAGTCCCAATCGAAATCGAACTCCCAAGGCATTCCGAAGCGCCCGATCCACTAGCTCTTCGTCAATCAGACCGCTCTGAACAGCACTGGGGACTTCATCAATGTAGTGTCCTCCAGTGGCAAACATATTGCCCTTGGTCCATGCCGCCGATTCAATATCGCAGCCCGCCTGCAGAGCCAATTGAACCGTTTCCGGCCAATCTTTGGCGTAGTGATGAGTCGTGACAATCTTTTCCAACGCGTGCGAATCCGAAGTGACATAGCCACGAAACTTCCACTGCTGTCGAACGACCCGTTGCAACAAGTACTCGTGAGCACATGCGGGAACGCCATTGATGCGGTTGTAACTGCACATGATCCCCGCGGCGCCTCCTTCCACGACGGCTTGTCGAAAGGCTGCGAGATACGAGGCAGCCCAATCATGCATGGATATTTTGGCATTGACCGAATAACGGGTAATATTTCCGTGCTTTTTATCCCATTTTCCGTCGGGAGTCCAATGCGGACCTTCTAGCGAGTTGGCGTCCAAGTGCTTGAGAGTGGCAACCGCCTGAAAATAGCGATCATCCACTTGAGAATTGTTTTGCAATCCCAGAGTGTACAGTGTGCCAAAGACACCCACCAAGAATGGATCTTCCGATGGCGTTTCCAGATTGCGTCCCCAGCGAGGATCTCGGACAATGTTGAGATTGGGACTCCAGCAATCCAATCCCATGTGAGGAAGGTTTCTATCATCGTGATTTTCTCCTACATTTTGCAGCCAGAGAGCTCTCAGTTCCAAGCCAATAGCCGTTCCCATGGTTTTCCAAATGGTCCTGTTAAAGGTGGGACCTAACGAGTTTGGATTGGGGAAACTTGTGGGACATCGGCCATCTGGAGCGCAGCGACTTTGCACGCCATGCATGCAATTGCCACCCCAATCAAACTCGGGAATGCCGAGTCGACTAATGTTGCCCTTGGGGGATTCTCTAGCCACCAGCAGGTACGGCTTTTCTTGTAACGTCAAGCGACTGATAATGTCGTCCAACCGTTCGTCCAATGGCAAGGATGCATTGCAGAAAGGGAACCAATCGAGAGGTGGCTTGCAACCACGGGGAATCTGATCGGTGTGTGCTCCTTCACTCAGATGTAGCAAAGGAACCACCACCAGCAGCAGGAGTAGCGGTAGCATTGTCAGGTCTCTTTGGAATCGAATCGGGGGCTTTGGTAGTAGTGGGGAAGTTTGACTGTTTCCAAGGAAAGGTATCAGACGCTTCCTCATCATCGTTGCCTCTCATCTCTCATCTCTCGTCTTCGGTTGGATCCAGGGTTTGACACTTTCCCAAAACGGAGAAGATATCATTTTAGCGTTCGGGTTCAAAATGATCGGTCAAACCGAGAATCAAGGACTTAGGAACCTGATTTGTTTGAGTTGCTTCAAACGTGGATACGACTCCCACCACTTTTCTTCGTTTTTTGAGGGGCTGGCCAAATTTTTCGAGGCCATCTGGCTCATGCTCTTCTTTCGATTGGATCGTATTTTCTTGCTTGCATTGAGATGCAAGATGCAGGGTAATACCGTACTTCTTCTGCTGATTCAGTCCAAGGAGAAAGCAAACGTAGAACATGATCTGCGGCTGTTTGTGCCTTCTTTGCGTGAGTAAGCTGATTATTGCATCACACTGGCATTAATGAAGAAGGGTTGGTGGCATTGCTAAAGTTAAAGATTGGCGGGAAGAGGACTACAGAATCCAAGCTGTTTGCATTGTGATTTCCAGTATCTTCCGTCTCGTTGCAAGCTACCGGTAGCTAGAGTGTACGGCGGTGTCATTTGGCCTCGAGGTTCTTTTTAAAAAGGTTCAATTCTTCTCGCAACCGTCTGCTGCGAGAATAACAGCAATGACTTAGTTTGATTCCTTTAGCTGAGAAATCTGCACTCTATGATTGTTACTTTTTGGGTTGTCTCGACCATCATCTATTGGCGACCTCGGGAAACATTGGCTGACTGAGCCGGATGGTGATTCCTTTTGCAGAAAGTGTGACCCGAAAGCACCAAATCTACTGACGGACTGTTTGTCTGTGTTATTACTTTTGATAGCTGGCCTCTGTCGGACCTCTTGGTGACTACCGTACCAGTGACGCCGACGACCAATTCCAAGCGAACTGATGCTGAAGCTTAATTAAGCTGGATGGTGAGTCTGAGTCAGTGCCTGTATTTTAACCGAATCAACTGCGTTGTCCAAACCTCCACTCATCAAATGAATTATTCCTTCCTCCAGCCGCGTTCCTCTCTGCAATCCTGGCAAAGGAAATGGGATTGTTGCGCTTCAGGGCTGTTGAAGCAACCATCAAGTCTTCTAGTAGGGATGCACTGGGAACAACACGACAATCAACAATGATTTTCGGCATGAATGGGTGGGAGAATGGATGTTAAGTGTGTCGTTGATAGAGTCTGGTGTCACCCAGGTTGTCAGAAGCAAGGAAAATACCATCGGGCGTTTGGCGCAGTTGGCAGCGCGCATGCTTAGCAATAATCTTCAGAGCTAATATGCATGAGGTCATGGGTTCAATTCCCATAATGTCCAATGCGGCTTCTTTTTAGACCTTTTGCACAGCATTCAAAGTTTTTGACCACCTCTTTTGCGGTCTTGGCGAGTGGAGGTTATTGATAAATAGTACAGATGTGTATATAGTAAAATATTACTGTGACGGACCCTACTATAGTTGGCGATACTTAGGCGAATTCAAATTTTGACACCTAACTCCTCCGTGTGTCGTTGGGGTCTCTGTTATGGCCTTGGAAGACTTATTCGCTGAGGTGCACCGTACTTCGTGTCTCAAAAGGTACGCCTCACAATTTGATTCCGTGTCAAGTCGAGTCATTGAAGATACAGTCCATTACAGTAAGACACTGCATCACTATGTTGCTTACTGCTAGTAATGCATTTAAAGATGGCTAGATTTAACTCGCTACCCTTACAATGAAATTGAGGAAACCAGGCAGACTTATAAACTCAAATATGTTTTGTTGAGGATAAACACAGGGAAGACCAAAACCAGTACTATCTTGTGAAGAAGATACCTGTCCAGTGGCATCCTGGACAACTCATAATGGAAAAGCTGAGCCCATGACCCTGATATGACTTGGATTCTGGAGAAATGCTGGTGGGGAGTCAGGCACAGCAATGAATGGTACAGTGAAGTGTTGTCTGAACTGGCATGGCAAGTGTATGAACATGAACCTGTCACAGGAAAGAGATGTGCAGAGATGTAACAAACCACTTATGAGAGGTGCCTTCACCAGCAAGGTATTGGTGAGACCATATTGAAGTCAAGTCTTGTTACTTACAGAGTGGGAAAGTGGTTTGACACAGTGTGTTGGAGCCAGACAAATATAACCTGAGTGGAATGACAATCAGTATTGAGCAGTACATTATCAACAGAGCTGCATTCACTCTCCATCATGGTGGCTACTCTTACCCAATGTATTGAATATTTGTCAGCTCTGAAAGAAGGAAGCAGAGATTGTAAGACTTGTTGTTGTTTGTTATCCATTAGTGGCAAAGTAAGAATAGTAACAATAGTGGATAACTTACAAGATACAGTGTCAAACCAGTCAGACACAGTAGTTGCTTGCTCATTGTGGATGGCATGAGTGCACTTCTCTCCCATAGGGCAGCTGACATGAAATTCCTCTCTCTGTTTGCATCTGCACAATAGTCTCTCTTGCAGGTAGCAGCAACTCCTTCTACAGCAACAACATGATCCTTTTTAAGGAAACCACATCTCTTGCAGTACTTCCTACCTTGAAGCGCCGCCTTGTTGGTCTTGGTGGAGCTGTGTTGCAGACAGTCATGCAACGTCAAAGGCAGCAATATTGTAGATTTTTCAAACATGCACAGCCACAGCACCAACTGTAACCTATGCATTCAGGACGTTGGATCACCAAATGGAGTACTTCCACTGTTGTTGTATTGGGCTGGGTTGTCCATCAAGCTCACGTGATCTCCCCTTCCTCTCGGTGGCGTAACCAACTCTCGCCTGTGTCTCACTGTCGTTCGCAACCTTCTTGATCTAATTTCTTATACTGAACTTCGTCGGTTTCTGATCGTCACGTGTCGGCTCAAAGCAAGGCCCTGCTTAATCTTCTCGTTCTGTTTGTTTCTAACTGGCAGGTAGGTCGACGTTAGTGTGTTGAATGGACTCGACTTTGTATCGAACTGTGTCATATCGTGCCTGCACCAGACTTGCTCCCGCATAGCCTCTCTGACTTGTCCTCTACTCCACAGTGGCAACATTCGAAATTCGCCTGGACACTCATCCCCTTTTCTCTTGAGTGTGTTTTCGCGCTCAATGCCATCAGCTGTGTCGTATGTTGGCCTCGCTGGTCTCGTGAATGATACCCTGTGCAGTGACGACGAAATCCTTCTTTGTCCACCTCACAAGGCACCGCCTTTCATCCGTGCTTGAGTCTCGACACTCAAGCTTACGACCAACTCACTCTAACACTTGCACTCGGCTATTTCAAAATCTTTCGCGACTCTCGACATCCACGCTTTCCCTCATACTGGAAGCTCTACAAGGCCACAATATGACTCTACCTCCGCCATTGTCTCCCACTTCTGCTTATCTGGAAGCGTCTTCAGACCATTGAACTCGCTTCCCTCCCACGACTGTCATACGACCTTTCATCAACCAAACTCTCAGAGGCCCACACAGCTCTCGGCTAGAACGTCCATCTACTCAGCACCCCCAAGTATATCAGTGCAACAGGACTGACCCGATATGGCGAGCCTATTGTACGAGTGTCAGCCTTCCGTCACACCCTGCGTATCGTGTGTCACGGCAGCATTCCTGTGCTTGTTCTGCTCACCCACTCTCTTCCTGTTTACGAGATCCTCGGCTATCCCGATTTACCCAATTACCTCGTGATCGCTCATCTAAATTCCTTCTTCTCATACCCCTCGACAAACATCAATAGCGTCGAATTCTTCCTCCCCTGCCAACCTTCAGACAGGCTCTCCAAATCCGCCTCGCACGTTCTGCCACTCTTTTTCTCGCTCGCGTACTCTAGTGAAACGCGCTCCTCTACTTAACCCTCTCTCGAATCAGCGATTGGCTTCTTCTCACCGCCCACAAACTCCAGCACCCACTCTCGAGCCCTCTCCTCCACTGCACCAGGTTAGACTTGCAGGCGCTGTTGTGCATTAGTGTGACCATCTTTTGTCGCTATGCACTCCTCCTGTCCATCTCTGGCGCCCGTTCTCCTGTGCTAACTACAATTCTTTTGGTAGGGAGAATTCGTGCTCAATGTTCTCCATGATGGTTTCCCCCGTGGCTCTCTTGTGCATACCAGTTCGGGGGGCTCGGCGGGAGTACACCGTTAGGTCATCACTGTGACGCGGGAGTCCTTGCTCGGACAAATCTCTGCCATTGTGTCTATCGACGACGCAGCACTTATACACACGTTCTCTGGGACACTCCATCACCCAAGCAGCTTACCTATCCTATATTTGACATATTGCTATATCAGTTGCATCCTTGTAGCCGGTCTTATAGACTTGCAACTCTCTATCTATGCCTGGTCGTTTCACTCTGTCTCTTGAGTGATAAGTAACGTATCCACATTTTACACGTGACCAGACTCGTCCTGGTGTGAGCCCCCCTGTGTTGTAGGCCCTAAAATGAAACAGTGGAGAAAGTGCATAAACCCAGGTTTTTCCAGCTGCAGATGGATTCTGGAATATAAGCCACTCAATCATTTGTGACTACAAGCCACCTTACCCTGATCTTTTCGACTCTACTTTGGTGCCTGGACTACAGCTGTGAGTGTCCCAAGATGCGATGAAGCAGGTCAGTACATGGTTTCCAGAGTTTTGGGGTCGGCAAACACTCGATTATGGTATTTGTTCGCTGACGACTTCTCGGAGCCATAGCGTAGTGACGAGTGTGCTCTAGTGCCTCGACCATCTTGGCGGTCCTTCCAGATCTAGTAATCGGTCACTCTCATTAGTCGGCCAATAGCTATGTTTGAAGCTGTAGAATGACTTGGTAAACTATATAACAACTCCCCAAATCGCTACCAGCCATCGATAGCCATGACATAACCCAGTACTTGATTTCGTGTCCAATCAGTAATCTCGTTAGCTTCCAACTTGCGTACTGCATAAATTTAAAGTTTCCGGCCGTGTCGAAATCACCCACTGGTGCGAGCGCCAACAATTTCGATTAGGTCTCGGGTCCTTGGTAGGTACGAACAACTCATGTTCGGCTTTTGTGTGCCTCTATGGTACCTGGTCGATTCATGCTCGACACTTCTAGTGCTGTGCAAGAATACACCGGATCAGAGTGACGAGTTGCCTCTCTTTTCATGGAACACCTGCGCTTAAACTTGATGGGCTCCATCATCCAACTGCGCCTAAACTATCTTCTCTCATATCCAGCGCATCTCGTGATGCGAATTCTCTCGTGGCGTGACCGTACATATGTAGACACAAATCACGAGCATCACTAATGACTCTCTCCAACGGAAGATGGCCTAAGCTTGTAGCCGAGAGCAGATCCACCCTCACGCAGACTTCTATCCGTCTCGCGCCATATGCCAGCGTTTGAACAGTGATACAACGCTTCTATAAGTGTGGTGCCGCGTGAGGGTACGTGACTTGCTAATCATTATTGCTCATCATGGCTATCCTATATTGCACGATAAGCATTGTTCAACTACAAATCCGCTATTACGACGTTCGCAAATCCCTTATGAATCCAACGAGTGTATGTCTTCGTCTGCTATGCTGATAGCTTCCTGTTTCTCTCAGGTTCATCTGTGCGCATCGAAGGGATGAGAGGTCTTTTTATCTCGCTGAAAAGTGTCGATTTCGGGAGCCTCCCTCAGGCTTTCCGTAAAGGGAACAAACCCCATCCAGTTATCATTCTCGAAACTATCTTCAGGTTTCGATAACCTAATGCATTTGCTACAGGCTCTAGCGGCGATAATACATAGCCCTACTGCCCATTCGGTATCTCTCCTCAAATCAGTTCGACGAGATATCTTGTGCACACAAGCTCAATGCTGATAGAGTTTTCGGTTCCCCCAATTCCGTAAACAGTGCTCGCTGTGGCTCCGAGGTACATTCCTCGCATTTCTGTCTCATCGGCTTTTCGTGGCGAACATTGTTTTACAAGCCATCAAGCGGTAACAGTTGCCACAGTACCGAACACAACTCAGATTCCGCTTTTGCACTACACTACCTTCGGAGAGCATAGTGTTAGAGAAGATCTTGATCGACGCTCTCTGTGAGCCTTCTTGATTAGAGAAATTGAAATTAGCTCACTGATTATTAGTCTCATTCGAAAGCTCATCGCAGAAAACAAGGGGATCCCAAGCAGATTCCGACTCGCATTACTCCGAACTCAGAGCAACAAGACTTGTAAGTCCTCTACCAATTTCTGAACTCCCGCGGGAGACTGTTAAGTGTGATAGAGTAGGTTGCCCCTCTGTTCTCACAGCTTCAATTCTTTCCTCACCTCAGCTCCACGAATCCCAACAAAACGGGCAACTGCGCGTGAAGCAGATTCGTTTCACTTG